CCGTGTTTATTCGCTTGTAAACTTTGCATGTGCGATGTAGGATTCTTGTGACGTCATCCGTTGACATGTGGCATGCGTCGCCACACTTTAATAAATAATTAATTCCTTTTTTAAACGACTTCAAAAAAAGGAGGAGGTTCTCAATTCGACCGTATATATGCTTTTTTTATGTTTGTTCGCCGATATCTCCGTTATTTATAAACCAATTTTGATAATTCTTTTTTGTTGGAAAGGAGATAGTCCCAGAATGGTACTATGATCATTACACACACTTTAACTCTATACATAATACAGACGTCGCGGAGAACCTAACGGGTAACCGGGGCTCCGGCTCGACGTGCAGGAGAAGGAACGGGGTGGTTTTTAGTCAGTAAGTGTCTGACACTCCCTTCCGCCTCACCCAGGCGGGAGCAGTCATTCGATGATTTTCCCCCCTTAAAAAAATAAAATACATAAAACAGACAAAAATTATTAACGAAAGTCTAGGTCAGCTAAGCAAAAGGTCAAGTTTAAGAAAGATAAAGCGCGAATAAAATTCTCTCGTCCTCGGGACATGTCATAAATAGACATAGACAACAAAGTCTGGCACATTTTCCAGACGATCCAGATATAGTCTGTGGCTAACTTCATACGGCTGACTAGAAATAGAAGGGACTTCATCATTTTATTGTTTTGTAATAACACTTTGGAATAAACATATAGACAACTTTGTTTAGTGATAAATACTTGTGATTGTACGTGAAATTGGGCCTCCGGTAACCTCACTCGCACGATGAAACAACGCAAGCGTAGTTTCACGTCGGTTTTCTGTGAGGCCGTGGTACCACCCTGGTCGAGCTAGCCGATTTGCCCAAGCATGGCTCTCCCTGCATTTTTGGAAAATATCATAGCATCACGACATTTAATTACCGAAGGGGTAGGACAATGTACTATACACAATATAAGGCCCATTTTCTACCGGTTGTTATGATTAAACTTTTTCAATTTACTTAATTTTTATTTTGTTGTTTGTCATTACATCCTGTGTTACCTCTTATCACATTTATAAATGGACTTGTAAACCATAAAATGTGGGCCGATGCCGATGCCGATTCGGAGTCGCGGAGAACCTAACGGGTTACCGGGGCTCCGACTCGACGTGCAGGAGAAGGAACGGGGTGGTTTTTAGTCAGTAAGAGACTGACACTCCTTCCCGCCTCACCCAGGCAGGAGCAGTCATTCGATGATTTTCGAACCTTAAAAAAAAAAAAAATGTGCGTCTTGTAAAAACATCACCATGTTTACACTTTCGTTATTTATTTAAATAAATAATAAATGAACCTTTCACTTTTTTACGAAAAGAAAATAAAACAGACCTTATTTAATAGAAATTATTTGATAATCTACTTTTATTTGTGGAGGTCTAACTGGTGGGTCGGCCCTAACCGTAATGGAATTGAGGTCGGCTCTCTTTTAGTCTACAGATACGCAGACAATTTATAAATATTTATTTTTGAATCTCTCTGTGTAATTATAACTGGGTTTTAAAAACCTACTAATGTTCTAGGGTTAAATAAAGAAAATAATGAAAAGACAACATAGTGCCTTAGTGGGTTTTCAAACTCGTTTTGAAAACAATTTGTTTTTTAACTCATTTATCACGGGACAAGGAATTTGAAGTTCAATCTCCAAATAGCACGAAATATGGTAGGGTATTTGTATTACAAAAATGTTAATAGTGTGACGGGGACTAGTTAAAAGTCAGTGAGAAATGTTTACTTCATGGCACACCTCTTGTAGATTCAGGGCACAATTCCACATAACATCATCATAACATCACGCATTTTATCCCCGAAATGGTAGGCACAGGTGCCACTGTACAAAGTAACACCCCCTTTTCACTGTTTATGTTATGAGTCCCATTTAATAGGGGGTGACCCTATTGCTTTATACCGGGCACAATTCCAGACTCCGTGCTACTACTGAGAATTTTTAAAAACCAGTAATACTTTGCCCGACCCGGCACTCGCATTTGTGACAACTCGGCCAGCGAGGCAGTCACATCACACAATTCCACGTGGATACAGATAAACAAGTGTCATTTCAATAACACTACAATTAGACCGAGTATTTTCGTAATTGGCACAAATATGATCAACGAACATCACAGATGTCCAATGTCCATGTAAGATTTCCTCTAATAATATTCTCGACTTTAGCAAAAACTACTTCAGCCATATATTCCTTGAGGCATTACTTTTTTTTATGGAATAAGCCGGTAAACGAGCTGACGAATCACCTGATGGTAAGCAATCGGCGCGCCGCCCATAGACACCCGGAGCACCAGTGGCGTTACAAATGCATTACCAGCATTTTGTGGATAAGGAATTTGAGGATTTCTGTGTATTAGGAAGGGGGTAATTGGGCCTCCGATAACCAACACATCATTACGATATTTGTCTACCTAGCTAGATCGTCCGTTTGTTTATCAAATATATATTATCTATCTAGGTGTATGAAGAAATTAGATTTTGTACCTATGTAGTATCAACATGGAATATAGTAGGTATTATTATAATTAAAACTTTCTAAACTTTCTCTTTCTAAAAATCCTGAACAGAATCATTCAATATCAATGAACCCTTTTATTTTTTTCATTTATTCCTAATATTTTTTTATGGCAATAGCCGGTAAACGAGCATACCTGATGGTAAGCAATCGGCGTCGCCCATGGCCACCTGGAACACCAGAGGCGTTACAAGTGCGTCACCGGCTTTTTGGGGATTAGGAGTTTGAGGATCGTTGGGGATTCAGGGATTGGGGAGATTGGGGAAGGGGAAGGTAATTGGGCCTCCGGTAACCTCACTCACACGACGAAACACAACGCAAGCTTGCTTCACGTCGGTTTTCTGTGAGGCCGTGGTATCACTCCGGTCGAGCCGGCCCATTCGTGCCGAAGCATGGCACTCCCATACATAAATTTTTTTAAAAAGAAAAAATTAAATCATAAATACAGTCTTGTCAAAATTGTCTTTAGGGCGGGTCTTCAAATACCACTATATATAATTATGTATGTACATACATATAATTCCTAGTATTGCCAATCAATATATCGTGATTGCTAAAACTTTAGAAATCAAATGAACATTAGCAATAACCTAGTTCAATCATGTGAAGGTTAATTGCCATTCGCATGACAATCCAATGTCAATGCAATTGCAATCCAATCGTGACTTCTATCAGTGTTTGTGACTGTGTTATCGATGTTATTGAAGTATATAATGACGTCATACTTGATGACTATACCCTGATTATACTATTTACTACTATTTCTTACAGATTGAAAGTAAATTGGGTACTTGCCAACTAGTTAAATTCAATACTTTTTTCGAACTGTCCAAAACGACAGTGTTCTATGAATTTTACGTACAAGATTGTGTATTGTGACGTCACGTTTTTTTAGAGTCAAACAGCATACTTATTTCTTTCGGAGTCGCGGAGAATCTAACGGGTTACCGGGGTTCCGGCTCGAGGTGCAGGAGAAGGAACGGTGGTTTTTAGTCAGTAAGAGTCTGACACTCCCTCTCGCGTCACCCAGGCGGGAGCAGTCATTCGATGATCTTCCCGCCTTAAAAAAACTTATTTCTTAAAAGATTTGCTGGAAAATATTGAAATTACGTTGGTCATAAAATCAATCAATGAAAGTGTGATTATTTTTTAATATTTTTTTGTATTGAACAGTCGAAATAATTTATTTATGATGAAGGCAAATACCCAGTTATTAGATTCATTTGTATAAGTGTATTATGTATCAATTAAATAATAATTCTCTCTTATTTTATATCCAAAGTTAACTAGGGAATGTTATGGCAAGTGGAAAGCACAATAATATATTAATGTCTTATGTAACTTAAAAACGTTAATAATTGGTGTAAATTATACTTAGGTGTAACAATTCACAACCTTCATTTTAAATACATTATTTAAAAAGTCAAATACTTAAAAAGAATACACCCTTATACAAGACGACAATACGACCACACTTCTAAAACATCCCTTGAAATGAATACGTTGACACTTTTTTAATACAGTAGAATAAGAATTGAGTGCCCCTACACTATTTTGTCTACCATATTCTAAAAATATAACTGTCAAAAGTAAAATCTAATTTCCGCGTTGTCACATTTCAAGTGTAGGCTAATACTAGAATACACCAAACACGTGTTTCTCTATATTATAAACTTGGACGAAGTACATTATGTAAAAAATTACCATTTATGTTAAGACCTCATTTTACGTAGCAGCCTGTCTACTACGGCGTAGTCACCGTAGCAACCTGCTACAAAACGCTACGCGGCGTAGTCAAACTCACGATTATATTATACTCTCTAATAAATTAGCATCTATGGTACCTAGCAATAGAATTTTATTGCAGTATAATGCTACATAAAATTAACTTTATCAGCATTAAAGAAAAAAAACAAATAAAAAAGCTTAAGGAAAGTATTTGAGCTTAAGTAATGAAAAAGGTTTTACCATCTTATTTCGATTACCACCATTTGTTGTTATATGTAATTCGGTCGATGTGATTTACAGCTGGAGAATTTTTGTAGTATAAAGGTATGCAAGGAATACCATTAATAAAATTACGAATGTTTACGAATGAAATATTTTAGCAAATTTAAAACTTTGGATACGTTTTCCTTGAATTTGCCTCCCCCCTATTACATGGGATTCATAACATAAATAGTGAAAAGTGGGTGTTACATTGTACAGTGGCATTAAGTGCCGTAATGTGCACCTCTGCTTAACCCTTCGGGGCTAAAAGGCGTGTTGTTAAATACTAACAAAGAATATTAGATAATATATGATTATCTCTGTCTCAATAGTTGAACCTGCTTTATAAAACAGAAATCTGTGTATTCTATTGTAGATTATTTTGTCATAAAATCGTTATTTAGTCAACATACCAGTTTACTAGTATTTTAATTAGTTTTTATTCAATTTCCATTTATCCACAGCATGCGTAGAAAAAGAATGCATCGACTGGGAAGGGAAGTCTGTCCCCCACGGTCTGCTGTACGTGCCTGGCCCGGGAGTGTGTTCGTTGTGTGTCTGCTACCACTCTGAGCCTATGTGGTGCAAGGCCATTTACTGTGATCCGCCTTATGTGAGTTGCTTACTACTTTAGTTTATTTTTTGTTTTTATGGCATAAGCCAGTAAACGAGCAGACGGATCACCTGATGGTAAGCAATCGGCGTCGCCCATGGACACCTGGAACACCAGAGGCGTTACAAGTGTGTAACCGGTTTTTTGGGGATTAGGAGTTTGAGGATCGTTGGGTATTCAGGGATTGGGGAGATTGGGGAAGGGGAAGGTTATTGGGCCTCCGGTAACCTCACTCACACGACGAAACACAACGCAAGCGTTACTTCACGTCGGTTTACTGTGAGGCCGTGGTATCACTCCGAGCGAGCCGGCCCATTCGTGCCGAAGCATGGCTCTCCCACACTTATTTATAGTGTTACACTGTTAAATCAATGACGTGATTAATCTGATTGAAAATAGTCTTAGGACGTTATAGATTTTTAGCTATGATAGAATGACATTACATTATATGCTGTACTTTGTATAGTTGTTTTTTAAACTAATCTTTTTATTTTTATGCTTAAACTGTCAAACACCGCGAGGACACCGGTGACCGCAACCTATTGTTCTTTAATTGTGTGTATAATGACGGTACAAATAACAGAGATGGCACGATATTTTAGTGCCTACAACTTAAAACTGAGTAGGTAGCCTTTCAGTATTCGATCGTACCTAATTGATATAAAATAATCATCAGTTATACCTAAAATAATATCAAGTAACCAAAAATAGAAGGACTTTGAACAAAATAACGTCCTAAATTAACTAAAATCGCAGGTTACTCACGTGAATATACTGAGAAAAGCTCTACTGGATAAAAAGAGTCAGCTGCGCAACGTCGCCGCGACCACGCACGATTCTCACGAGGAAGAATGCCTATGTGGATCGAAACTAGTAGAGCTTTTCTCAGTATATTCATATGAGTACTACGCTATTTTAGTTAATTTAGTATGTGTCACGATAGTTATTATAAAAAATAACATCCTGAAAATTATACACTAAATCTAACCCACCCCTATTATATTATAGGTCAACAGAGCATGTACTAGACCTCATGAAACATGCATAATGCTACAAAGTTCTGTGAACACGGCAGAGTTTTTAATTGTCACCCGTCACGTTACAACTCTACACCTAGTTGTTGCGAAACTAACAAAAACTATTCATTATTTATAACATTTATATTCAGTTTTAACACGGCAAGTTTTCATAGCTGGCTAGCTAATTACTAGGTACTGACAATTGTAGTGATTTGGCTTAATTTGTACTTTTGTCTATTTAACTCAATAGAAACAATTACGTGCGAAAGTTTTTTTAGATTCCCTTTGGCAAGCAATATAGATAGAAATCAATATTCAAACAATTATTTCTAAATATCAGTAGATACGTTAACGGTATTCCAAGTTTTGACTTATAAGTATAGTAGCTACGAGTACATTTCCAGCTTACCAGGAAAGCCACGACATCCTTAATTAGAGTCATTTGTGTTACCCGAGTCTTACATAACCCCATGGGGACCATAACTGCAGACGTTAGATAAAATAACTCAATTAATTTTATATTTTCCACAGTTCTGCAAAAATTTCCGCGTCGGAGCACGATGCTGTGAGTTCGAGTGCCTCGACCCTCCCGGTGAGGACGTGCGGTACAGAGAGAGGGAGCGACTCCGAGCCCTCATCCTCTCCGGCAACTCCTCAGCACCTCACCATGGACCCTCCATGGAACTTAAAGCCGGGATATCTCTCCTAGCAGTAGTCGTCGCACGATTCGTATGAAACACGGACCATGTAGACACTAACCAATTGAAAATTATTTGAAATCGAGGGAATCATTTGCCTGGCAACACTACGGTAAAAAGGTTTTAATTTATGGAATGGGGACGCAAACTGAGTGACATAATGGCAGCACTGGCTGGCATCGTTTGAATTTCGATCGTTTGTAAAGAAAGGCCAGTTATGCCTAGTTTGTCTATCCTTCCTAACTAAATGCCAAAACTCACAATCGATTATAATTCGATCTGCCTTTAACTTGTCCTTACGTCCTGCGTTAAATGCGGGACCTCTATTTCTCTAGAACTATGATTTTTCATATTCAGAGCACACGAGTGTACATTAATTACCAATATTATTTCCGTTTACAACAAAATGAATAAATTCGGACCAATTTTATGTAACCGAGTAGCATCGTGTTGTTCTTTTGTTTTCTTTAATTTGAAAATGTTGAATGTGAAATGTAAAAGTAGGATCGTTACGTAGTATACAATTTATTCATTCAAAAACATTTGTGTTTCGGTAGATAAACGAAAAAACTTACAAAGAAACCTTATGAAAACCTCATTTGTATTCAGCTAACAATAATGGTGCCACTATAGTCGAGACTACATAGAGAACAAGCTAGGTCACGTCCCATAAAAGATGAAATACATGTTTCTCCCGGTCCATATGTAAATTGTAAGTCCATTAATCAGTAGGATATAATAGGGATTCTTTAAATGAAATCTAACTACATTATATGAGTCACGCATACAGAACGCATGCCTATTTCTTCACTTCTAAAATACCTATTTCACTTAGCTAGACACATTTCGAAATTGTAGCTTTAAAATTCATATCATCGGGGGTCCGATTCTGTACGTTTTTGGCTACTGCAGTCGACCGGGTTTACTCTAATGCGGCAACTAGGTGAAATGAAATAGCGCCAAGCTCTAGAGAAACTAGTTTGAGTAATTTTAATACGAAAATGCTTTGAAGCAAACTTCAAGTAAAAAGCAAAGTGCCTTGAGAGACTCGAGGCAAATTTTATTAAAAAAGCTTAGAGTTTATCAAAAATTAAATTATAAGAACGTTTTAAAATTTCAAATTCTTATTAAGATATTTCAAAATGTCATCTTTGTAAAGTAATACTCTTTACGAGTCTGAATGTTTGGACAATACTGGCTTGTTTAAATTTCCTTTATCAAACGAGTGTTAAAAGTATTTTATACAATAAGAGACAGTTAATTCTGCTTTTCAACAAAATATTTACAGAATCGCGCCCCAGCTATTTAGTGTAAAATAAAATAGTGCAATATACATGTAGGTAACACATCGGGGCACATTGGTGACGATACAATGATTTCTGTTCGTAAATAGTTGTGGTTCTTAAACGATTGTCAACTCTATAACACTAACATAAAAGCTCTTAATAACTCAGTCAATTTAAGTTACCAGGGAGTATGCTAACGTAACAAGCTACTTTTATTTCTTTTACCGGTCTGGGTCATGTCGTGTGAAGTCGGTAATGAAGGAACGAATAAAGTTATAATATTGAAAAGGTTTGCTTATTAATTAAATTTACTCGAGTAAGTCACTATCTACTGATGTACAACTATTATACCATCAAATACCTACGGAAATATCTTGGCAAGGAAGGAAAATAGCAAAGAGCAAACATCAATCAAGAGCCCGCAAAAAATATGGAAATAAAAAAAACTAACGAACGAAACCAACAGGCAACGACAAAAATGTTAAAAGCCAATTACTTTTTTATTGCAAACTTCACAGATTAATCTTATACCAAGCCCTTGTAGACCGTTTAAAAAAGAAAACGCTGAGTCATGAATACGAACATCCTCATCAAGTTGATGTGATATATCGAATCGAATCGTTTTAAATAAAGTGACCAGGGAATAAAAATAATAAAATTCTCTTCAGATTTACCCAGATAAAAAGATCTGTCAGGGGTTTGAAAAATAGTTATCACAAATATCACGATTAATACATAGTGAAGTGGCAAGTGGATGATTTATATTCAAAAACTTTTGGAATACATCGGAGTGATGATACAGGATTACAAGATTGATGATGTTTTCATAACCTGTAATGTACGATCAAGGCCTGTGTAGGTAGGTGATATTATTGTACCTACACACGGGCACACATCAATCTATACAAAACCAGTTTATCCTGGTGTCACGTCGCATCATCTTTCCGCACATTTAACGTTCAGTTTATACTGGTTATGTAAAGCTGAATGTGTAGCCGTGTGTACACCTATGACGAATTTGATACTTAAGTGTTTCAACACTACCGAATTTTGGGACTATTTATAGCTGTGGATATGAAACACCTGATGTTTTATTATACGTTAGCCGTTCTGTTTTTAAATAAACGGCTCATCTTTATTTATTGATAACCGATTTGAAACGTATATCGAATGAAGAAAAATATTGCATGGCCTAGTTCAAAATGCACTCAAAATTATTAAAAATATGTCCCACATAATAAATATTGGCTTACAAACATTCCTGGGACCGATTAGTTCACGCGATTATTATGCATATGATACACAATTACTTAGCAACACTACACCTTATTAAAATACATTTGAAAAACAACGTTATTCCCAAACACGAAAGAGTAGATTCGTATGAAAAGTTGAAAAGTGTATTTGCATGACTGAGTGCTTTCTGTCCCTCGCGTGTTTGTGTTGTTTACGAGTAGAAATACCTACCTCTGATTGGTTACAGGTTACTGCTAGCTTTATTTTAACCTTGACCACTTTCACATAAGAATATTTACCACAGCTAATTACGAATACGAATTTCTAGAAATGGGTTTCGTTTATGAGAAGCTATTTAAGTTATTATAGGCACTTATTACCTAGGTACGAAGGTACCATATTGCTACCTACTACTACCTACCGTAGTTACGCACGGACGTGCTGTTCCATGCTCCATTTTCCCGACCATTTTTCCATCTTTCCCTGACAATAACAAACACAACTAAGATTGATCGGACCGGACTGTTAGTACCTAATTGTGGATCTACCTACATAGTGCCCCTATTTTTATTTAGGGTAGGGCATTTATCTAAGATTCCATTCCAAGACAATTTTAAGAGGGTTCATCACTAACTAACTTCCTACCCTTTCTAAATGTTCTTGAGGTAACTAAAGATAGATATAATTTTAATAATGTCCTCTCGATTTAATTTTACAGTGAATTTAGTTAGGTGGGTACCTATCTAACTTAAAAGTAAGTTAGATAGGTACCCACCTAATGGAGTAACTAACCTGTTATTTTTATTCTGCTATTTTCATTTATTGGTAGAACTACTCTAGGTTTAGAAGGACCTTGATTATTGTCTATTGTTTTTCTTTTTTTTAGAACTAATTCAAAGTTTTTATAATGATCTTGTCCTATTTTCTCCAACGTTTGTGTACCTAGTGACTGAACAAAGTTTAGGACAAATTTTGTTGTGGAACGTGTCTACAGTTTATATCTGTAAATATAGCTCCCATGTAGAGCATGGCGTAGGGTATCTAATTAATGTTAAAAGAAAAATGTAAATGAATAATTGTTTAAAGCCTTTTCTTCATACCTCAATGAAAGTAAAAGTACATACCCTTCCTTGTAAACGAAACCCATTGCAATAAAAAAACGGAATTGAAATTATTTCACGAACCATAATCATTAACAGTCAGTAGTTAGGTAATTATTATAGCTATTAATTAATTATTATAAGTACGGAGTAGCTCACCTAAGTGCGGGATCAGAATTAGAGGAATATTCTACAATCTTCATTCAAAATGTAAAATGGTCGTTATGACACCAATCGCCTTCATTATTGGTTTATTTTCATAACTTTTTCTATGTCTTTAACTCGCTTTTTATTATTTTTAAAACTGCTCTTAATGAAAAACTGTTATTTTATCTTAACGTTAGAATATCGTGATAAAAGAAAATATATTAGTCTACCTACTTACATCATGTAGGTACGCGGTAAATTGAGACTTATCAGCACTATACTTAATAAACTATTAACAACTTCAAGATGATGGTTTTAAGGTTGATTTTTGTATGAACTTCCACTCCATCTAAGTCTCAAATTACCGCATTCGGATAGTTCATTGCGGTACCCAGTACCTACCTATAAATATAAAAATGTATGAAAATACCAAAACCCTAGGTAAGTTTGCACGACTATGTATAAAAATACTGAATTATGATTAATAATATTTTTCTTTAAATCTCACTTATATTATCAAAAGCTTCGGCCAAAAATCAAGACTAAACTTCTGTAATTATTAAAAAAGTTCTATTTTCATCCTCTCTTCAATTATTTATTTTAATTGTATCCTAATTGTTACGAATTAACTATTGAGCTGCGTCCATTATATAATGTGTAAATGTATAGAATCTTATTTTATTAATGGAAAATATTTTAAGTCCACACCTTATAAAAGAAATTAAAAATACTTTTATCATGTACTCACATCCACTTTTATTTATGTAACACCAGTTTCAAATTTCAAATAATGTCCATTATTGAATTATTTATTCTTATGTACATTATGTAGCCAAATGGTCATAGACAATTTTGGCGGGATATTTTCTAGCTTACAAAAATAGGTATTGACCATTGGTCCATAGATTAAAATAAATTCCATTAATGAAATTATATTATAAGAAAGAAACAGTCACGACTTGATTTTAAATAATATAGAAGTGTGCCATATACATAAAATATTATGTACCTACATCAAAATATTGCATGAATGTAATCTGCACCATTTTCAATTAATACACCATTCAAGTACTTATATGCTGTGATTTTGGCTATATATTAAATAAAAATTTCAAATAATAAGCCAAAGAAATATGTACTTTAAAATACATTGATTTTATAAAAGGAGTGAATTTTCCCTTCTTTGCACCGTCTACAAATATATTAAAAAAATATTAAAATAAATGGTATGTGATATTTTGCTGGTTGTATATTTTGCATACATAATTATTAAGAATGACAGCTTTAAAACATAGATAATAAGACCCAATTATTTACCAAATATTTGTTTTATTTTATTGTTGCAACATTATATATTTTTTTTAATGTTTATGGATAATGAAGGAAGTCATTATTGTTACATTTTATGTTAATTATTTTTAAATTGAATGTTGAAATTATTTCAGTTAGTTATGTGTATGTATAATAATAAGAATTAAATATATATTGTAAATATTGTATGCAAATAATTTTAAATATTAGCTTAATAAAGATACCCAACAAAAACTAATAAAATACTTGTTTTATTTTTAGACTTACATTCATGTTACAATAAGTAATTGATTTGTATGACTACATCATCATTTCATCATTATAAGTGTTTGGTTACTGTCTAACCCGTTAGTCACCATAGTAGGTAATAATGCAGCCAATGAGACTGGAAATTGACATTACCTTCAAAACGCTGGCAAAAAATTGCAACAATAGAAGTTTAGAGATAGAGCAATTACTTCTTTGTATGATATGCAAACTACAATTAATAGTACAGCCAGAACTGGGTGAGATTTTTTGTACTTAATATGCATTAAATCCGTTGAAAATTGTTGAAAATCATCCCCTAAATTTGTTAATACAAAAGTAGTCTCTAAACATTGGAAATAAGGTCTATAATGTAGTTAGTGGAGAGCGGTCACCAGTGACCGCTTGGGGATATATGGGTTAAAAGCATTTCAATGACAGATTATTGTGTGTAAAAGTGATAATAGTTGCTTCATTGAATGGTCCACCCAATAAGACACCTTTTAAATAAACAATATATAATTACAGTAAAAAATGTTACTTAGTTATATGTCTACAATGGAATGAATGATCACCACCTCAGACCTTTTTCTTGTAAGTCTCGTCTAGCCTGTTTAATTTCTTCTTGCAACTCCTTGGCTGCTTCTTCGCAATTATTAAACGTGAATACTCTATATAGTATCACAGTTACCGCATACAATCCAAAAAGTATAACGAATATTACTGGAGATACAAGTACCAACGTCATGTTTTTCTCAATCATTGGATGTTTAACATAACCAGCGACTAAGGAGTACCATACTGCGACAAACGCTGAAAGCACTGAAACCCACTCGAGTAACTTCGTCATTGTTCTGAAAGAGATAATGCAAAAATAAATTCAAATTCAATGCGTAAACAAAGCAAGGTGTTTTTGTTAAAGAAGTATTGTAGGTTAACCACTTACCTGAAGAAAAGTATTTATTGCACTAGTAAATTATTCAGTTCCCTGATTATTTCAGGAGTTATCTTATAATACGAGGTATTTATTTGCTAAAGAAAATAATCGGCAAATCCAAAACACATCACCACTGTCCAATTTGACAAGATGGAACAACTGACAGTTTACTTACAGTGACATTTAACATTCGTTTTGAAACGCAATACATTCATCGCTAAAGTTACTAAAAAACTGATGTAAAATAACTAAACAACAATAAAACCGACGAATTCCAAAGTATTGAATAAGTTAAACTTATTATAATAAATCTAAATTATGTTGAAATACCATGAAATCAAGTTTTCCATAGCCAAGCAAAAAGACATCGTTTAGTCTTTAGCCAACTCTAGGAATGACGTCTATTTTGGTTTTGACGCTAAACTGACGCTTGACGCCTTAACGTGACATTACAAAAGAAAACAAAAAAAATCAAAAAACGCGAACACAGCTGCAGCATTATTTTAATTTTGTTTGAATATTAAATTAATCTAATTTTAAATAATACAAGATGAACGAGATTGACGATAAATTTTATTACGTGTATAGTTCGTCGTTAGATCACAAGGTGCAGATAAAGATGTAAGTATAAATTCAATCGTGTTATATTTACCAGTTACCTACGTATTTTATCTAAAGCATTTTCATTGTTTGTCTTGCGAAATATTTAGTTACGTACTTTCATTTGCTGAACAGTTCAATGAACATACCGCAAGCAGGAATTATGACGACCCACTAACCGAGATTGATTTATATTAGTAGATATTTAGAAAATATTATTATCTTGATTATAAATTAATGTGAATAGTATCATAAAATGCTGATAAAGAATCAATGGCTGCTGCAGCTTGCAGTTTTTGCTATAGTTATTAATCATGTTTTTAAATGAGGGTAAAACATGAGTTACCCACATGTAGCTTAACATTTTATAGTGTACCAAACAAAATAATAATAAATACTAATAAAAGAGATCATATTCCTTACTATTTATCTAACACCTTCTATCTCTTTTCAGTGGCACCTTAGAAGGTAAAAGAGCCAAGCCAGAATATGACCAGCTCCTCACGGACCCTATGCTCAAGTTCTCGGGCCTCTGTCAGGAAGGGTGCTCGGACTTATATGTGACATGTCAGATACTGAGTGACAATCAGCCCCTGGCTCTACCAGTCACCACTTCTTATAAGTCCTTCTCTAATAGGTGGAAGTAAGTTTGATTTTTTTCTATCTACCTACTTAACCCATAGATCCCCAAGCGGTCACCGGTGACCGCTCTCCCCTAATATTACATTACATTATAGACCTTATTTCCAATGTTTAGAGACTACTTTTGTATGACCAAATTTAGGGGATGGATTTCAACGGGCTAACAAAGTTCTACATGTCTTACATCAGCTACAGGTACATTTGTGGGTTGTCCAAGCAAAAGAGTTAGAGCAACAGCATCATCTATTTACTCTGGTACCATCAGGTGACTCGTCTGCTCATTCGAGAAAAATGTGCGCAGTGTAGTAGAGAAATTTTCCATTAACCACTTGAATTCACCGATATGAGACACAATAGATAGAATATACATTGTGTCTCACATGCATCCACATTCAGACACACAATGAGTTAAGTTCTTCATTCATCAATTAATGCTTTTGGTTTAGCTATTCTAATACAAAATTATCAACAACTTTTACAACAAGTAAAGATAATTTTCGAGATTTTTTTTTTTATGATAGACAGTAATTTAACCTCTTGTATGTTGAAAGTTGCGGGTAAATGTGTTTTATACTGGGAGCCGGTGTTTCGACAGATAAAAGGATAAAGGAGGTATGTAACAAAAAAGACTTCATAATTGTAGTGCGAAGTTTATCAATGACTGACTGACTTCAGAGAACCAGTTTAAAAATAGGTCTGTAATCATTAAAAGAACAAGTCTTAAGTGAACACCTGTATTAGATTCTTGCTTTTTATTAAAAGTATGATGATTTGAGGCTTCTGCAGCAAAATGTTACATAAAATATGCAAATAAATTATAATCAACAATAGAACTATCTATAGCTCCAATTTACATACAAATATTATATTCAATTAAAAATAATATGTCTGAATATTTACAATATTTTCTTATTTGGTCAAACTTGTTTCTATTTCATAGAAGATATTTATAACAATACCATTCAGTGTATCTATGTATTTAGATAACATGTAGGTATTTATAAATAAAAAGTATTATAAAATAAATTCTTGGAACTAGCTGAAATAACATTAACAGTAGTAAGCAAACATAATATTATGCTACAATAAACATAAATACAATGTAAACAAATCCTATAGTAAAAATGATTTATTTTGTTACGCATTTCAAAAAAGTTTAGCAAATGCAAGGAAAAGAAACAAATTGAATGGGCCGGCTCTACCGGAGTGATACCACGGCCTCACAGAAAACCGACGTGAAGCAACGCTTGCGTTGGGTTTCGTCGTGTGAGTTAGGTTACCGGAGGCCCAATTACCCTCCCCTTCCTCAATCTCCCTAATTTCTGAATCTCCAACGATCCTCAAACTCCTAATCCCCAAAAGACCGGTAACGCACTTGTAACGCCTCTGGTGTTCTAGGTATCCATGGGCGAGCGCCGACTGCTTACCATCAAGTGATCCGTCTTCTCATTTATAAAAAAAAAAACTGCCTACTTATGATTTATTTATAGACAAGTAGCACTAAGGTATAACATTACCGTTACCTACTGTCCTAGTCTCTGAATCAGTATAGCATTCAAGGCTAAACCTAGTGCTAGAAATACAAAGTCAAAGTCAAGTCCTTACAGGTTACAGCAAAATTGGTTACTAAGTCAGCCTTTATTTTATAGTTAATGTTGAAAATCTGTTAATGATAATATAACATCACGCCTTTTAACCCGAAGGGCAGAGGTTTGTGCCCATTACGGCTCCTAATGCCACTGTATAATGTAACACCCACTTTTCACTGTTTATGTTATGAGTCTCATGTAATATTGGGCCTATTGCCATATACCAGGCCAATTCCAGACTCCATGTTACTACTGAGGGTGAGGCTGATGGGTCATGGACATTTTCTGTGTAGAAGCAATTTTCATTGAATACCTATGTGTTGATAACCAATCGATTTATATTATTTTGGATAGGAAAAGAATAGTTAATAAATAATAAGTAGGACAAAATAACATCACTTTTGCCCTGGAACAGGCACTCTGTAATTGTTTAGTGTCGTTTCCATCAGAAATGCTCCCTAAATCCCTCGCTTTTTTGAGGGGGAAAATCGTCCTATGACTTCTCCCGCCTTGGGTGAGGCGAGATGAAGTGTCAGACTCTTACTGAACAAAAACCACTCCGTATCGGCATCAGCCCTACTAGGCCCCATCTATGGTGGTCTGATAGCTCTTTAAGGAAAGTGCCGCGCAGTACGCTCGGGTAAATTCCTTGCTTGGCAGTTGCATTCGTCTATTTGGCTGTTTAATTTTTTTCGCAACTTAACCACGTTTTCTCTTCCACAGTTGGAATGAATGGGTGACTCTGCCAGTATTCTTCAGTGATCTACCTCGAAACGCTACGCTAGCCATGACGATATACGACTGCGCTGGGCCAGGGAAGGTGATGGTGGTCGGTGGAACCACAATATCGCTGTTTGGGAAGCATGGAATGTTAAGACAGGTTGGTAGTTTTTTTTACATGTTTACTACTACGTCATCAATGCAAGATTTAATGATCATCCGTAGCTTCTCAGTGCTATAATTAGTTCGACACGAATGGGTCAGCTCGACCGGAGTGATACCGCGGTCTCACAGAAAACCGACGTAAAACAACGCTTGCGTTGTATTTCAGTATGTCGGTGTGGTTACCAAAAGGCTGGTAACGCATTTAGGTGTTCACTTACCATCTGGTGGTTCGTCAACTCATTTACATAGCTAGAGGGTAAACGAATAATCTTAAGTATTGTGTGAAGTTACGTTTGTGTCTGTTTGCTACAAATTCAATTACGGCTGTCCTGATTTTTGGACAGTCTTTCTAAAGGGTATAAGGGGACAATTCGTCAAAATTTGAGTAGTAAAGCTAGTTTAGCCTATGTGACTATGTAACATAGGAAATGATGGAGCTAATTCTATGTTCAAGAGGTTATCGCTGTTTTCAATTAGCAGTGCAAAATCAATTAACTTTACTGGTGTTGTCGTTCAAGATTAACCCAAGGTGTCGCAAGAATGTAGTTGAGTAAACACGCTTTGACTCCCCACGTGTGGCTGACCATAACTTCACTGCCATAGAGATACGGTTCATTTAATCTTTCAAATAGTATTTCCATTCAGAATTCCGTGTATTAAGTTCCACATGCTCCTATTTTAATTACTTTGCCCTACTTTGGAATCAAAGCCGCGAAATTCCTTATACTTAGCGGTTGGTAGTAGCTTTTACGATCTTTCGACCAAAGGGCTCGTACACAAAACTGCGATGCGATGCGAATTCGCAACACAGAAAATTACGATGCGAATTGCTGCGATGCGATTTCGTGCGTCAAGGCGTCTCCCAAGTTGACCATTCCTTCGCCGATCGTCAACCGTACTAAACGTATTTTAAATTGAAAACTAGGTCGTGACATTGATTGTAAAAAGAAGTGTGCACGTCTGTTATTGCTTAGGAGATACAGGAAAAAGAAACAAAGAAGATTTGGGAAGATAAGATTTTGATGCGCGATGCGAATCAATTCGCAAGTTCTTGCGATGCGTAGAGGGAGCTCGCACATTTTTGCGTGCCACGTCGCATCGCAGTTTTGTGTACGAACCCATAGAGACAGTTATGTAAAACTTTTATATAAATAAACAAGTCCCTTTTAAAGCTAATATGAGTACGAACGTGCGGAATACTAATTTATAGAAAGTTATATAATAAAAATTTGTTTTTATACATGTCGAATATGATTAACCTACTAAAATAGCTGCGGTTGATTTATTACGCCTATAACCGGATAAACTTGTATCTTTCTATTGATTATGCTCCAAATTACTAGACCTCTAAATATTATATTTAAAGATAAATCCTTAATTATTTTCTTAACTGTTTATTATATTACTAGCAATTCCCCGCGGTTTTACTCGCTCTGTAACTAAGCGTTATGGTAATCTACTATATAAAAATAAGTCGGGTTTTCCTTCCTGACGCTATAACTCCAGAACGCACGAACCGATTTCCACGGTTTTGCATTCGTATGGAAAGGTTTCGGGCTCCGTGAGGTTTATAACGTAAAATTCAGGAAAAAAAAATGTTTCTTCATCCTTTAATCACCAAACGAAATGTTACATAAAACGAAGCCATTTGGTGGCGAAACGGAGTTCGCCGGGTTTGCTAGTATTAGCTAAAAAAAACAACTGAAAACAAACAAACAGATGAAGTGATCACCGAAATGTTTGTACACGCATAACTCGTAAACAACAGCAGCAAATTTGATATAATAATATTTTTTGTTTGTAGTATAGATTAAAGAAAGTCTCAAAGTACCTAACACAATAATAAATATACAAACAACTGATATAATCCGTTACTTTCATTAATTAAAACTATTATTTTTAGTTGTTTTTTTTAGCAAGCTTATCAAATCAATACATTGTTATTTGTTATTCGCATATTTATATGCATAAATTCAATTTACTTATGACTAATATGTCGTTGTTTTTTTACCCGTTTATCTCAAGAATATGTAATAGGATATTTATTGATGTATGACCTGACTGATACAGGGGACCATTGGCACAAACATCGCTCACTGGAAAAAGCCACTCGGTTGACGGTTCAGTCTCCTTGCAAAACTGACGCGGAGTGACGTGCTTATAAAAAATGACTTTATAAAATTATTAACATTACTTGATTTAATAATAAAAAAAGATTAAAAATGACACTGTTAATAAGATGTGCTAGAATAAATTGTTAACAAAAACACGGTGCAATTAAATTCAGTGTTATGAATCTACCCGCAGTTTCTTTTTTGTTGAAATATATCACCGACGTTTGCCGTTAGTTTTAACTTAATCGAGTATGACGCGTGATAGCAATTGTTGACTAAATATAGATAAAAATGGGTAAATCATACAGTACCTTGCAGGTTTGCAAGGAATGTTATTTTTCTTTAGTTAACCGTTTTAAAAGGTTTTGTTTTGACTTGAAAAAGGGTATGTTTGACCTTCGCGTGTGGCCTGGCGTGGAGGGCAGTGAGAAGACTCCTGGCAAAGCCCCCGACCGGGGCAAGGAACAGATGCAGCGGTTGGCGAAACTCGCGAAAAAGCATCGGAATGGACAAATTCCAAAGGTAACTGTTAATTTTTTTATTACTTAGTCATCGTCTACGGCGAAGGTACCTATTGTTATAGTACAAATAGAACAAACGTTTATGATTTCAATTACTTACAACTATATGCATGTAAATAGGTACTAAGTTACTACCACATAGCTTCTATCAAGACAAACTGATAATGATAGCAAGCTATATAGAGCTGGGACACATTTTTCCCATTCTACCTATTTTATCATCAGCTTATCATACATTCCTAGTTCTCTCATATTTATAGAAGGAATGTAATGTGACATATCATATCGTTCATACTGCCCGGCTGCCGCGCAACGTGTAGCGATTTCGATTCCCGCACGGATCAATTCTTTGTGTGATCCACAAATTGTTGATTCTGGTCTGGGTGTCATGTGTATGTGAACTTGTATGTTTGTAAACGCACCCACGACACAGGATACAATCCTAGTGCGGGGTATAAGTATTTGAAAAAAAAATACTTCGAAGTTAATAATCATTGTAAAAGAAATTGTCGTGATCGTGGTAGCCCGGAGGCTTAAGACGCCCTCTTCTCATGCATGAGGGTACGGGTTCGAAACCTACCAACGCACGGCAAGTACCAATGTGACCTCTTCCAAGTTATATGTCCTTTCTAAGATTATCTAGACACCACTGACATACGGTGAAGGAAAACATCATGAGGAAACCTGGACTTATATAATTTCTAATTATAAGTTTGTAATCGCCAACCCGCATTGAGCAAGCGTGGTGATTAATGCTCAAACCTTCTCCGTGTGAGAAGAGGCTTTGCTCAGCAGTGGGCATTTATAGGCTGTTGATGTAAAAGAAATATATGAACCAGCTCTTATCTGACATTTATTAAAGCTTTTAGCACTCAAAAATTATCTAATAAAATAATTGAGATCCGAGGTCATCTCGTCTATTATTAAGGTAATATCTTATCTTAATCTATTTTAATATTAATTGTGCTAAAGGTGCTAAACACAGCTGTTGTATTGATGATTAATAATAATTTGAAATGCATATTTGTAGTGATTGTATGTCAGAATAAGTTAAATATAAATTCAGGAAGGTAATAATGACATTGTGACGTACATATTTATAATAAATTAATGTAAGTTGTGAATATTTAGGTATGATTTCAATAAATTATTTTTGATTAATTGATGTATCATAGAAACATCGCGCTTTTAGACCATCGATGTAGTTCTACACGACATCGATGGAAATGCACTTGCAACTAAGTACATACTTTTCACCCTTCAGAAGCAAACTTATTACCTTACATCACAAAGTATTTTAAACCTTATATAATAGGGTAGATGCCTAATTTTAATTTTAATGTCCGTCTGGTAGATTATTTTAAATCATTACACACGTATTATTTATTTTCTTACAGAAACGAATACTTTCGACGATGTTGATTTGAAATTTCGCGTGACGTCAGTTCTATGTACATTTTATACGTAGAAATGACGTTTTAACCCCCACTTCTAAATGATTTGTTTTATCTAAGTATTGTATTATTATACGACAAATTAAAAAAATACGTGTCTAATATTTTTACATTACCTAACTTACGGACTAATTAGATTTTTAATTGTCATACCCTGTCATCATCCCAATTGGCATTTTCTTAAATCGAAACCCTCATTATGACAACGTAAATCCACCCCTATTGCAAATGAAATAAAGTCCTAATTACAACACAGCAATATATATCTGTGCAATTGATTGTAAATATCCACATTCCTTTAATATGACGGCCATATAACCGTGCGTGATATGACGAATGGTTCGAGTGACGTGAAAGGGCGCGCGATAAGGGTCTATATGACCCCCTGCGACTTGGTTGCTATGATGCTTACTTAGTAGGCCTTGTGTGTATGTAGTATAAGGTATAATATAGGTACTCACATACTCTATGTACTATATCGTACATACATAACTATTTATGAACCAACTTCAAAATAGAAGGAGGTTCTCAGTTTGTACCTGTATATATGTATGCTTGTTTGTTTGTTTGCAATTATCTCGCGACTGGCTGAACCGATTTTGATACCGTTTTCAGAAAAGTGTATGTTATACTTAGGAGGAAGTTTTAGTATATTTTTCAACCGACTTAAATAGGAGTGTCGAAGTCCATTTTTTTAAATGTAGTTTATAAAAGAATTATTGATTAATAAGGCTGCCTCCTTGGCCGAGTGGTCGCAAGTGCGACATCGGGCAAGGGGTTTTGGGTTCGATTCCAGGGTCGGGCAAAGTATTACTGGGTTTTAAAAAAAATCTCAGTAGTAGCACGGAGTCTGGAATTGTGCCCGGTATATGGCAATAGGCTCACCCCCTATTACATGGGACTCATAACATAAATAATTAAATAGTGAAAAGTGGGTGTTAAATTTACAGTGGCATAATTTGCACCTCTGCCTACCCCTTCGGGGATAAAAGGCATAATGTTATGTTATTGATTAATTTATAAAAGTTTCATGCAAATTGTAACACATAAGATGACTAAATATTATAGACATTATCTTTTTTTATACTTGATAAGTTGACGTTTAGCCACCATCTCGCCTGGTGGTAAGCGATGATGTGGCTGATGATGGAGCTAGTATCTACCAGTTCATACACTTCATACCATGTGACACCAACTTCACACCATTCTAATACCCCCATATAATAAGAGGGTTGTCTATTGTCATACACCGGTAACATTTCCAAACACTAGACTGTTGCTGAAAACTTTCGAATACACGACCAATAACACTTTGCCCATCCTAGTAATAAAACCCAAAACTTCTTGGTCGACAATCGCACTTGCTACCACCCAACCAACAAGACATTCAAGTTCTAAACTTGATTTGATAATCAGCTCAAATTTTTACAAGTATGCAATTATGCAGTTCCATTTGAGGAAAAAATGCGCTAAAACTTGTCTCGAATCATTATCCCCTTAGGTCAGAGAACCCTTTAGTAAGTAAGTTAAGTCAATTTAGTTTTGGTTTTATCTTATTGTTGTTTTTCAATATGTTTCTGAAGATATTTCGCTAATCTTTCTTAATGTTCTGCGTTGAACTTTTTAACGATAACATAAAAACGTTAAAATATTTATTAGAATTTTCTTCATCATCAACAGCCTATAAATGCCCACTGCTGAGCAAAGCCTCTTCCCACACGGAGAAGGTTTGAGCATTAATCACCACGCTTGCTCAATGCGGGTTGATGATTACAAACTTATAATTAGAAATTGGAAGCCCAGGTTTCCTCACGATGTTTTCCTTCACCGTTTGCCAGTGGTGTCTGAATAATCTTAGAAAGTACATATAACTCGGAAAAAGTCACATTGGTACTTGCCGTTGGTAGGTTTCGAACTCGCACCCTCATGCATGAGAAGCGAGCGTCTTAAACCTCCGGGCCACCACGACATTTTTCTTCGCCCAACCGTAATTCTAAGTTTGATGGGAGTCGGAATAACAAATCTTCTTTCTGGTATAAATTAAATTATTTATTTATAAATGTATTCATATGAACATATTAGCCAATAATAATAATAATAATGGGCCTGTCAACTAATATTTGCTTAAATAAATCATTATCAAATGACAACTTTCTATTTCATAATAAGTTGACACAGCATGTATAAATTGAAACTAGAATAAACAAGTTCACAGGCTTAAATAAACACAAATGTATATGTAAAGAAAAATCGACCTAACTTTCATGGGATAAAGTTCATATTTCACTAATGAATGTATCAATAGTCAAAAATGAACATTATTTCTAAACATTAGTTGTGTTGTGTTTATTCTAAACAAGGACTTACGTGTTTATCTTTAAAGTTATTTGAAAATAGTTCTTAAGTATTTGTAATAAAGTGTAATTTTGTCTACCAGGTGGATTGGCTGGACAGATTAACGTTTCGAGAGATTGAAATGATCAATGAGAAGGAAAAAAGGAGTTCAGACTACATGTACCTCATGATTGAGTTTCCTACGGTGCAAATTGAGGGGATCAATGTAAGTATTATTATACAGAACTAGCTTTCTTTTTGTGGCAAAACTATATCTCGAATAGGTCCCGATCTTGTTGGAGTATCCAGATAAAAAGTAGATCGTTTTATTGTGTACCAAGTATTGATACGTAACGGTAAAATGGGATCTTCTGTCTCTATTCACCTCTCGATCCCTATCCACCCCATTTTACGGTACACATCTAAGCTCACGCCTGTCTCCAATAGGGTAGGCGAAGACTATAGAACACCCAAATGCTATGATTCTTACATAGTAGCTTTACGATTCTTACATAGTACTTTCACTTCCTCAACAGTCATCAGTCTTTTCATGCATGCTCGTCGGTTAAGGGTACTTTTAATTTTGCCCATCTTTACTATGTCACTAATCTGGTCGATATATGTCCTACTAATGCGCCCTCTACCGACGGTCCCATTTATATCTGCTTTGTGTACATCTTTAAGTAATAATAATAATTACTGATTCTAATAGATATATCCACTTTTCGTCAACCTTAACATGTTAAAGGACGTTTTCGGAGGAATTGCCTTGAACAATTTTCTATTGGCTGTCAAAGCTTTAATCTTTTATCAATGACTGTAACTAGAGAATTGTATTGTGAACCCGATTGAAAAAGAGTAACCTATGGAGTTTCTTGCTCGTTCTTCTCCATAGGAATCTACTGGGAATGAGCAAGTAGCTTCATTTTTAAATTTTTTGTTGTTGACGTTCAAAAGTGCCTTTCTGGTCTAATTGTATTAAATTATTTTGACTTTCCGGACCTAGTGCTGTTACTTACTAAAGCCTTCAAAGGAATAAAAAATAACTATCAAACATCAAAAAAATCTTAAACACAACGTTACTAACAGTAATTTTGCACTTTGAGAATTCATTTTATACATTCCTTGCTACATAACCTTGCTTGCACTTTTAATCTTATTTCTCGACAATTTTCCGTATCCTTTTTCGTTAGAAATTTTTGCATCACATTGTGCAATACACCTAATAATAGACAGCTAATCTTGAAAGCCCCATTCTAATTTAAGTCGTAGTTGATTCTAGTTGACACTCGATTAAATTCAATTTCTTTGAGCTAAATCTAGATTTACGAGGTTTCTAGAGTAAAAAATGAATGTAGGTACCTTATCTTTTCTCAAAATAAAAGTCGTGTAAAAAGGTTAAAAGGCAAATTCCATATGAAAGCTGTTTCGACTATATTTTTTTATTTGAATGCATGCGCCCAAACGAGTAGGTGCCTTCACTAAGTGATTCAGAATTGTGTATTTACCTGGGTCAAAAATAAATTATTAAGTATGATATTTCAATCCAATTAAATATTCAAAAATAATTACAATTACATTCATATATTTGACGGTATACTTAATTTTAGATTTGTTCTAGCATTTTTTTCAGAAATAAGTGTGCTATTTGATTCGAAAATATGATGACGTCATAAGTTAGTTTTTGGTACAAAATTACATAGAACAATATCGTTTTTGACGTTTCGATAAAAGTATTGAATTTGATTAGTTGTAAAATACCGTATTCTATTTCTCAATCACTTGTTTTTTATTTAGAGCATTTAAATTAAATACTTTTGAGCGCCACTTCGGTATTAAAATGTAAAGTTTGTGAACTGATATATTTGTTTGCAGCATGCAATTGTGTACTACGAGCAAGATGGTGATGAGATGTATCAGTTCAGGGCGCAGGCAGATATCGTTACCGTACCAGATTACGAAATCCTTCAGGTATGTGTTTCGTTTTTATTTAAATATACTGATTAGTTTTAGTTATTTTATGAGATAATTTCCTTTTTGATGTGTGTAGTGAAAACAGAGATCGACAATTTAAATCTACTTTCGCGGCATATGGGTTGATTATCGTTAAATTTTCAAATTCTGCACCTATTTAGTACTTATTTTAACTAGGAAAAATTTGTTAGTATTTGTTAATGCCATGTTGTCTGTACTTTATTATATATACATAACATCACACTTTTTATCTCCGAAGGGGTAAGCAGAGGTGCGCAATACGGCATTTAATGCTACTGTGCAATGTAACACCCACTTTTTACTATTTATGTTATGAATCCCATGTAATAGGGATATTGCCATATACCGGATACAATTCCAGATTCCGTGCTACCATTGAGATTTTTTTTTAAAACCCAATAATAGTACTTTGCACAATCCAGAAATCGAACCCCTTGCGACCACTCGGCCAACGAGACAAACCCTGTGTACTTTATTATTATTCTTTATAAAAAATGTGTTCATACTTGAGCTAAATGTAAATTGGTTGTGTAGGAGAATCTGGTAGAGGCTAAACAACATCGCCTGGCCCGCTCGCTGCGGCCGGGCGCGGCGCGGCGCGACCACAAGCCGTCGGCCGCCGAGCGCGACCAGCTCGCCGCGCTCGTCGCCGCCCCGCCCGCGCGCACGCTCTCCGCCACCGACCAGGACCTGCTCTGGAAGTTCCGGTACCACTGAGCCTGCCGGACGTCCCCTGCTGGATCAAGGCTCCCTTAGCTCAATTTACACCGCTGCGAAGCGACTTTTTGCAACAAAACTGTACATAACATAATTAACATAGCATAGGATTTGCTCCTGTATCGTGGGTTCATTTACAAACAAATAAATTCACATACACATGACACCCAAACAACAACAATTTGTGAACTACACAAAGAGTAGATCCTTGCGGGAATCAAACACGATACACGTTGCGCGGCAACAAATTGCCCTGCTGCACCAACAGTTTTTTTTATGGCATATAAATGGCCGGTAAACGAGCAGACGGATCACCTGATGGTAAGCAATCGGCGTCGCCCATGGACACCTGGAACTCCAGAAGCGTTACAAGTGCGTTACCGGCTTTTTGGGGATCAGGAGTTTGAGGAGCGTCGGGGATTCAGGGATTGGGGAGATTGGGGAAGGGAAGGGTAATTAGGCCTCCGGTAACCTCACTCACACGACGAAACACAACGCAAGCGTTGCTTCACGTCGGTTTTCTGTGAGGCGTTTTACATCACCAACTTTACGTCAAGTGTATACACAATAAATCCGCGGCGGTGTAATTGAGCCTTAGTTCTCCACGTCGAACGACACCGTGTAGCCTGCATCTATTGACTCCTCGCAACTTTGACAATGTCGTCGGTCCAACTAGCGATATTACCACTATCCATTGTAATGAAAAATCCCTGATTTTTTTGGGTTAAGGCGAGCATCAGTTTCACGTAATGATAAGAAATCGCAACTGCCCATGAACACCCCAACAACAAAGCAATTACAAATGGGTTACCAGCCTTTCGGTGCCGGGGGTTTTGACAGAATAAAACGAACACAATCAACTAACGAAGTTCCTTTGTCTATACGGTTTTAATTCTATACGTAAAAACACATGACCTTCATTCTCTGTGAGTTTAATTATTTTTTGAAGTACATATTCGTGAATATTGAATACTGCAATTATTATCAATCACGCGATATATACTATAACGTCCGATCGCCGATGGTTATGAACTTAAATCAACAATATCGACGTTGTAATTCAACTGAGACTCAGAAAAATATATTAGACACGTTATAATGTTCTAATATAACCTTTTAAACTGAGATTCCAAACTGGTGATTATGGCAATCCCTTTTATGTTGATACCTTTTTAAAAGGCCGGCAACGTACCTGTGTCTCCTCTGGTGTTGCGGGTGTCCATGGGCAGCGCTGAATGCTTACCATCAGGTGATCGGTCTGCTCGTTTGCCTCCTATTTCATAAAAAAAAGATACACCCCCTAGTCTATTAAACCTTTGTTGTTGACCTATAAGTTGAAGTCTCCATAGTAATGGAAAAGTTTAATAATTATTTTGTTGTTCCAGATTTTACTTATCTTCGCATCGTAGAGCACTAACGAAGTTTCTGGAATGCGTCAACTGGAACCGACCCGGTGAGTCGAAGTCTATTTATAATTATACTAGCTACTACTACTACGCTACTTCCGCGCAATTTTACCCACTCTGCTCGGCTCCTGTTGATCGTAGCATGATTTTTCTAAGCTTTAGCCTTCTTCAATCTCTTCAATATTAGGTAGGATTTCTTCATCATCATCATCAATAGCCTATAAATGCCCACTGCTGAGCAAAGCCTCTTCTCACACGGAGAAGGTTAGAACATCACCACGATTGCTCAATGCGGGTTGGCGATTTCAAACTTATAATTAGAAATTATAAGTCCAGGTTTCCTCACGATGTTTTTCCTTCACCGTTTGTCAGTGGTGTCTAAATAATCTTAGAAAGTACATATAACTCGGAAAAAGTCACATTGATACTTGCCGTTGGTAGGTTTCGAACCCGCACCCTCATGCATGAGAAGTGGGCGTCTTAAACCTCCGGGCCACCACGAACAAGGATTTCTTAACGTATGTCAATTATCATCTTGACTGCAGCAAAATTCAATCTGTTTTTAAAAGAGTAACGAATGGAGCTTCTTGCTCGTTTTTCTCCACTCGAATCTACTTTTTGGAGCGAGCGCCTACCTTCACTGACGGACAGACTAACTGACTATTATTTATTTTATATTTTGTTGACGTTTGAAAGTACCAAATTTATGGTTTAATTGTAATAAATGCTTTTGAATTTAAGTTTAAATTGTGTGCAAAGTATGCTAGGTCAGCTACTTAGTTTCATCCTAACTAATATTATAAATGCGAAAGTAACTCTGTCTGTCTGTCTGTCTGCTACTCTTTCACGCCAAAACTACTGAACGGATTTGAATGAAATTTGGTATACAGATATTCTAGACCCCGAGATAAAACATAGGCTACTTTTTATCGCGAAAAAGGGGTTGTTGTAAGAATAATTATTACGATTTATCTGAAAACCTGAAAACGGATATCTGACAGGTAACATTACTATGGTAACCAACCTGATGATTTGTAATTGTTATGACGTCCTACTTCATAATATATTTTGGCATCAACATATAAAAATGAAGTTCTGTGGGTTTTCAAGGAATAATATTAGTATTCAGCTGCATCAGGGATCAGGGATTTTAAAGACAAAATACGAATTCAATTGACTGAATACAATTTATTCATAGACTAGCCTCTGTCTGCGGCTTCTCTCGCGTTCTTTTAATGGGGTAAGGGAAGGATTTACAATAAAAAAAATGAAATGATGCACGATTCTATGCTGGTCACAAATAACCCGCATACCAATTGTTAGCTTTCCACATTGAAAATTGCAAAATACCCCATACAAACTTTCACCTCTGTTTCACGGAAGTGGAAGGGGGTTAAAAAAAGACAAAAAGTAGCCTATGATACTCTCCATCTTTTCAACTATCTCAAATCAAAAACCTTCCTGACTCCGTTCTGTTGTGAAATACGGACAAACAAACAAACAAGCACATACAAATTTATATTATTAGTATACATTTCTTAAGTCATCTGACATTTGTGTGACAAGTGAGTTTACAAAGTCAATGTGTCATAGATTTTTTTTATACTATGGTATTAATATTAAGGTATGCAAAGAGGTTGACAGCAGTCTAAGGAGATAAAACCACGAATAAAATATTTTCAGTTTACTTGAATTCGTATTTTTTATATGTATATCAAAAAAACTAGCTAAATGCACATAGCTAAAAAATAATATTAGTCCTTTTCATTTTAGACCGTCAAGGCCAAATTCACTATGATAGTTTGCTGTTTGTTTATGGCATAAGCCGGTAAACGAGCAGACGGATCACTGCGCCGCCCATGGACATCTGTAACACCAGAAGTGCTAGAAGTGCGTTACCGGTCTTTTGGGAATTGGTAATTTGAGGATTGTTAGGGATTGGGGGGCTGGGGGGGGGTAATTGGGCCTCCGGTAACCTCACTTACACAGCGAAACACTCCTTTAGGTAACCGAGGGCTGGGCTCGCTGTCATTGCAGCGGAAAGTCCCCTCTTTAAAAGTGGCTTTAGAGAGGCCATCAATGCAAGGACCGCCCGGAGAACACGGTGGAGCATACCGTGGCGGTGTACCTTGCATGGGCTGAGCACCGCCGTGTTCTCAGGGATGTAGGAAACGGTGACCTCTCGCGTTCGGCTCTGGTTCAGGCCATGGAGCGAGGGGGATTGGGATGCAGTCGCATCCTTCTGCGAAGCAGTTATGCTTGCCAAGGAGAAAGCGGAGCGTGTGAGGGAATGAACTTCCTCACGCCCCAGCCGTCGCGGGAGACACTCTCACCGGCCACCGTAAGTGCGGGTCTGTAGACGCAAGCAAGGGTAGCTCGCCACCCGACCAGAACCAGTCCCGTGCATACGGCGCGCGCCTTACAGAGCCATGACACCATCATAGATGGAGCCCAGTAGGGCTGATGCTCGATACGGTGCCGCGGGAGGCCTAACGAGTTGACGGGGCTCCGGCTCGACGAGCAGGAGTAGGAACGGAGTGGATTTTAGTCAGTAAGAATCTGTCACTCCCTCTCACCTAACCCAAGGCGGGAGAAGTGATTGGATGATTTTCCGACCTCAAAAAAAATCTCCTTTAGGTAATGACAACCCGATGTGTGAAAAACTACCAAAAAAACTCCTTATATTACTGGTATTGATTACGCTGTGGAAATTATGGACAATAGAGCCAAGGGATGTATTAAGTCTTATAGAGGACATTAATATCAACATTAAAGTACATGTATCATATGTAACTAACCTAATATCAGAATACCTATTTTTTCATTTAAATGTTTGCGATAGTAACGCACGTCGCACCGGTACATATCAGGTCACATTATAGGAGAGAGGAAATCCCAAAATGACGGAAACTATGCGCTAAAAAACCAGGACCAAGGACGTTGAAATAAAGAGGGGCTCTTACCTTTTAAACCATTGAACCTATTTGGTGAAATTCGGCGCAGCGATAGTTTGAGACCCGGGAAAGGACATCTAAAAGTTTTTAACCCGAAAAACCCACGAAACCGGGAACTGTGCTGTTAAAATCACTATATCTATTTGATTGAAATGCGATACAACATTGATTTGCAAACATAGAATAGTGAAACTTCACGAGACGGGCACTATACGGGTAAAACCTCTATGGGATTGTTTATTTTAGAAACCACGAAAATAAATTCATTTCTCAATAAATATAACCTAGGTACTGAATCGATTGTGATAATATTTGTTCCAGTTGTACAGCCATAGAATATACCTTGACAAAGACTAATTTAAAAAACCCAATTTATACAGAAGTCGTTATTTCACGCGGACGAAGTCGCGGGTAACAGCTAGTTTAATTATAAGTTTTCGTAAGCACACGACTTTCGGAAACCGTGTTGCGAAATAAATTTATATTCAACTTTATCGGGTTACATGTTTTTTTTTTCTTAAACATAATTACTACTTGAACGAAGTCATGCCAAATACACATACGGTAGGTACATTGAGTCATCAGCTTAACGAATTTATTCAATAACAGTCAAATTCGCACACATTTCTATGTATCTCATAGTAATACCTAAATAGTAATTTAACCTAACTTTAAAAATCTCAATAGCAGCACGAAGTCTCTAAATGTGCCCGGTATATGGCAATAGGCTCACTCCCTATTACATGGGAAATATAAATAGTGAAAAGTAGGTGTTACATTGTACAGTAGCATTATGTGCCGTAATGTGGACCTCGGCCTACCCCTTCGGGGATAAAAAGGCGTGATGTTATGAATGTAATTTAACATTAACGTAACATCCTCTGTTAATAAAAAAATAGCATTATAATATAATAAATGAATACGGCACTTAATCTAATCTGGCACGTGGTAAATACAAAATAAAGACCCGATTCTTTATATTTTAGGCCTAATTAGATAATAATGTCGGATACTGACCTCAAATATTTTATACTTCAATGGATTCTTTTACGATAATCGTAATCTAAGACGTTGCTACCTAATATAAATAATATTATCATAGTTAATACAAATGTGGGTATAATTTGTGTCCAGAAGTAGTAAACTAAGGTTTAATAAAGATCGTTGGTTACTGATTGGTCTGATCCATTACATACGTTTATATTAACTGTAGTTAGAAAGTAATACTTTTGTTTACGATGAGTTTTAACCCAAACGTCGGCCCATGAAATATGTATATAAAAATAATAGAAAATACATAAAATCACGCTTATTTATTCCTAATGACAGAATTCAATGACTTATTCATAACATAACATTACGCCTTTTTAACCTCGAAGGGGTAGGCAGAGGTGCACATTTCGGCGCTTAAAACCACTGTACAAATGTAACACCCACTTTTCACTATTTATGTTATGAGTCCCATCTAATAGGGGGTCAGCCTATTGTCATATACCGGGCACAAATTTTTATTTTTTTTAAACTCGGCAATACTTTGCCCGACCCGGGAATCGAACCCGAGACCCCTTGCCCGGCAGTCGCACTTGCGACTACTTAGCCAACGAGGCAGTCATAGTGACTTTTTCAATCATCAGTTAAGAATTAACTGACGAATAACTTTGAATATTGGACAATTCTTCCACACTGAAAATTGTCAATAGGTAGTCAATTTTATTCTAATTAACTGATGAATGATAAATCGGCCCTAAATCATATGGATCAATCTAGGTTTTAGATAGGCAGTCGAGAACTAATTTTAAACTAAATTAATGTTCGATTATATAATTTAATCGATCGGTTAATCTACAAACATTGTAATCCGCACAAATACAATTTAGCTTTAAAATGCCCCCAATAGAAGTAATATAACCATAACAGCTTATTTAATCTCTTTAATTAACACAAAAATCCAGACTAAGCTCCATTTTTTCATCCAAATCTTCATACGTCCATACCGATCTTAACAAACAAACAAAAAACACATTAACATACATCTCAAAACAATCAAAAACACACCATATCCACTTAACAATAAAATCTAAAATCAACTAAAGTTTAATGGAAGTTGCGTCATTATAAATACTAACAAATTAGCATATTTTTATACTTATTGAATGTAACTTGTTTACCTTGTTGACACGTGGTTAACTCGTCGGTTCAGTTATGGTGAAATGCTTCACACAGACGAGTATGCCAGTGTTAAAAAGTTCTCGTTAAAAGTGTATTATAGAAATGAAAACTGAAACAGAACTTAGGATTTTGCGTGAATCTAAACATGTTGGTGATTGTGAGTGATTTTCGTGTTGTTTTTATTTATTTTTTTATGTATTAAATCTATCAAGTATCGCATAATAGTTGAACGTTCGCGTATCAATTCTGTGTTGTAGTTTTCGTTGAACTTTTTTATTTAACCTTATGTATTTTTTTAATCAAGTCATTTTTTTATCTCTGATGGTTTAGAAAGTGTTATGTACTTACATAACCACTTTACACTAGATATGTTAGGAGTTTCATATAATAGGGAGTGACCTAATTGTCATACACCGCGCACAGCTCCAGACTCCATACTTTTACCGAATAATTTCAAAAAACTTCAATAATACCGCTCTCTACCGGCGCTGTGGATGACCTAACGGGTCACCGCGGCTCCGGCTCGAATTAAGAGTACGACCGGGGTAGTTTTTAGTCAGTAAGATTACTGGTTTCCTCCAAAGGTTGTCTGTAAGAAATCGCATTCTGCGATAAGACTACCCATTGTACCTAAACCTTTTATTTTTATGTTTGCTGACCCTGTAAACTTCCCCTGACTTCAGCGAACATTTCAAGACCAAAATTAACGAAATCGATTCAGCCCTTCTTGAGTTTTAGTGAGACTAACGAACGGAAATTCGTTTTTATTTATGTAGATTTATTTATTTATTAACGTTTCACGCACAGAGTGTACAATAGGTGGACTTAATGCCGCAGGAATTCTCTCCCGGTCTGACCTTTGGGTGATGCAGAGAAGTTATTGGTAGGAGCAAGCAGCAAGTAACGATTTAATTGAACAAGTAGATGGTGTACAATAAAGTGTATAAATGAATTAAGTAAAATCGCGGGTTACTCACGTGAATATACTGAGAAAAGCTCTAATAGTTTCGAACCACAGAGGGGTTCACTGAGCTGCGCGACGTCGCCGCGACCGCGCACGCTGCTCATGAGGAAGAACCCCTCTGTGGTTCGAAAGTAGTAGAGCTTTTCTCAGTATAATCACGTGAGTAACCCGCGTTTTTGCTTAATTTAGTATGTCTCACGATAGTTATTGTATAAATGAAAATAAATAAATAACAGTCTGAATCATTCTCTGGTCTCATCCAAACCAGGAGAAGGCATTGGATGATTTTCCTTCAAATAAGTAAAAGTAATACCTGCTCTCTAATTGTCCCCAATTTAACGCTAATTATATTTAAAAAGTGTTTTTTAGTCACAGCAACGGTCAGTTTAGATAACCGCGTGTAGTTAGGACTTCCAAGGTTAACAGATACAAATATTGACTGCAATAATCAGTTAAGACAGGCATTGTTTAGAAATAGGACGCCTGTTTGTGTTTATTACTTAAAAAATCAAATTAATATTTTTTTTATTGATGCGTATGCGTGTTTGTTTAATTGTCCTTGTTTCATGTGTATACTGTATACGGAGCAATGGGTTGAAGTGATTTTTACACTGGATATAAATAGTGATATAGGCTAAGAAACATTATGCATATTTATTTTACCAAAATTACTCCCAGTGGCTTCTCCTTAGAACTGTGAAATGATTAGTTGACAGTTTTGTTATAAAAATGTGTACGGTGGCTATAAAACATATGAGAATGCGTTGCCAACGATGTAAGGGTATGTTAAACTGTCAATAATCAACGCTATATAAGAATAGTTTTATTTATTCAGCTGATTACCTGTATGAGCTACATGAATACCTTATACTTGTGGAAATTGTATTGTAAGAATTCCTGTGACTTAGTAAAGTATTTCTTACATACATACATACATACATAACTTCACGCCTGTCTCCCATGGGGGTATTTATAAAGTATTTCTTATTTATAATAATACACATTTTTCTTTTCTTGGTATGTTAATAGACACTTTAATGGTCACTCTGTGATAGATATTATTATAATCTATTTTATTTATTGCCGTTAAATAGGTAGCTAAATAAAATATCAATACTACCCCACGATGGCGAAACCCTATTTGAATGAAGAAATATATTTTGGTTTTATTTAATTTAGGCCAACGGTAGACACAAAACCCTCGATTTTAGATGTTTATCAAAATTATTATTTTTTTTATATAAAATAAATGTGTTCATGTTGGTTACAGGGGAAGTCCGTCAGGCGCTGTCTATGATGAAGCAATGGGCGCCGATGGACGTTGAAGATGCGCTTGAGTTATTGACACCCAAGTTTACGCATCCCGCTGTTAGAAAGTACGTATTTATGTTATCCTTACTATAATATTATAAATCGGAAAGTGAGTTTGTTTGTTTGTTTGTTCCACTTTCACGCCGTAACTACTAAACCGATTGCTTTGAATTTTTACAGACGTATAGTTAGAAGTCCGTATTAAATAATAGGGTACTTTATATCCAGGAAATATGTGATATTCCCGAGTGAAAACAAAATTATTGGTATAGATGGCGCTGTGTGTATTAGTTTATGTCACATAGGCTACTTTTTATCCTTTTGTGACGCGAGCGAAGCCGCGGGTAAAAGCTAGTAGAATATATTTGTCACCTGCCCTGCTCTTCCCGCGGGTAAACGCTAAGGGATTACATAAGATTAGAGAGCACTGGTACCCTGACTACGTCCAAACTTCAGTGTCTCAATCAATCGGTTCTTTCTCGCAGGAAGAATAAGGATGATGACGAATGTCATTAATTATAATTATAAGCAAACACGTGAATGTAGCAAAAAGATTAAACTTTATTCCATCTTTAAAAATATACATAGACAATTTTATTTTTATATACCATAAACAAAATAAACAAACATTATACATATAAGTCTCTACGTTCCAGTAGAGATGGTATAACAAGTAGCAGAACACAAACAAATACTTTTATTATTTTGATATATCATTACAACAATAATATTAGTGTTAATATACTCGTAGTAATTATTTTTATTTTGTATAGGTACGCAATCTCCCGTCTGAAGCAGGCACCTGACGATGATTTACTGTTGTACCTCTTGCAATTAGTACAAGCACTCAAGTATGAAGACTTTATGGAAATACATGACGGTAAGATTTTACTACACTGCAACCTAGTCTAAGAGCCTTTGTCGAACTCAAGTCTCCTGATAAAAATCTCAATACAAAAGAAATATTCAGATCTATGGAGGCGGGAGACTGATTTATTTTGATTGTATCTAGTGTTAACTTGATTAACCAATTCCATGATGGCAAGAAAGTTGACTGGAATTGGTCTTAAAATTCGTTTACTATTTCTGGGTTTTTTGAAGCGTCTTCAGTTATTAATAATATAACAAGAAAAAGAGTTGTTTGTCTACTAAACAAATCCTTAATTATAGTCCAATCTAAAATCAAAACTCGTTATACGCAATAAGGTTTGATTTCAAGATAACATAACTGAGATAAGGAGAGAGATCACGAATGTGATGTGATTTTATTATAATCCATTTTTGGAGTACCGAGTGCGAGTTATTTATACATTAACGCAATCAAATCGATTGATTGGTTACCCAGCAGGCCGATCATTGAACGTCATAAATGTATCAATGGAGCTACCGTTTTTGTTTGTCCAATCAAAGCAACTGTCAAATAATGAACGTCCAATGGCGTGATACTAGCTAATTCCTTATTGGACGAAGAACGAAAGTTGATACTAGAGCTAACTAGTGAGCAATGAGACGGGGCACTGGGCACTCAGCTCAAGGAGCTACGAGTAATATGATAATGGTGGAAGTTAATAATGTGGAAGGGAGATGAAGAAGGGGAACTCGACTAGTTTCAAGCATTATAGAGGCTCATATTCATGAGTAGATTTCCGCGACCCGCGACGCGGTGACTGTAGACAGTCAACAGACTTGAAACTAGTCGAGTTCCTCGTCAAATAATTAGGCGAGTAAGCCGTAAAACATAATAATTAATTTAGTGTGTGTCATGAAAGTTTTATAATATAAAATGAAGAAGGATTATGTTTGTATTGTAACTTTCGTGAGACATACTAAATTAACTAAAAAGCGGTTACACACGTGAATATATTGAGAAAAGTACAGTAGGCTGCGCGACATCGCCGCGACCGCGCACGCTGAACCCCTTTGTGGTTCGAAAGTGGTAGAGCTTTTCTCAGTATATTCACGTGAGTAGCCCGCGATTTTTAGTAAATAAAGAAGGGTTATGTTATAATCCATTGTCTACTTACCATTTTGGGAACAAATGGTAGAAAGGGGTTATAATTCCATTACGATTTCCGTTTGGGAAATCATCTTTAAAGATCAACTTCTACCTTCACATGTAAAGGAGAAATAAATATCAAGTCTGCAGTGAATATTAAAATATGATAGTGTGGTATACACAGAGTACGCCCGAGTATGTGGCAAGGAGTCTGTGGAGTTGGAGCGTGAAGGCAGGGAGGGGAGGGAGAGACTCATGCACAGCGCGCATAGAGCCAGCCAGGCCAGTCTACTGTCTGCCTCCGGTATTTATACCACCAACATTTCTCCGCTACTTCTTACCTTTCTTTCACTATTTTCTTTCTTTCTTTCATTATTATCTTCCTTTCTTTCTTTCATTATTATCTTTCTTTCTTTCTTCCATCAGTAGCTATCATTACCATTATTTCTCATTATTTCTATATTTTCATCCTTCTTTCTTTCTTCAATTACCTACTGCAGTTGTTTGTTTCTATCATCAATAGCTTCAGGTTTGTTACTTCTATTTTTTGTGCAACTATTTAGCGCAAGTGTAGCCTTAAATCCTATTAATCTAAGGGCTGATTTATCAATCAACAGATAATAATGTAGAATAAAATTGACATTAGACAGTTCTTAATATAGAAGAATTGTCAAATATTCAAAGTTATTCGTCTTATAAAATTTATCTGACATTGGTAAAATCGGCCCTAAGAAGTTTAGCCGTAAGCAGTTAACTGACTGTAGTAATAATAATAATAATGTCAAACCAATACTAGCTTGACATCAATAGCAGACTGAGCAAGCAAAAATTTTTGTATTTAGCACACATTTTGACATCGACTGTTTTTTTTAAATAATGTGTCTTATTTGCAAAACAAGATTATTAGGCCCTGCCCCTAAAGATCTTGTTTGACTGTCTATTTTGTAACTCAATAGCAACATAATAATTAACGAAAAGTAAGTATTAGAAATCTATTTAACTATGTACTTACTTTCGCATCTATAAGTTGATAATGCAACAAAAGTAAGTGTGATTTTATACAAATAATTTGTTGAACCCACTATCCTTCTCCTCCGAACAAATGATTAGAGTATGTGTTTGCTTGTGTAGTAATAACAGTGAGTGACATGACGTCATCAATAACAAGTCGTCGCTCGGCGGAGGGCGCCGACGACGCCGCGCCCACACTCGACAACAGTGTCAGCGGGAACAACAACTCCACTGCTGATAATAATAATGAATTCAGGTAATCACGCTGTTTTTTTTATTTTATTTGTGTACAGAAAACATTAGTTGTCTAGCTAATTGGTATTTTTTTTATTTGTCTCTTATGTAGGCGATTTCTTTACTGATTTGTCCAATGCATTATTTAATCTTATAAACTTGGTCATTATTTCATAAAACGAATAACTGAATGATATAGCGCGAACACCTAGTACTATAATATTGGCACTTGCAACATCTAGACGACAACCATTTTGAAGAGAAATGGATATATTTTTGCGCAGTTTGCGCAAGCATTGCGCAACAATACTTATTGTGTCTGACAATGCGCAACATTAACAATTGACAAGAAATAAGAGATATGATTACTTATTGTGTCTGTTTATACTACCTATGATTTTTGTACAGATACACGATCTAACTGGGTGTCATGTGTATGTGAACTTGTATGTTTATAAACGTACCCACGACACGGAAGATAATCCTAGTGTGTATAACATTTAAAAACAAAACTAAATTCACATTAATTAATATGTAAACCAAATCCCACAGTGAGCAATCAGACCCGACAGAGGAGCGTCTCTCCCTAGCATCGTTCCTGATCTCCCGAGCGTGCAACAACAGTGTAGTGGCCAACTATCTATACTGGTACCTACTCATTGAGTGCGAGGACCAGGACCAGGCCCGGGACCAGGCCGCACGGTCCATGTACCTCGCTGTCATGAGGACGTTCAGCCATCGGCTGGCTAAAGGTAGGTTTTATACAGGATTATCAGCCAGAATATTATATAACAAACATAACATAACATCACGCCTTTTATCCCCGAATGGGTAGGCAGAGGTGCACATTATGCCGCTGTACTATGTAACGCCCACTTTTCACTATTTATGTTATGTGTCCTATGTAATAGGGGGTGAGCCTATTGCCATATACCGGGCACAATTCCAGACTCCGTGCTACTACTGAGAATTTTTTAAAAACCCAGTAATAAATCAAAATAAAGAATATTATATCTACTGCAGAATGTTATGATTTGGGGATAAATACACACTTGGAGATTGCAGTTATCTAAATTGAATATATGCTTGATGGAAACCACGGTGTAGGCATAATGAGTATACTGGCTGCTGTAGTTGATGGCATTTTAAAGGGATATTTATTATTTACTGCCTCATTGGCCGAGTGGTCGCAAGTGCGACTGCCGGGCAAGGGGTCTCGGGTTCAATTCCCCGGGTCGAGCAAAGTATTACTGGGTTTGTAAAAACTCAGTAATAGCACGGGGCCTGGAAATGTACCCGGTATATGGCAATAGGCTCACTCCCTATTACATGGGACTCATGAGTATTTACTTTACGTCCTTGCGGTATTCGTTTATACAAGTAAGTTTGTAATAAGTTTTGATCGTGAATTGGTTTGTGTTGTTGTAAAAAATATTTTTTCCCCTTCAGGCACGGCAGAACAGCAACGAACTCGCTCATTCCTGGCTCGGCAGCAAGTGTTCATTGACAAACTAGTTCGCCTCGTCCGCTGCATCGCCAGGGAGAGTGGCTCCCGGGGGAAGAAAGCTGAGCGACTGCAACAGTTACTGGCTGACCCGGACGCATTCAAGTACAACTTTACCAACTTCGAACCCATGCCTTTCCCGCTAGACCCTAATGTTACTATTAAAGGTAAGTTTTGAAACACCAAAACTTTGAACAACAGTTGAAATCGTATGGAGTAGTTTGTAATAAATGGAGGTTCTCAATTCGTAGGAATCTCTTAGAAACTGCAGGGAATGATAGAGAGCTGCAATCACCCTGTCAAAGATGGAGAACACATTCAGTAAAGTCTTTTGGTACCGAGTACTAGAAACCCAAAAACCCTTATAAACCTGAGAACAAACTGCAACAGTTGGTGCGGTGGCTGGGTAACTGGCTGCCGCGCAACGTGTAGTGGGTACGATTTCCACACGAAGCAACTCTTTGTTTGATCCGCAAATTGTTATTTCTGATCTGGGTGTCATGTGTTTGTGAAGTTGTATGTTTGTAAACGCACCGTTGACACGGGAGGAAATCCTAGTGTGAACGTTTAAAAAAACCGCTTAAAAAATTCCTCCTATTCTTTTTTTGTCAATCCATAGTGCTCTTACTAACAAACCCTTTTTTTCCTTCAACAGGAATTGTAGCCAAAAAAGCGAGTCTATTCAAATCAGCTTTAATGCCATCAAAACTAACATTTTTGACAACAGAAGGGATCGAATACGAAGCCATATTCAAGCATGGAGACGATCTAAGACAAGATCAACTTATACTACAAATGATAACTTTAATGGACAAATTGTTAAGACGAGAAAACTTAGATTTAAAACTGACTCCATACAAAGTCTTAGCTACTAGTTCAAAACATGGTTTTCTACAATTTATTGAGTCGGTGACTGTGGCTGAAGCGTTGGCTACTGAGGGCAGTATTCAGAATTTCTTCAGGAAGCATAATCCGTGTGAGGGCGCCCCCTACGGTATTAAGCCCGAAACTATGGACACGTATATCAGAAGCTGCGCTGGTTACTGCGTTATTACTTATTTACTTGGTAAGTGGTTGATCGTTTGGTTTGATTTTGTTTAAATATTTAATATTAATGATTGCATGTCCTAATAATTATCACAAAGGTAAAATTTTCTAAAAACAATGAAATGAGTACTTATCCATAATTTCAAAAACTTATCAAAAAAGAAAATTATGAGAAATATTAAAGGAAATGCACTGTCTACAAGATTGCAACGTTTTGCACGAAAATATTACATTTTAATAAATTCAATGTCCTGCTGCATCATAAACCAGAGAAGAAAACCTAGTAGCAACTGCCATATTTTGTCTCTTTCCATACAATATTCCAAAAATCACAGTATTAAATAAAACTTTTTAATTCCAGGTGTAGGCGACCGTCACTTAGACAATCTGCTACTGACCCGTAGCGGAGCCCTGTTCCACATAGACTTCGGTTACATCCTGGGTCGTGACCCGAAGCCCCTGCCGCCGCCCATGAAACTCAGCAAGGAGATGGTGGAAGCCATGGGGGGTGTCCACTCGGAACACTATCACGAGTTCAGGAAGCAGTGCTATACTGCATTCTTACATCTGCGCAGGTAACCTTCTAAATCTGAACTTGAAAATGTGAATGTCTAACTATAGTACCTCATAGACGGTGTTAGGTAACTTTTTTGCGCAACCATCATCACCAACAGCCTATATATGCCCACTGCTGAGCAAAGCCTCTTCTCACACGGAGAAGGTTTTAGCATTATTCACCACGCTTGCTCAATGCGGGTTGGTGATTTCAAACTTATAATTAGAAATTATAAGTCCAGGTTTCCTCACGATGTTTTTCCTTTACCGTTTGTCAGTGGTGTCTAAATAATCTTAGAAAGTACATATAACTCGGAAAAAGTCACATTGGTACTTGCCGTTGGTAGGTTTCGAACCCGCACCCTCATGCATGAGAAGTGGGCGTCTTAAACCTCCGGGCCACCACGACATTTTTGCGCAACCATACTTTGCGCAATTTGCGCAGTAACTTGGTGCTCAGTTGCTGAGCGACGACTCGTGTCGTGTGTTCAATTATCAAATCTGAAAAGTAGTGCTAATGGATTTTCCTAGTTATAATTTTTACTTCATCTTCAAAATCTTCAATTTTTATGAGCATTTCGTTAACCTTTGTCTGGTCCCTTGACCAACCATTGCACATTTGCGACCATACAACTAACGACTTAGGGCCGATTTATCAATCAGTCAGTTAATACTTTTCTGTAAATTAAAATTGGGCTTTTGACAGTTAATAATATCGAATATTCAAAGTTATTCATCTGATAAAATTTAACTGTGCATTGAAAAATCTGTCCTTAATATAATTGAGATTAGACATTCAAATAATTATCATCTTGTTTGTTTTACAGACATGCAAACCTAATGCTGAACTTGTTCTCACTGATGGTGGACGCGTCAGTGCCGGATATCGCGTTGGAACCTGACAAGGCGGTCAAGAAAGTACAGGATAAACTAAGGTAAGGTCTACAGTATATTTCATATTCATAACATAACATAACATCACGCCTTTTATCCCCAGGAGGGGTAGGCAGAGGTACACACAGAAGTAAAACCCACTTTTCACTATTTATGTTATGAGTCCCATGTAATAGGGGGTGAGTCTATTGCCATATACCGAGCACATTTTCAGACTCCGTGCTATTACTGAGACTTTTTTAAAAACCTAATACTTTGCCCGACCCGGGAATCGAACCCGACACCCCTTGCACGGCCAGCGAGGTAGTCATTTCATATTCATGATCAATAAAAAAATAGATTTGTGTGAGCAAATGAGGGACTAATAGAAGAGAGCGGAAGACACTGGTCCCTCTAGGGAACCTAACAAAACTGTTTTCACTATGATGACGTCACTTTTGTAGTTATTTACAACATAATCTACTTACAGTATTAATATCTAAACTATCTCTGTTTTTTTTCAGGCTGGACCTGGGTGACGAGGAGGCAGTACACTACTTACAAAACCTACTGGACATGTCCGTGACGGCAGTCATGGCGGTACTAGTCGAACAGTTCCATAAATTCGCACAGTATTGGAGGAAATAGGCCAAACTTTTTACACAGCGCTTTGTTAGTCAAAGGAACTGAACTCTAGATAATTCGGAATAAAGGAATGGACTTGTTATAAGAATATAGTGCGGTGTGAATGTGTTTACATCTGATAGGTTTCCATCTATTTTTGACCTGGACTACTGAACTTGTCAAAAGTTCTGACATCGCCCTTAAGATGGGCTATATTGAACTTGTCCAAAGCAGACATTTGAAATAAGGAGGTTCATAAGACTTTAGTTCCTGCGACAAAAGCGCGGTTCTCATTATAGACTAATTGGCTATTTAAATGCTGACTTAATAATTTTGTATCAATATTTTATAATGTATCTAATAATTTTTATGTGTGAGAAATTGCTTTTTGTATAACCATTTCAAATAATGTACCAGGAAAAGACAATGAAAGGTTATGTACTAGATAAAAATATATTCATCTCATTTAATCATAAATATTTCAACCATTTTCAAGCTTTTTTATATGACTATGATAATTGGTTCGCACAGAAAAATGGTCGAACAATATTCTGTGATAAAATAGGTATTATAAGTGTTCATTAATATTTTAATTAAAAGACTATTTTAATAAAATTGAGATTATTCATTTATCCTTAATATTATACATATTATGACACATAAATAGGCTAGTGGAATAATAATTTAGTAGCAAAAGTAAATAAATTCTGTTTATACAAAATACCTTTTTATAAAAGCTTCAAGACATAGATTGTAATTACAACTAGCTGACTAAACATCACATTAAATGTAGCAGACTTGATAAGGTGGTATATGTTCAATAAAATGAGTTTATAGTAATAATATCACTTCCCAAGTTCTTTTTACTTTGTTTCAAGTATTAGCAGCCATCAAGTCGGCCCCACTGGCTATACAATCACTAGCCACTATTATCTTACTGCCCGTATTAGTCTGTATCACATCACAAGCTGCTACCTCTGCATAGTTCACACCACCAATAACGTAAACCAACACAGTTTTAGGCTTCAAAGGAAAACATGCCCCTTTATTAGGCTCATTTTTCAATGTCTTAGCTAAACCTCTAACATCTCTGCAACCAAATTCCAAGTCACTTTGTAACTTTAAGTTTGATAACTTTTCATTCAAAGTTTCTATGCCATCCTTGAATTTTTCTAGGATTGTACCACCAACTCGCAAGTCTGATACAGCTGACAACTTTGCTAAGGCATCAGCAAATGTGTCAGATGTCAGTAAAGCATTACAGAGCACTGCAATCAATGGCACATACCCACCATGGAACACATAACTTGGGCACGCTTTACCAACCTTATCAGCCTGAGATGGAAGCTGCTTCAACTTGTTAGCTACACTCTGAAACTCATTCTGCCATTTCGGTAATCTGTCACTTAGATTCCCAAGATTTGAAATGTTCAAAGACAATTTTGGACTTGAGGGCTGAATCAATAAACCGGCATTTATGAGATTGTTGAAAACATACAGGTACTTGTATCCAAAAGCCAATAAGTACTTGCTTATTAGAGCATTGTATTCATCATAAGTTAGTGACTGGGTCAAACTGAGCAAGCACATGAGTCGCAAGCTGTTGTAAATATGTATATCTGTGCCAAAGTTCTCATCAACAAATGTAAAGTTTGACTTCTTATTTCTATTGTTCAACATCTCAGTTTCAGCTAGCTTCAGATTCTCAAACTTGTTACTCATTTCAGAAATTATAGTTTCACAAGCAAGCACGTGGTTAACTAGATTCTGTTTGAAGAGTGACACTTGTTGCAGTTTAGTTGCAACAAACTGCTTGATTTCCTGTATCCCTAATGCTTTAATGTCCTCATTCTTCAAAAGCTTGGCTTTAGAACTGAGAACACTGAGGACTTCTGAGAAGTGCCTATGTTTAATTTCTCCATACAAAGTATCTATATTACTATCTAATGTCATGACTGTATTTTTGGAAGTCGCTGCTTCCTCTTCTGCACCAAAATTCAATTTTCCTTTCTTCAATTTGGTTTCTTTTACATTTAAGTCTAAATGCCCACAATGTATGTTAAATAATTCACTCAATAAACCACTATATGTAGCTGGGGTGAGCAGACTGGATGCATAGTCTTGGTTTCTATCAATAACAATCAAAGCTCCAATTTCTTTAGAACTGTGAGTATCAAGGAAGTCTCTTGCATAAGTTTCATTGTAGATCTCCAACATGTCCAGCACACTTGCAGATAATTTACCAACAGAGAATATAGCTCTAGGCTTCCCAGTAACATGGAACATACTCCATAGTGACATGGATATACTGGAGAGTAAGGAATGATTTTGTTCAACAAATAACTGCTTGAAGAGGAAAGGGAGTTCTAAACTAAGTAGTTGCTCATCTAAAGCCATGAGCTCCCATGAAAATGTATGGAGCTTCACAATTCCATACAATCCTTTACTTTCTAACACTGAGTCATATGTGGTAAGTACTTTAGGTACTATTATAATGTGGAAGCAGTTTTGATCAGCCAAGGCAGGGTTTTGACTCAGTACTGAAGAAATCTGGTCCAAAACACATTTGTATTTCATAATGCAAGCAGGTATGAAGTACACTCGATTCGTGTTAGCTGTGCTCCCGAGTTGTGGGTCCATTTTGTAAATTTTATCAATGCCATGTTGTCTGAAAAAAATATTTAAGAAATCATATATTTGGCATAATGCAAGGACAATAAAGTATTGTACAGTCAAAAAATAAACATAATTCATATGTTCAACCAACAATTCGGAATGGATATTCCTACAACGCTCAATACGGCAGATAAAAGACTAATAGTAAATTATGATGAGAATATAGTTAATTTAATAGAATAAACAATGAAGCGTACCTAAGCCAGCTTACGCCGCAAATCCTCTCTAACGGTTTTATAAGTGTAGGATCTATTATCAGGTCTTTTTTATCTGCACATAGTAACAGGATTTCTTTCAATTTACATTGCGAAATGAGGCATAAAGAAGCCAATTTCGAAGCAAGAGGCTGGTGGTCCATTTTGTATGTTTGACCTACTTTCGAAATAAATAACGGAATATTGTATGCATATAAATAACAGCACAAATTAATAACCAATAGAAAACAAGACACAACCAGAAGTATTTCTATTCAATCACTAAACTAAAACACTTCCGTATTTTCATTTCGTTTGTATTTTGTATGACATTACACAAATACAATACAACGTTGACAGCATTAAGCATGAATGACAACGTCAACAGTAGTAAAACTTCATGATGACATAAATTCTATACTTTGACAATGACAAAATTAAAGACGGCACTAGAATAGTTTTAATATAAAATCGAATCGAGCACGGAACTATGTTTTTAAATACATTTTTATGGCATAAATCGGTAAAGGAGCAAACGGATAACCTGATAGTAAGCCATCGGCTCCGCCCATTTATTTATTTATTTATTGTTTAAATAGAACGGTACAAATACCAATTACACTACTTAATACACATACAATTAAAAGAAAAGAAATAAATAAAATGTAAATACTTAAATTATTATTAGTCACTATTAGTCATCCATCTCTTTTGCAAAACTTCAAGCTTTCCGACTAAAATAATATTTTTTCTTTCCCATGGACACCTGAAACATCAAGGCGTTACAAGTGCGTTACTGGCCTTTTGGGAAAAATTTGAAGATTGTGGAGGATTCGGAGATTGGGGAGATTGAGAAGAGTGAATAATTGGGCCTCCGGTAACCTCACTCACACGACGAAACAACGCAAGCGTTGTTTCACGTCGGTTTTTTGTGAAGCCTTGGTATCACTCCGGTCAAGCCGGCCCATTTGTGCCGAAGCATGGCTCTCCCACACTTTAGTACATACATAGTTTTTTAGTTTTCATTATTTTATATATGATTGCCTTATTATTTCCAATAGGTTCTGAGCTATAACTAAGCTTATAACGTGTTCAATAATGTCTGATTATGTTTCTGGAAGTTTGCGGATAATTTAACGGATTACTAGCAATTAGATTTCGTAAGATAACCTTATACTTGCAAACCGCCAAGTCAGTATGTTTTTTGAAGGAATGAGGGTAAAGTACGTTCTTAATGTATTGATTACCACGATAACACAAATCACCTCCTTTGAAAAATCATGGGACGATACCATATAAACAGATAAATCGATACGAAATAAGTTTATGTTTAAATCGATTACAAAATAACGACACGTCTCTAAAGTTATCAAAAAAAGTATATATTTTGACACAAAGTCTTTTAGCACAATATGACTTTTGTGTTACCATGATGCTTTAAACTTCCGGTGCATTATAATGAGATAAAGAAATACACAATAATTAACCTTACTACAAAACGAAACTAGAGATTGTTCAAAATGTAAATCGTAAGTTATTATATTAGTTTTATGCTAAAAATGTGGACGCAAACCAAGTAAACATTCAATTTGTGGATGTCAGGTACTCTTTGAGTTATCCTATAAAGTTCATTTATTAGTTTGTATGTTGATAATAATTTAAATAATGTGATAATAATATTAATCCCGATCAAATTACTTAATTTTATTTTTCAAGTTATAACAATCTGTCAACGTCCTTGATAGCTGTTTCCGGTCATGCGTAGTAACCGCGCTGCAATTTCCTCCCCCTCCGCCCTTCGCCGCGGAGTTATCACTCGTCGATTTAGCAAAAATTAGAGAAATGGCTGCAAGAATTATCAGGAAAATTGTAAGTTGGTAGAAGTGTTACATAATAACTAACGTAGTGTCCTTGTGCATGGACCTTTATAACTTATAGCTTAAGCGGTTTGCTGTGATACAATTATCGTCATCCAAAAATAGACGTAGTAGTATAGTTATGTCGAGGAATTACATAAAAGTGCTTTTGAATCCTTTTCGTGAGAGTAAAGTGTTGGGTTCACTGCTGAAATGGCTGGAGCCGGGTGCGAGCAATAGTTCTGGGGTACATAAGGGAGGGAATGATGAGGTTACATATTATTTTTTTGTGATTAATTGGTGATGTATTTGAGGTTATGTGACTAGTATTTTCTGGTGCTACGTAGGTCCCAGTGAGCCGGAGCGGCGCCGCCCAGTACAGCTCTGGCGTACGTAAGGTGACGCTGATCCCTGGCCATGGAATCGGCCCTGAGATCACGGTCGCCGTGCAGAAGATCTTCGAGGCCGCGAAAGTCCCAATTGAATGGGATGAGGTCGACGTCACAGCTGTTAGGGTAAGTCCCGTGTTGTTTATTACATGCTATTGTGTATAGATACATCACGCCTATTAATCAACTTCAAGTGTATGTAATTATATTACTTTAAATACTTTACTATCACTATTGTTAATGCTTAACATTTAAGCATAACAGTATTATTTTTACGAATATATTATGATTGAAACCCATAAAGATGCTTACTGAACAAACTATAACTATGTTATCCTTTGTCTCGAAAGTACATAAGTTAATATTAGTTATGTTAATCTAGAATATTACTGTAAACTCATTGAAATATTCAAATTACTTCACTGCAAATTAACTTACAGTATACTGTTAAAAGTTTTGAATTACATAAAACTATTACAGTTTCCTTGTTGACCTGCATATTTTCAGTTAGATCTAGTTTCATTTGTGCAGTATGAAATGTCATGTTTCATTGAGGATTGTCCCCATTTTAAACTATTTTATTTGAATTACAAAACATGTTTACTGTCTCATGTTATTCTGATGAACTGACCTCATTTCTTTTTCTTTATTATTTTATTTATCAACAATTTGAATATTGAAGAAATAATAAGTTGTGCTTTAGCGAGGTATATCTATCTGCTGTACGTTACCTTTTTATGTTTGTTTCATACTAGACTTCTAAAAATCACACTTTATTATATAAACTAGGTTCCTGACTAGGGCACAAGCATGGGTATCCCTCAGAAAGCCATTGACTCTGTAAATGCAAACAAAATCGGTCTGAAGGGACCGTTGATGACTCCAGTCGGTAAAGGCTACCGTTCTCTCAACTTGGCACTGCGTAAGGAGTTCGACTTATATGCCAACGTCAGGCCCTGCAAAAGCATGGAGGGGTATGTATTCCTTTACCATATATTCTATAATTTATTGTCTAAGGAGGTTAGATTCTGACAGAACTCCTTTAATATAATGTTATGTAAGCATGCATTAGGTACAATATAATTAAAACTGCATGACTCAAACAGGATAATCATAAATGCCAAAGTCGCAACAAGTAATGCAGTTTTAGTTTTTTAATAAGACAACCATGTTGTATTTTGAAGCTCGACTAGAAGGAAATACTGTTAATTTATTCAGATTCTTTTGTTTAGTTTTGGGTCAAGTATGAAAAGGGGTATTCAGAAACATTAGTTTAATACAATAGCAATGATAATAATAGACATCACTTTTTCTTCGAGACATTTGAAGATTTGGCTTTTTACTGTCTTTAATTAGGTTTCTAACATTTCTGAAATAATTGTCTAATTTTAACTAAAAGGATTAAGTATATATCATGTCCAATTGGGTATAAAGACAAATAAGAATATTGTAGTGAGATTTTTATAATGAATAATAAATCAAATATGTAATCAATTTATAATAATTTACCTAATTAATTATGGGGAAAATTAATATTAATTACACACGATACTACTACACTATATTCATTCTTCAAAGCAAGTACCTATTATCGCTTAAATATAGTTTCCGGGATCATGATTTATCAGTAAGTGCAGTAAACCAAAATATTTACTTGTGCTGGACTTGAAATGATTGTGACATGATGTGGGTCACCTTTGATAACATGTCTAGACATATTTCAAGGTCTGCGATTGCAAGAAATCACTTACTGCAGTTATTTTCATGAGTAAAGTGTATTTATGAGTGTTTTAACAATACCTCATTAGTTAGAGATTTCTTTTCAAGTTAAGTTTTGTAATCTGTTGTAACTGTATTAACTCTGAAGAGGTTATTGTTACATGCTCTTTTATCTACACAGATATATAAAATTGCAGTGTCTGTTTGTAATATTGGAATAACCACTTTTTACTACATGCATACAATACTTTTTCCAAACTAACTTTTATTACAATTTTTGTCTGTCTGTCTGTTTGTTTGTACTGGCTAATCTCTGGAATGACGGGACTTTTATTGGCAGGTAGCTTTTTTTTATATTTGATGGGACGACGTTTGACCACTATCTCACCTGATGGTAAGCGATGATGCGGTAGCTAGCTGATGTACTAAGGAGTAACAGGCTAGTTTTATTTTAGAAAAACGCAGTTGAAGTTGCGGGTACAACTAGTTTATCTTAAAAATAATTGGTGCTTGATGAACATTACGCAAATTTTTTTTCTAAGAACTTTTCAATATTTTGATAATCTTGTTTGTAGTGTATTTCTTAGTACTAATGTATAGTATTACTTAGAACTGATATATATCGATGCTACTATACAATATTGTAATATGTGTTATTGCTAAGTGAAACCAATGCCTATTACGTTGTTGTTTAGTTTGGCTCTCTGCCCAGGCATGTAGGGCATTCAACTCGGATCTCTATCGACCGGTAGGGCGCCATCAAATATTTAGAGGGAATTGCATACGACATTTCATTTTTAAACTGGTTATATTCTAGTTTCCTTCCCACTACTGAAGTACTTAAAGTTAAAACAATCGTGAGATATACTAAATTAACTAAAAATCGCGGGCTACTTACGTGCGCCAGCATACGCTGCACGACAACGTCACGACTGCGCACGCTGCTCATGAGGAAGAATCCCTCTGTGATTCGAAACTAGTAGAGCTTTTCTCACTATATTCACGTGAGCAACCCGCGTTTTTAGTTAGTTTAAAACTTTGTTTATTTCTATACTTAAATCTACCTTAAAGAAGGTATACAAATGATGTTACAGTTAGGCATTGAATTAGGTATGTATCGGTAACCTTGCAAAGTTGATTTCACTTTTTATTGGTGCTATATTTATTTTTTAATTATGCCTTTTTTATGGGGTAAACCGGTAAACGAGCGGATGGATCACCTGATGGAAAGCAATAGGCGTCGCCCATGGACATTTTTTGATAACGTTGGGAATCCTTCAAGAGCCGCCTAGCTTTTTTGGGGGGTAAAAACTAGGGAGTGTGGGATTTCTACTTTACTGAAACCACCCCAATGGCCACCAACATCACCTAGGGGGCCACCAAATCCTCTATAATAGCCCTGCTTCGGAATCCCACCTACACTTTACCAACTTAAATATTTAACAAAAATATTTGAAGGCCAAGGGTAGCTTGCCAGCTCACGCTATTATCAGAATTTCCTAATATAGATTTACAACAATCATAATTTGTGTAATGGTATCTATAAGATAAACGGATTATAGTATCGACTACAAAAAAGTCCCTAATTATTTTCAAATTCTACTTTACTCTTGATATGGGACTTATATTGAAGAGAAGAAGTAATGAATTGAGATGAGGAAGTAGGGAACAGCAGTAGTATGAAATAGTAAAGAAAGTTGTTCATAAAATTAGGAACATTCTAGCTCCATAACGAAAATTAATCACCTATTTAAAAATGGTTAAAACAATTATAGAAGTGTAAAGGGCGCATGCATTTACTATAAAAAGATTGTTAAGTATTTATTTTATTGCACATTGTTTTTAGAAGTAGATTAGAACGCCGGACCTCGTAATGTAATCTTACAATCTTATACTATTATATAAAGCTGAAGAGTTTGTTTTCTTGTTTGAACGCGCTAATCTCCGTAACTACAAGTCTGATTTGAATAATTCTCTTTGTGTTGGATAGTGCATTTATCGAGGAAAGTTATGGGCTATGAAACATCACGCTAAGATCAATAGGCGCCGAGCACAGCGGATGAAACCGCGCGAAGATTACTAGACCATTCATAAAATTGCGACTGACGAATTTTCCCTAATCAGTCAAAAAGCAATCGTTAATCCAAGCTAATCGATTACGCACTATCGAAATTGTGTCCAAAATTATCTATAGGGAATTGATTTCAATCACATGAGGTTGTTTTATGATAATATTGTGTAAATGTATAATTTTATCTTCGGTACGCACTGGTTTGCAGATATTATTAGATATGTTGTATTTGAATTGATTTATGGAGTGCCTATTTATCATTAGGGCTTAACCAGTTAGGTGTTAAGGAAAAATGTTTAGATTTATTACTGATTGCTGTTGGCCTTCTAGTTTTTATGTGAGGGGAAATTCATTACGAATAGGTTGGTTGAGATCACAGAACTTGATGACGTGATCTGCAATCGATATCGAAGCCAAAAATATGGTTTATAGAATTTTTGTCTGTTTATCTGTATGTATGTCCGGGCTAAACTCAAAAAGTACTGCATGGGTTTACTTCAAATTTTGCATGAATATTACTAACAAGTCGGGTCAACATAGGCTACTTATTATCACATTAGTATCACCTACGGGGGAGCTGTGAATCACAATTCCACGCGGGCGAAGTTGCGGGCACAGCTAGGCAATAGGGATGATTTCAGATTCACGCAAAAATAAAAACGCTCGCGAATAAAAAAATTATTACGATTTAAGTTGTAGCGTAGCACGTGTATAGTGATGATACGTAACCTTGAACTATTCAACTAAACAGGAGAATATAATAGTGCCTGCATATTTGCAGAATCCTGTTAGAATTAGTCTGCACCAGCGACACAGCAAACATAATCATTTAGTACCTTATTGTGTTATCTATCACACACAGGCGCTAAATAAACGTAGTTTTGGCGCCTTCTACACGTTTGCTTTTCATGTTATCAATCAGCTAATAGTTACGTAGGAAATTGTAACACCATTTGTAATAGTGAAGTTTTCGGTTTCAAAACTCGTAATGCGCATAATCTATGATGCTATAAGCTAAGTAGAATTGTCGCGGAGAACCTAACGGGCTACCGGGGCTCCGGCTCGAAGCGCAGGAGAAGGAACGGGGTGGTTTTTAGTCAGTAAGAGTCTGAAACTCCCTCCCGTCTCACCCCGGCGGGAGCGTAAAATTTTGATAATCAAAACCAACCTTTTATACACAGACGATATAATTTGAATAGAGCTTGACTTTGACCAAAAAGAGTAATATTGATATGATAAAAATAATCTCAAGTTGTCGATAAACTCAAAATAAATGGCTCCTCGATAAAGAGGCACGTGCCAGTAATGTCAAGAACCGGAATTTACCGGTTATTCTTTTTTAATATAATTGTTATGATACAGATTACGAATTGCAATCGTTCACATTGCAAGTTGTTGACATGGCATTTAGATTGGATCTTAATGCATGTGTTTTTAATTACGACTTGTTAAACAGAAGCAGTTGTGGACACATTTTGAAACTGATAAGTAAATGAGGGGTTTCCTAAATATGTTAAAGAAGCTTTCCCTTGCGGGTCAGTCGTTCAAAAATTTACTTTGGACTACTAAGTTTCAGTAAACTGTATTAGGTATTGAGATAGGTATTTGAAAAACAGTTAACAGTTTCTCCTAAGGGACCGACGCTCTCTTAAGGTGCACTTATGAAATACTAGCTTTCTTAGCTTAGGCTTCGCTCGCGTCACAAATGGATAAAAGTAACCTATGTGACACACACACAGCGCCATCTATACCAATACTTTTGTTTTCCCTCGGGAATATCACATGACTGTTGAGGAATCGAAAGAGGTATGTAAGAATCCATAGTCCCTACCTACCCCTATGCGATACCCGCGTAAGGTTATGTATGAATGTGTGAATAGTTAGCATCATACACCAGTAACGCTAAACAAATCAAAACCATATAGATGTGCTATCAATTTCCCTGACTACTGCGAGATAACGCAACGCACAGACAGGTATTTGGTCCTAAAAGTTGGCCAAAAATATTTGGTACGCCTAATGGCTGTCAAACGATGTTTTATTTTAGTTTTAGCTTGAAAAAGGTAAAATAAAAGCGTATGTAACATATACAAGCCTTTATTCTTCATTTTCGTCGTCTTCATCAAAACTTAAATTTAAAACGTCACTTTCTAGTAACAAATTTAAAACATCAGCCGAATTAGTAACAGATTTTTTTATTCTTCCTCTTCCTCATGCCCGTCCAGACAGGGTCGGAAGTTAAGAGGAGCCTGTTAGACACATCTGCGTTGCAGGCTACCCGGGAAAATTTTCGGGCGTAGTTGAGCCGGAACATCCTAATGTGTTTGTTGCGGGCTTCTGCCGCTTCTTCGGACAGTTGTCCAATGGGAAGAATTGGTTCCTTTACTACTGAAGCCCCATGATGCAACACTTTATGCAATGTCGGAGACATTGGGTAAAACTTATACAAAGAAACGTACAACTTTGCCGTTTCTTGGCAATAGCTTTCAAACATCAAATAAATTTACGTCTATCCCCGTAATTGTCGCTGATACTTCGAAATTTTCAAAAAAACGTCTGTTAGTGTTTCCGTCATTGGTATTTCCAAAGTTGGCTTTTGGTATATCCACCTACAGACCGAGTTTCTCCCGGAACTTATCTTGGATTTCTTTTTTTTTATTTTCCACTGTTTGCTTTTCCTCGGCAGTAAGGCGAACGTTCCATTTTTTTACGGGCAATCTATAGGCCACTTGTAAAATACTCTCAAAAAATCTTATCCGAGCATGCAACAAAGATAAGCCGAATTCTAGATTTTCTTTTTTGCATGGTCTCTCCTTCTCTAAATCATTAAACTGTAATGACGTGGCGCCGCATATGTAGCACCTCATGGTTGATTGCATACTTTTCCATCAATCATGGTGAAAAGCATTTTATGCTTAATGGAAAAGCTGTTGACTTCGCTTTTAGTGAGCGCTGTTATTTGCGATTTAATATAGTAAATCTCTTCATTTGTCACATCTGTAGTTTCTTTTATGAATCTTATTCTTATAGGCCAACAATACCGTGGTGAAGATGGAGTAAGATTTTGCCACAGTATTTTTCTTTCCGGTCCGTAAATCAACTGAAGCGGTACCATGGAACTTTGAAATATGTTTGCGTCCGAATCGGTTTCATTTTCAAATTTCATTTTATACTGCATCTGTTGAGATCCATCGCAGCTCCATTTACTTATTAATACTAATGATTGTTTTTCTGCTTCACTCAATTGTTCCACTGTCTCACCAAGATGTAAAATCAGTCGTTGTGCCGTGTGATCCATGAGATTTTGAACCTGTACTTCAGCGCACGTTTCAGTTACTCTGTGGATTTCAGGATAGCTAGATAGGTATTTGAACGTTCCATTATATTAAATAAATCATTTCGAGTCATGACTCTCATTCCAGAAGAGCCTATAACAAAAATACACCAAATATAAGTAAAACTTCAATTATTGAGTACCGAGCGTGTCTAGGGAAAAAAAACACCAAAAATAGAGGGGCACTTTGGGGCGGCTATTTCCTACTTAATTACATCCTAAAAGGTCTATTCTAAAGCTAATCATTACAATTTTGGCTTAGAAATGATGAGAAATATATTAAAACTCCCTTTGATCTTCCAAAATGTGTTTTTTAAAGGCAGTTTTTTGGGGCTTAGTTCTCAAGGGTATAAATAAAGAAAAGCTAAAGATTACTTGTTAAAAGTAAGTGCCAAATAAAATACATACCTGGTTGTGTACAATCCATAATGAAAACCACCACAAAATCGTTCAGTCACAAGATAGCAAATATTTCAAAACAACGAAATCTGAGCGCATCGAACAGTCACACGAACACTTTTGGCGAACGGTAACTTCCGACTGAGCCCACGACGTACTGGAAGGGGCTAGCGCTTTGTGTTTTTTGCTATTGTTTGGAGCAGTTATCCTTATTTTTGGAAACAATGGCTTAGAGGGAGTAGAACTAATATAAAAAAAATCAATTTTGGCCAGCTTTTAGGGCCAAATACCTGTCTGTGCAACGTTTCACTTAGCACGTACTGATAAGGGTATCTCTAAACATCTGACGCCATTTGACAGTGTCAATGGCATGAGTACCTACTCGTGCTGTTCAAGGTTCTAGAAAAAGGTTTTGTCGGTCATTGCCTTATTGGAATCTTGACAATACTAGCTCAAGGAGATTAATCAAAATACCAAAAACTAATAACAAACAAAAAGTCTAAGAAAAAAATAACTGTCATTAGTAGGTACTGATAGGTTACCCACCCACTGAGGTTAGAAGTCGGTGCCTTAATAGTAACTCCTCCTTTTTTTGAAGTCGGTAAAAAAGCCGCACGTACCTAATGTCACTTAGAAATGATTGAAGCACCAGAATGTCAGTGGTGTATTTATGTGTGCGTGTACTTGCAACACCGTAATGTACAAGTGTAATGACAGGCCAGGTCACGCGACAGATGTCCTTCGTGTCAATGTGTGTGTGTTCTGCGTGTAAGTTTATAGTAGCCAGGTGCCACGGTCGTTGTTTCACGATACTATTTCCGCCTTTTTTTCAATGTCCTCGTACTAACTAATAAATAATTGCATTTTGTCTTGTTGTTATTTACAAAAGTATAAGTGGTACTTAATTCGAAATGGATTTCTTTTAATAGGTCCCTATCTGGCACTGATTCTGGCAAAATAATTTTGTGGTTATACCACAAAATGCAACTGTATAATATTTCCTCCTAGCTAGTTATCCACGTATAAAAGAAGCCTTATAAAATGTCTTGCATTCTCAAACCATTATGTAAACTAAAGCAAAGGGATTTCCACTTTAAAATTATCGCTAAAAGGTTTACATTCTAACGTTTTGAATAAAAGCGTATGTTTCCTCAAAGGCATGACATAAAGGTTTCAATGACCCAGAGCCCCAGAGGTCGTTCACTTACGAAGACTTGCTTTGAAGTACCTACATAATTAATACGGTGCCAAAAGGACACAATACTAAGTTTTATTCTTAACTAGCGACCCGCCCCGGCTTCACACGGGTGTAATGTAATATGCCTGTATTATACATATAAACCTTCCTTAAACACCTCGAGGACACCGGTGACCGCAACCTATTGTTCTTTAACCTCTTATCTGCCGGCATGTGAGACACAATAGAAAACACATTGTGTCTCGCGTATATCTACGTTCCGGCATACCAGGGGTTAATTGTGTCTATAATGACGGTATCAAAGGGTTAAGTATCATTTCTCAAATAAAAAAATCGCATCAAAATCCGTTGCGTAGTTTTAAAGATCTAAGCATACATAGAGACAGACAGACGGCGAATAGTGTTTTATACTATGTAGTTATATTTGCGTACCGTACAACGATTACAGCTATGGTTTTAAATTTTTGGGTAACTGATTTAGGATGATCGAATCTTAGTAGGGTTCTAACAGTTCGTGCATCTATTATTGCTGCATACATCATACATACAGCTGTTTCGAAATCAGATAATCCTTATTCAATCCCCTAAGTCAAACTAAGAGTTTCCTTATTTTTTAAGTCGATTAAAAACCCAACAGTTCTTTTCTCAGTAACTAACTGACTTTACTTCTAAATATTTTCCTTGTTAACGAGTCTATTTATAGTGTTGCAAGTTGCAGTAGATGTATTAATTGTATTATAGAGTTCCTTCCACTGATCGTATCTAAACAACAGTTTATGCCAAGAGAATTTCACATTGTTAAAATATTCAGGCGTCTCACAGTAGCCATGTTTTTTACATGTTTTTGGAGTGTATTGAACTTTGGCTCTAAAAGGTGATACCATTGTTGTTGTGGTTGTTCTTGTTCGTTCAAGCTTTTTACTGACGTTATTTTCCACAATAAGAAACCGTAGTGTCTTGTATGATATCGGTTACGGCAATTCCAATTTTATGCTAATTGAACAACATAATACCATGTCAGCTATTTTCATTGACCCAATAAGAGGTCTGGTCTAGATGTAGTGTCAAAAATATCAAGTTTATACCTATATTTATTGATGCATTGCTTGATTACCCTGACTTCGATTCCAAAGTGTGATATAGGACGAATTACATAATTAGTTTAATTATTATTCTTTTCTTCTTTCGGCCCTCGTCTGTGTTATTTTCCATTCTCAAACGTTATTCCAGCAGAAGTACACACATTACACACTATGGGAATCGAAACTAAATCGTCAGTTATTATTACAATGGTCATTAGTTATTACTACTTATTACTGACGATTTGGATAACTATATTGGGCTATTTGCTTTCAAACACACTTACCACTTAGTTGTTAGAATAACAAGCCAACGATTTTCTGTTTATTTATATTAGTTTCTATATCTAACAGACGTGCATTTCAAAAAACGTTAAATCAATTTGTCATCTCCATCGTTGCGTTTTAAAGACTGGCTGCTAGACAAGATACTCGTGCAGTACGCTACGCATTGGACCGAACTATTCTTATTTAACTACAGAACTCGTATCCAATCCTCGTAGTAAATGTTACGTGTGTTTTGATACTACATAGGTAGTAGGTACTTACGGTTTTATGGGATGCTAGATAAATATTTCTAAGTTTGGAGAACCTACTCAATTAAAAGTTTAAATTAACTTACATTTGTCTATTTCTCAATTTCCCTTGGTGCGTCTTCTATTCAATGAATTTTTCTTTTTTAATCATTAAAATAACTGTATTATATGGCATGAAATCATACAATATTAAAGTAATTTTTTTTGTCTAGCCAAAACTAGAACAATACACGTACCTACCTAACTTTTCTATTATAAATCTAAAACCCCAGACAAAAGACAAAAACAAAACAGTTTCCACAAATAACTAACCAATGACTGCCTTATTGGCCGAGTGGTCGCAAGTGCCACTGCCGGGCAAGGGGTCTCGGGTTGGCAATAGGCTCACCCCCTATTACATAAGACTCATAACATAAATAGTGAAAAGTGGGATTGCATTGTACAGTGTTATAAGGTGCACCTCTGCCTACCCCTTCGGGGATGAAAGGCGTGATGTAATGTTATGTAATAACTAACCAACACATTTTTTTATTCCAGCATCAAAACCTTATACGACAATGTAGACGTAGTAACAATCAGAGAGAACACGGAGGGAGAGTACTCGGGCATTGAGCACGAGATCGTGGACGGAGTGGTACAGTCCATCAAGCTGATCACCGAGGAGGCGTCCATGAGGGTCGCGGAGTTCGCCTTCGTATTCGCCAAGGAGAACAAGAGGAAGAAGGTCACAGCTGTACATAAAGCTAATATTATGTGAGTAGTTTTTGTATAATGCTTAAACTTTAAATAGTCATTTACTTTAGCATTGCAAAGTGTAATGATTTTTTTTAAATTATGTGGTAAACTATTTGATCTATACTAAGTTCTAGTAAGGAAATGTAATTGAATGACAAAGGCACGGATGATGAGAAGGATAAGAGTAGAGAATAACGAAACTATTAACCCCTCGAGCGTCCTTATGAGCACCCGGTGGATCATAAGAAAAAATGCTCCATGTTGCTTTCTCTTTTATAAAATCTATTATTAATGTTTTGTTTTTATATTTGACTGTATTTTTTATTTCTATTGTAATGATCCTTGTTTTCGTGTGCCAATGGCCAAATAAATGCATTTTCTTTCTTTCTTTCTCCAAATGTCACATGTGCACCCGTTGGATCATAAGGAACGCGGATGCTCGACGGGTTAAATAAAACTAAGTTCTAGCTTTAAATGTTTAAACATTTCATCTAAGCATCTAAGCAGTTCATTACTTCATTTCAGCAGTTCAATACATCATTTTAAGTGAAGAATTATCACACAATCATAACAATAAAAATTGATGTTTTAAAACTATACAAAATTAAATGTATTGAATTCAAGCGAGATAGTGGTCAAACGTCGACCCATCAAATATAAAATTAATGTTATTTACTTTTGATAATGAAAAAAATATCTATTCTATTACACTAATACAGTCAAAATTAGCCTCAATTGACCTATTTTACATATTGTAACTAAATACCAGCCAGTGCTAATGATAATAGACTGTAATCTACTCCAGTGCATACAAGGTATGCTAAGTGCCACATAGTACTACGCTCAATGTCACATGAACATATTGGACGACTGTTGGTGGCAATTTGCGTTTTATTCATCGTTATTTATTATTATTATTAAGATTTTATTATATTGTGAGCCAGTGGATGCTTGTGAGAAGTTGTCGTCCGACGTGGAGGACCAAGGGGGACGTATTTCGGCTGTTGATGATACTGATGATTATATTGTTTGCAAACACATGCAATATGGAATTTATAGAAATGTTTTGTTAACTGCCTCATAGGTCGAGTGGTTGCAAGTGCCACTGCTGGGCAAGGGGTCTCGGGTTCGATTCCCGGGTCGGGCAAAGCAATAGTCGGTTTTTCAAAAATTCACAGTAATGGCACGGAGTCTGGAATTGTCTCCGGTATATGGCAATAGGCTCACCCCCTATTACATGGATATCATAACATAAATAGTGAAAAGTGGGTGTTACATTGTACAGTGGCATAATGTGCACCTCTCTGCCTACGCCTTCGGGGATAAAAGATGTGATGTTATGTTATGTGTGTGTTTTGTTAAACTCTTACTAGTAGTTTACAGCTTTTTAATTAGGTTATTCAATTAAAATTTAATTTGGTATACATCATTAATTAGATTTACGAGTTTTAATAGAAGTATGCACACATTATACAAAACTTTGATGTGTTTAGTTACGTAATAGTTTATTATAACATTTACGATTGGTTAATACAATTTTAGCCTATGGTCACTAGTATATTGAAAGTTATATCTCCAAGTCAATTATGAATCGCCATCTTAGCCAATAAGCTGTGGAAGAAAATTAGTTTTCTTGAACAGAAACACAGAAAGAAAAACATTTATTCGACACATTGCATGAACAGAGATGTAGACAAAAATGAAAAACGTAATAAAATATAAATAAATTAAAACAAAACTAAACATCACAAAAATAGATGCATGCCCATGCCGAACAGGCCTCCACCTCAGCATTATGTTGAGCGCAGTATAAGTCGTTAATAATTTCTCCAGATAAATTTCTCGAATTTGTCTCAACTACCCATTATCTACCATTGTTTATGTCTACGTTCCAGGCGTATGTCAGACGGTCTGTTCCTGCGATGCTGCCGCGACGTGGCAACCAAGTACCCCGACATCAAGTTCGAGGAGCGCTACCTCGACACCGTCTGCCTCAACATGGTGCAAGATCCCGCCAAGTTCGACGTGTTGGTCAGTATACACAATAATAACTATTTTTATATCGGTACCATCTTTTACAAACTTTTATTTGATTTGATTACCACATGCAAAATCTAAAAAAATGTTTGTGAGCTATCTATAAGGTAAACGTGCACTGTGTCTAGTAGTTTCGTAGGTTATAGAAGAGTGTTTTACGGTTCTATGAATAAATATTCATAAAATTCGTTCTATTAAATAATAATCTCATAATATTTTGCCCCTTTTTCTTTTTTTGATGACGGGGGGAAACTCTTAGAAGGCGCGCAAATTTTTAGAGGAAGAAAGATTAAGAAGTGTAGGATTTTTCCCAACTTTAACCACCCCGGTGCGACGGTCACCTTCAGCTCTTGTAAGGCACCTGGTCCTCTAAAAAGGACCTGCTCCAGAAAATGGTTTATCCCCTAGTTTTTACCGCCTTCAAAAATAGGAGTAGGTAGTATGTTCCAATGATTGTTTTTTTTTATCATGACTCATTCTTGGTAAAAATCATTCCTAACTCCAACTTAACTAGTCGCGGAGAACCTAACGGGTAACCGGGGCTCCGGCTCGACGTGCAGGAGAAGGAATGGGGTGGTTTTTAGTCAGTAAGAGTCTGACACTCCCTCCCGCCTCGCCCAGGCGGGAGCAGTCATTCGATGATCTTCCTACCTTAAAAAAAACTCCAACTTAACTAAGAAAACATATACCTTTTATTCCTCAAAGGCATAGGTAGTCAAGATTCTTAAAAAAACATATTAACTTAGTATTATTGATTTCTTATTCTAACAATGATTTTATATCAACTTCCAGGTGATGCCCAACTTATACGGTGACATCATGTCGGACTTGTGTTCTGGTCTGGTCGGAGGTCTCGGTCTCACGCCCTCGGGCAACATTGGCAAGAATGGAGCGCTATTCGAATCCGTAAGTATAAGTTTAATTTTATCTACAGAAGATTAGCAGTATAAAATTGTATATTTTGTACCTTTTTCCTATTAGCTAGTGTCTGAAGATTTCATTGTTAGTAATAGAAGAGAAACTATGATGAAAATAACAGGATGAATTATTTTTGAGTCTGACTCTCTTTGCGGTGAAGTAAAATGCCAACTCTTGGATACCTTTGAGTTGATTTGAGAGGCAGAATAGGAGATAAAATGCCAGAGTTCCTTTTGTTTATCATGAGCTCCATGGATGCTATGGTGCTCAGAAAATACTCGGCTAGAATGAGACAGAAGGAAAACTGTTATGACGATGCTGATGATAATAACCAGTGGTTTAATATATCTGTTGAGAAATGTTAAATGAAGAATTACTTAACAGTGAAGACATTTTTTTCGGATTATACAAAACCAGTCGCAACTGTTCGTAATCGTTAGTGAATTTAAAATGTACAAGTCCAAGACATGCCTGTATTCAATTACGCAGAAGTCCATCAATACAAAAATCGACGTGCGATATCACACAGAATCGTCAGAAATGGAACAATACAAAAGATGTTGTAACAATATAATTTAAAAGTTCAAAATTGATCTTCACACGCCATTTCGGATGCATTTTTCGGTTTACTTTATAAGTTTAATGTTTGCCAAAACTTCTACAAATCTACAAAAGTGTTACCATTATCACCGAGTGACACTATGAGAAAAAAACCTTGTTATGAAGTGAAATAATGAACCATAGACTTTTGGAAAGATAAGTCGAATCAAATTATTGAGTTTGAACTAACAGGTGTGGGTTACATGTTCAAAAAATGTTTTCACATGGCAATAACCGCATGACGATTCGAAACTTATGGTTTATGTTTTGATTAACCTGTTTTTATGACATGTCGACTAATTATTTGTGAATGTCTTATCCCGTTTTCACCAACCACCCCAAAACCATCTCTTAACTAAGAGTTACTTTGCGTGAGCCCTTAAACTTACCGTTAGGTGTCACTTATGGGTTGATAAAAACTAAAATGTGATTAAGTGATTAAGGGACACCTGATTTTAGCTTAGATCCCTTTAAAATTTAATCAAGAGAGGTTGATGGAAACGGAAATACATGTTATTTTCCCTATATCAGTGGTTTTATTATTAATAAATCACTGAGCATGTGTTTATAATTATGCTACAACACTTTGGAAGCTCTTTCTAAAACTATACTCTTGTTTTTTTAAATAAATCTGTATCTGTACTTGTATGTTCTGTGGTCGTAAATGCGGCTGCTTACTCAGATGGCATGGCGTTCCGATTGTGTCCTTGTTTGTTAAGATATTCTCAATGTTACTGTCTAAAACTGGGACATGTACTCTGCTTATCTCTTAAGGAACACACGGATTGATGTTTGTTATTGTCCTTTTCGAGAGAACTTTCTTACTGAAAAAAATATGACAACTATTATTGTACATGTCCATCTCATTATAATTAATTTCCGCATTAAATAATGACTTGGTACTGTAATGTGGATGGCTGCTTTAGAATGATTGATTTCTTTCATTGAACAACATCATTTGAATGACACATCAACTGCTCTAAAAACCATACCATAACAAATAACCAATGTACAATACTAACTCGTGTGAAACTAAACCTTATTACTTAAGTATAAGGCGCGATTTAACTTGATAATTGTTTTCTAGGTGCATGGAACAGCGCCCGCGATTGCTGGCAAAGATTTGGCCAACCCGACCGCTCTCCTGTTGTCCGGAGTCATGATGCTGAGACATCTGAACCTTCACAATGAAGCGCAGAAGATTCAACAAGCCTGCTTCAGAGTCCTCAGGGAAGGAAGGGTGCTAACTCCTGATCTAGGAGGGAATGGAACTTGCTCCGGTTTCACTGCGGAGATTATTAAATATTTAGATGAACCTGAACATTGAAATGTTGGTGCTTGATAGCTAGTCATTGTTTTGGTAGGGACTAGGTACAGAGAAATAGGGTCTTTATACTTCTATACATGCGCAAGTAACTTGATTCACTCAAATCTGTGTCTGCAATCGAGTTTGAACTTTATTTCTTTTGTAGCAAGATTGAAAATCGTTAAAAGACATATTTGACAACATAGGTGTGTGAATAACAGTCTAACTTTAGAGAAGATTGGTCTCTTGCAGATAATAAGGTTTTAACAATTTTTTTATTATTATTATTACATTACAACACAAGTATTATCATGAGCATTATTTTAGATATTTTCTTTTTTTGTTGTTTTTAAGTGTAGTTTTTGTATTTAGTCCTTTTATCAAAATGGTGGCTGTATGTTGGCGATCAAAGTGGTCGCAGTAGTGAGTTGTGAGACAAGGGTTGGTTCAATTACTAGATCAAATTGTTGACCTACTTAGTTATAAGTGTGCAGGTTACTGGCTGAGGTACTGAATAGATAAATTTAGAAACGACGTGAAGCAACGCTTGCGTTGTGTTTCGTCGTGTGGGTGAGGTTACCGGAAGCCCAATTGTCCCCCCCCCCCAGCCTCAAGTTTCCAGGCCGGTAACGCACTTGTAACGCCTCTGGTGTTCCAGGTGTCCATGGGCGACGCCGATTGCTTACCATCAGGTGATCCGTCAGCTCGTTTACCGGCTTATCCCATAAAAAAATTGTTCTCGAAATATTCTTAGAAAATGATTAAAGGCTAGAATCATTAGATTCTATGATGAAATCGAATATTAATGGAATGCGAGGAAAACATAAAGAAGAATATTTCAACTGTATTACTTCATTGCTTTTGAAGATATCCAAAATAGTATATTAGTAAATACGTAACATTAAGCTGTCGATTGATGGGTCTAAGAAAGAATTGCAAGGTTAGGTCTATCGCTTCGAAAATTTTCAATTTAGATAAAAGTTGTTGTAACATAAATACAAAAGTCACAGGTTCGTACCTCAGTCAGTGCACTCACAAGCCGGTATAACTGCCAAAGAAGTAGTTGACAGTGTAATTTATTTCACTATTTATGTACATTCCCTTCGTAGAACATAGATCTGCTGTTCCTTTTATATTTATTCTATTATTTATGTAGATGAGAAACAAAATGAGCCGCGGAAGACTTAACGGGTTACCGGGGCTCTGGCTCGAAGTGCAGGAGTAGGAACGGGGTGGTTTTTAGTCAGTAAGAGTCTGATACTCCCTCCCGCCTCACCCGGGCGGGAGAAGTCATTGGATGATATTCCCCCCTCAAAAAAAAAAGGTGAGAAACAAAATGAGATGTAACATCTGTTCGGGCGCTCAGTGTATAGAACAGTCTTTTGTGTGATCTACTTTTGGTTATGTTCTGAATATGAGCGTGATGTATATGTGGACTTTATGTTAATAAGCAGAATATAATATGAAGGTGGAATATAAAAAAAAAAATAAGAAAAGTTACTATTAATTGTGTCTAGTGATACCATGGCTTCACAGAAAAATGACGTGAAGCAACGCTTGCGTTGTTTCGTCGTGTGAGTGAGGTTACCGAAGGCCTAACTATCCCACCTCCTTTCCCAATTTCCTCATTACCTGAATCCCCGATATTCCTCAACTTACTTATCCCCAAAAGGCCAGTAACGCACGTGAATCGCCTGTGTTACAGGTGACGGACGGCGCCGATTGCTTACCGATCCGTCTGCCATTAAAAAAATTCTATAACATATTTGGCCATGACTGTGGTGCATTAAAAGAGTTCTCTTAACAGACAAAGTATCATCCATTTTGATTCTCCATCTACATAAATAATCAAATAAATAAATGTTTAAAACCATAGCTTACTTAACTACTTACATATTAGTTTATATTTCGTCTTAAGTTACCAATTACCATTTCAGTTTTGACATAAGTATTAGTAACTTGTATTAAATAAAATAAATATACACAGCTGATTAGTACAAGTAATATTCGATCTTATGACATTCATGTTTGAATTGAAAATAGCAGACAAATATATTTTCCTAATAGATTGGAGTGAGACGGAAGATAGTGATAGATTGGCTGTTTTTTTTTTTTCAGTATGTTAGATCAATGTAGCATTGTGATACAGTGAGATATTTAGTAAATACTTTTTTTTTAATATCGCGTTCGATTTCACCCCCTTAATTTTTTAAATATGATATTCGATTATTTAAACTCCTTATTCCCTGTATTAAAATAATAGACCTTTTATTTGAGTTGGTGTATTAGCTAATGTAATTAATGTCCATTTTTATTTTTTCGGTGTTAAAATGTTAAGTTTGTCACTTGACAATCAGCTGAAAGTGTAAACGAATTAAGTCGAATTTTATGTAACAGTGGCAGTTAAAATTTACTTTATTTTCAATGAGAAAATAAAAATATTTATACCTACAAAAGGTAATATGTATGTCCTCGTATATCTAGGAAAATATAGGTTTGTGTCTTACTTGGCGTACTTAATGAAAAAGAACTTAAACTTATATAGAAATACGGTCTATTTTGTACTATCAAGGATGACCAAGTGAGAAGGAAAGAAGTGCTAAAGGCGTTTGATACATTAAAATGTAGTTTTAGTTAGAAATGAAATGTTTGTGTCTGTTTGAAATTATTTATTTTAGCTCTAGAACTGGATGCTATTAGTTTGGAATTAGACAATTTTTTAAATAAACAGTATTTGACCCCTTTATGGCAAACTGGACTTAATGACTACGCGAATAAGCTTTCGATTTGCTTGTATCAATAGGTTTTACACCAGAATTTTATAAGTTATTTTTAATATAACACTAAATGCTAGCGTGTGAGCCTAAATACACAAATTCACTGCCATTACACATACAAAGCTTTTTAAATTGCCATAGATTAAATATAAATATTTTTACCATAATCAAGTAGTTTTTATTTCATGACTAAGTACACAAAATGCTGTGAAAACATGATTTTACCATTGTATTGTTTAAGCTTATTGTTTAGTTAATTTATATTACATAAGTAGACGAATAAATGCATTAACTAACATTTATGTGGATGTTATTTCTCAACCCTCATTTCAACATGTAATGTTTGTACACTAATTAATTTTCAAGTTTATTACAATGCAAAATAAAGTTGAAAATCTTAAAGTCATTATGAATAGTTTGCGTTTCTAGTGTTTATAATAAAATGCTATGTTCAGGTCCACGGCACAGCTCCCGACATCGCGGGCAAGGACATGGCGAACCCCACCGCCCTCCTACTGTCCGCCATCATGATGCTCAGACACCTGAAATTGCACGAGGACGCCGAGCGCATACAGAACGCCTGCTACCAAGTACTCAAGGAGGGCAAAGCCCTAACAGGAGACCTCGGAGGCACCGCCAAGTGCAGCGAGTTCACCAACGCCATCATCTCCAAACTTTAAAACTCCCAAACTAGTTCCTTGCCCCTAACATTGGCCTCAAAAAATACAATACAATTGTATTGCGCCAAAGCTTACTGTAAAAACCTTAGATAAGTAGTCGATTTCAATAAATAGATTTACACACAGTATTGCTATGCAATAATAGTATTTATTTCGTTAATAATTGTGAGCAATGTTACCAAACGTTTAGGTATTTTATTGTAAATATATTTTTTATTATTATAAAGTATCCCATTCAAGCGCAAGGGTACCTTAGAGTAGATTCTAAACACGTTAACATAATATTTATTTGGACGATTTGTTTCGTCTGCCATTTCTAATCTCATCAAATGGAAAAGAACACCGAAAATCATTTTTAAAAATAAAAAGTTACAGGAAATTATTTTTGTTTTATTTGCTTTGTTAGTTGATTTTTTTATGAAGAACGATCAGTCGGATCACCTTTTGGTAAGTAATGGGCGCCGTCCATGGACACCGCACAGACATTTAACGATAAGTCTGACACCCGATACACCAGTGTTAGAAGTGTGTTAAGAACCGGTCTTTTGGGGATTGGGAATTTAGAGATTATAGGAGATCCGGAGATTGGAGAGGGGGGTAATTGGGCCCCTGTAACCTCAATCACACTACGAAACGATGCAAGTGTTGTTTCACATCTGTTTTCTGTGAAGCTGTGATTTCACTCCAGTTGAGCCGGCCCATTAGCGTAGAAGCTTGGCTCTCCCACACTTCATCCATCCACAGACTTGAAATAAATAAGGATCCATCTAATCATCTCGGATTTCTTTACATAACATTGTAGATACAAACTCCGAAAGGCTAGGAAATGATATTTTGCTATTTTTATAAATCTATAAGGTAAATTCCAGGTCTGTAAACGTTTTATACTTCGTGCCGTTACATGAAATAAAGATACTATTCTAAATGCAGGTATGGTTATTGCTAAGAATTTTTAAAAACTAATGAATAATACTGTGCGGAACTCTGGATTTTAACCTGAAACCATTCAATGAATGAAGTATGTAAATAGATATGAATTACATTAAAAGTATCTTCACGAATAAAAAATGTGTTTACTTTAGAATAGATATCACATCATTATATTCAAAATAATAAAAAACAAACAATAGAAAATAAACGCTAAAGAAATGCACCAAATCGAGTGAGTAGAGATATCGGTAGTGAAACGAAACGTATTTCTTATCAACATAGTGACAGCTGTCAGACCGGACATAGATTTGACAGTTTGAGCATGGCTGGTTGAGTTGCGCACGTTGTTTTTATTTTTATAACCTTTTATAAATAATTATTTTTGTGTTATAACAAGTTATTATTCAAAATGGTAAAGCGGGTAAGTTTTGGATACCTAATTTTATTCAAGTAACTTGTGTAGATAGTGCAGTTATTGTTAATTTTTCACAAAAAATATTGAAACATTCCATGTTTATTATTTCCGTGTTATTTTTTTAATGAGTTTAATGATTAATTTACGAATTGATATTGTAGAATGCAAAGACGTCTGTTTCTGAAGAGGAGGGAGAGGCCCCAGTAGTTAATGAGAACGGAAAGCGTGCTGGTGAAGACCAAAATAAAGATGGAGCGAAACGCATCCGAACGAAGAGTTTGTATCGTCAGCCAACAGTGAATGAGTTAAATAGGCTTCAAGAAACCGAGAACTTATTCAACTCTAATTTATTCCGTCTACAAATCGATGAAATCATCCAGGAAGTGAAAATCAAGGAGAAAACTGAGAAAAAGTTTGTTCAATTCTTTAATGAATTAAAAACCCATTTAATGTCTATATCAGAAGATGGAACAGAGTACGATTTGTCGGAAAATAGTCTTTGTAAGAAACTGAAAGTGAAACTGCCTATAACTGAAAGATTGAGTAAAACAAAATGCATGTTTACTTTTTACAAGTTCTCCGATGTTGAAATTGTTGGGTCATATGGCTTACGATGCTCAATCAACTCCAAACTGAGAGTAGATTTACAAATAACAGTTCCTAGTGAAACATATACGAAGAATGATTCCATAAACTACAGGTATCATAAGAAGAGGGCAGCTTACTTGGCATACATTGCTGCTCACCTATCAAAATATGAACCAATTGAAGAGTTACAGTATTCACACATTAACATGTCAGAATCTAAGCCTGTACTAGACTTCAAACCGAAAGGAAAACTTGGCAATCAGTTGTCAGTTCGTATACACTTAGCATGTGAAGGTGATGCATACAAATTGCACAGATTCAGTCCAGAACGCAACAATCTGAGAGAAGCATGGTTGTTGAATGAAAACTCTGAAAACAATACAGAGGTTGGCCCACCAACTCCATACTACAATAGTAGTGTTTTATCAGACTTAACCACATCTGTTAATCAGGAGTTCTTGAATGGAATTTTATTAAAGAGTGATAATTTGAAGCAAGCAATTACTTTGCTTAAGATCTGGTTACGGCAGAGAGATCTGAAAGTGTCCGGACATGTTGTGTCTCTGTTGGTTGCATACTTTGTGCAGGCAAAGAGAATTAACAACATAATGAGCAGTTACCAAATTGTGAGGAATATTTGGATAGCACTCAGTAAGTACATTTTTCATAAGTACAATGTTTATTTTAACAACTCTTGTCTAGATTTTTTTAAATGTTAACCCGTTGGAAATTGTTGAAAATCATCCCCTAAATTTGTTCATACAAAAGTAGTCTCTAAACATTGGAAATATATAATTATAGACCTTTATAATGTATTTAGTGGAGAGTGGTCACTGGTGACCGCTTGGAGATATACGGGTTAATATGTAAGTGTGCTATTTTGTAGCCTATTGACAAAATAAATTTCAAAAGGCATAAACATCAATAATAGTTCATTATTAACCTGGGTTTTACTAATCAAAAACATTGTTTAGTTTGTGTCTGCTATTTGCTGTTTCTAAACTTTCTTTACTTGAGAATTTGAGATCACCTAAAAAAATATTTTTGCAGTAGATAACATAAAAATCACATGATATAATAGTCATTGCAAATTGTTACTATATTTTGGATTTTAATTTACAGAAACATCAGAATTGGACACAAAAGGTATATCTCTTCACAAAACACAAGAGAAAGACACATGTCCATCACTGGAAGTATTCCACAAGCACTTTCCCGTGGTGTTCGTAGACAAGACGGGGTACTATAACATTTGCTGGCAAATGTGTAAGGGGACTTATGCTGCGCTGAAGAGAGAGAGTGCGTTAGCTGTGGACATGTTGGATAATGGCAGGATTAACAGTTTTATACCTCTGTTTATGACGCCAGTCAAGCCTTTGTTGCAGTTTGATCATATCTTGAGGTAATTACTATTATTATAATAAATATTACTTTAGTTTGAAGTATGTGCCAATGTTAATTTTAATGACATAATAACACTAATTTTTTTTTGTATGTTAGTACCTGGTTAACCACAATTTTAAACTGCATTTTTCACAGTTGCAGTTGAGTATTTTTAAAAAACCAAATAAGCTTTAATCATCAATCAACAAACTAGGAATTGAATCTGAATTTTTTTCTTAAACAAACCTGAGGCAAGGATTTCCTCCTGCATCGTGGGTGCGTTTACAAACATAAAAGTTCATATACACATGACAATCAGACCGGGAACAACAATTTGTGGATCACATAAAGCTGCTCCATGCGCGAATCGAACCCGCGACACATTGCGCGGTAACCGGTAAAGTCACTGCAACAACCGTGCCGTCAAAATAACAATTAATACGTTAACCCAAACCGAAATACATTCCTTGTTCTATAATCTACACTGAACCACGAGAGTTTCTAATACCCTTAATTTTTTTCTCAACCAGATTCAAAAACTTCAACCAGATCAAAAAAGTAGTAGTTGGGAAAGCATCTAAAGAAGAAAAGGTTAATTATGGAGTTGAGGAGTTGCCTCTGGTCATTGATGCTGTATACTCCCTGCTGGTGAAGGGCTTGGGGAACAGAGCTGAACTGATACAACAACTGGTTGAGGCTGACTTCTCCTGGCCGGTTAAGAAGACTTTGGAAACGGCTAGGAGTGGGTAAGTGTATAAACAGAGAATTTGAAAATGTATTAATAAAAAAAGACCCTTTAGTATAAAAAAAGGATGTCAATTAAACCATAATTTGGTACTTTTGAAACATCAATAAGTATAAAATGAAAATAGTCTGTCAGTCAGTCTGTCCGTCAGTGAAGCTAGGTGCTCGTTCCAAAAAGTAGATTCGAGTGGAGACGTTACTATTTTTACAACTATTATTGTATCAACTGTTATTCATTCTGGGTTGTGTTACAACAATAGTTTTCTTTTTCTTCTATTGGAATGAACTTAGAATATGATTAAACTGTCAAACACCGAGCGGTCACCGGTGACCGCAACCTATTGTTCTTTAATTGTGTCTATAAACACGGTACTCGACGAGTTAAAGACTGAATGATAAACTACAAATTATTACCGAAACAGTATCTTTAAGTCATTGTACTATCCCATGTTCTATGTCTATAGCTTTAGCTAAAGCATAACTATAAACTCCCAAGTTTAGTAAATAGCTCTAAACCAATTGAAAGTAACTTTACCTGTTCACTCCTCAAGCGGTCACCGGTGACCGCTCTCCACTAACTCCATTATAGACCTTATTTCCGATGTTTAGAGACTACTTTTGTAAGAACAAATTTTGGGGATTTTCGGGACGATATATTTGAAACGTATTAATATTACATGTTTTTACAGATTCGAAGAAAAACTAGCTTTTGGCTTAGTACTGAACCCAGAGAATTCAATGAATGTTGTGGAGAAGGGACCGCCTGCTAATTTACCTGAAGCAGAACAGTTTAGGTAATGTATTTACATTTAGAATTGGGTATTTTCCTCATTCAAAAATAAATTATTTTAGCTGTTCAATACAATAAAATATTTAAAAATAATCACACTTTCATTAATTGATTTTATGACCAAGTTAATTTTAGTATTTTTCTAGCACAATTTTTAAGAAATAAATATGCTGTTTGACGCTAAAAAAACGTGACGTCACAATACACAATTTCTCAAAATTCATAAAAAAATTTCGTTTTTGACAGTTCGAAAAAAGTATTGAAGTACCCAATTGTATCTTTAAGTTTTACATGACTTTCGTTGGTAGTGGTGAAGGTTACGCACGTGCTTTTGTCATTCCTACGTTTATTTTCAATTTAAGTGATCTATTTCATAGTGATCTGAATTGAAATCTTTTAAATTTTGTGTTTTTGTGTTGGTTAAGTGTATGTGTGTGTAAGTTTCAGGTATTGGTGTTTTTAAATATATTTTAATCTATTTTTTCCTCTGCCCATCCGCATCTTTTTAATCCGAAATGGACGAGGTGAAGCCACCCGATCCTCCTGATCCCGATAAATCCCCGGAATATGAGACGGAAACTATAGTCACAATTACCCTTCCTCCGAACACCCCGGATATCGAAATAATGGACGCGGAAGTTTCAAAATCCCGGAAACGACCCGCAGGCTCCCCCCTTATCACCCAAAACAACCCCCGAAATTGGCGAAAAGTGTAAATGGTAGGCAATGTTACACGGCCAGGGACAATCCCCCTTACATAGTTTATGTGTCTCTTAAGGACTCCCAGACGTCTGGCACCACGCTTCACCCAGTTAAGTTTGGTATGTTCCTAATGAAATTAAACATTAATAATGTTAAGATCGGTGGTGTCAAACGGCTGGGGAGGAATAGAGTTTCGGTTGAGTTTGTGACGCACCAGGATGCTAACAGTTTTTTAGTCAATGGTATGGTAGCTCAAAACTACACAACTTCGATCCCACAATTCAACATTACCCGAATGGGCATTGTCAGGGACGTCCCTGTGGAATGGACAGAGGACGAGATCATTGGCAACATCAGGGTTCCCACCGGGTGTGGGGCTGTGATAAAAGCTAGGAGGATGAATCGCAGAGTCTCAACCCCAAATGGTACCGAATGGAAGCCTACCCAAACCGTAGTGCTTACTTTTGACGGTCAAACATTGCCCAAAAAAGTGTTTTGTTTCTACTCAGCACTCCCGGTAGAACTATATTCATATCCGACCATACAGTGTTATCACTGTTGTCGTTTCGGACATACCCGCACTCTTTGCCGCTCCAAGCCACGTTGTTTCAGATGTGGCCAGGATCATCCAGGTGATGGATGCCAGATTTCAGCTGAGATTGCCACATGTATAAATTGCAATGGCAACCACTTTGCAAATGACAAAGCTTGTCCTGAATTGGGTCGCCAGAAGAGCATCAAAGCTTTGATGGCAGAAAAATCTATTTCATATGCGGAAGCAAGCCAAGTTTTCCCTACTGTAAAAAGGTCATATGCTGAGGTCTCAAGATCAGTCAACCTCGTAGATCCATCACCTATTAAAAAATCATCCCAACAAAGAGTCTCCTACAAAAAAACTATCCAACTAAAACCCAAATCACATGCTCCCCTCTCTCCTAGTTATGATAAGAAGGCTCATCAGGCCCTTATACATAACTACTCGTTCTCCCCATCTAAAAGTGGTTGCGCTTTCCCTGTGGAATCCGGAACCAACACTCGTAGCTCCGAAAACATTTTGAACATAGTTTCTGATATGCTCATGGCAGTACTATCAAACCCTGCCCATACCGTACCTGACCACGTAGCACACAAGCTTTCAACAATTCTTGATTATATTTGCAAAATTCCTGCCTCTAACACTGCTTCAGTGGAACGTGAGGAGTACTCTTCCCAGGAAGAGTGACTTACTCCACTTGATCAATAAATTTAAACCATTGATTTGTGGCATTGCTGAGACATGGCTTCGACCGAATATAAATTTCGGGATCCCGTGTTTCAGTGTTGTCAGACATGACAGATCTGATGGTTATGGAGGTTGTGCTTTGTTAGTTAATAACAAAGTACCCTTCTCCCAGATTCCTCTACCCTTCGTTGGCGATGACATAAATGTTGTCGCTGTTAAGGCTGAGGACATAAACATATTTGTATTTTACATTGCTCACCCTCATGTTGACCAGCTTATTTTATTAAAAATTTATTAACCTCGGTAAGTGGCCCATTACTTGTAATGGTGACTTCAACTGCCACCACTATAGATGGGGTTCAGATGTATGTGATAATATGGGTAATGAGCTAGTTGAGATGCTGGATGAACTCGAGTTGTGTGTCATTAATGATGGCAGCCCTACTCGTAGGTCTGCTTTTGGTCAAAGAAACAGCTGTGTGGACTTGACCTTCTGCTCGCCTGATATGGCTAGCGTGCTAAATTGGAGTTGTTTAAATTTGACCTATGGTAGTGACCACTATCCCATCTTAATTAAACACTCGTCAAAATCCATTCCGGATAAACCCCTTCCCCCCTTATTAAAATATCGTTTAGATTCTGCAGACTGGGATCTTTACTCAAAATTATTAGACCACCGCACTTCTTTCCTTCCACCAATTAACAACGAAAATTCTTTGGAGTGTTTCTCCAAATTTTCAGACCTGATAGCCTCCACAGCCGAAGATTGCTTTCCGGTGAAAAACGCACCGAAAGGCAAAATACCTTCTCCTCCATGGTGGGATAGTGAATGCACTGCCATGATAAGGGCTAGGAATGAGGCTGAAAAAACATATAACCAAGATATGAACCTGGAAAACCTCATAAATTTCAAGCGAATTTTGGCTAAGTCAAGGAAATTGTTCAGGAAAAAAAAGAACAAGGGTGGCGGAGATTTTGTGGTTCTCTGAGCCCATCGACAACAATATCCACAGTTTGGCAGAGAGTCAAAAATTTTAGAAACTCCACCAAACCTCCCACTGTCTCCACCTTACCCGAATCTCTGGTTAACAGTTTTTTTAGCAATATTGCTCCAACTATGTTCCCACCGCAGATGAATGCTGCCTGAGATCCCATGAGACCGAGCGACCCGAGTCTCATGACCCGCTCGATTTGGAGTTCTCATCTGAAGAGCTCCAAACGGTACTCAACCATGTGAAGGACTCGGCACCAGGGATTGATGGGTTCCCCTACTCCTTCCTAACTAAGGCAGGAACTAAAGCGAAGCAGTACTACCTTGACTTAGTCAATTTTTGCTTTATTTCAGGCTATATTCCTCCTACCTGGAAGGTTCAGGTTATTATGCCGCTGTTAAAAGCTGGCAAGGATCCTGGTGACCATTCGTCGTACAGACCTATTGCCCTATCGTCCATACTTATTAAAACATTTGAACATCTTATCAAAAACCGCCTTGAGTGGTTGGTAGAAAGCCAGAGGCTGCTTCCGGCGACTCAGTTCGGCTTCAGGAAAGGTCTGGGTACGGCTGACAGTGTGGGTACCCTCACGTCAGCCATCCGACTGGCCCTTAGCAGGCAGGAGTCGTTGGTCGCGGTCTTCTTGGACATCTCAGCGGCCTATGATTCTGTTCTCTTACCCCTTCTCAGGCAGAAACTGCAAGAGCTGAGAATCCCGCGTAGGATCTGCCGAATTATAGCCTGCATCCTTTCCGATCGTACCCTCCAATTAAGATCTCCTGAGGATAACCCAGTACGGAGGTCCTCCTGGAAAGGTTTACCTCAGGGGTCAGTCCTTAGTCCCATCCTTTACAATATTTATACCTATGACCTCCCCTCCTGTTTAAATTTCAACTGTAATGTCCTTCAGTATGCTGACGATATCGCACTAATGGTTACCAATAGCTCTATAACAGACGCCGCCCACTCCATCAATGTCTCTTTGGCCTCATTAAACCAATGGCTTCTTAATCACGGGTTATCTTTAAGCGCCCCAAAAAGCTCAGCTGTCATTTTTACACGCAAACGACGCACTCCGGATCTTCGTATAGAGATAGACGGTCAGGATATCCCGATCAAAAGCAGTGCTAGATTCTTGGGGGTTTATCTCGATGCAAGGATGTCTGGGGCAGATCACATAAACACCGTGGTTGCAAGGTGTGAACGCTCGGTATCGATACTCAGAGCTCTGGCCGGGGTATGGTGGGGTGCTCACCCCTACTCATTGAAGCTCATCTACAATGCATTGGTCAGAAGCGTAATGGACTATTGTTGCTTCCTTATTGTTCCTTGCAATAAGGGTGCATTAAAAAAACTAGACTCCATTCAGGCCAAATGCCTTAGAATAATTATCGGAGCTATGAAATCATCCCCCATAAATGCTCTTCAGGTTGAATGTGTAGAGCCTCCCCTCAACCTTCGAAGACAATACCTTGCAGACCGATTCATCTCAAAAGTCCTCTCCCTCTCATCACATCCCCTTCTTCCTATCCTAGAACAAATCCACTGTTCCTATAGCTCCTCTTCCTACTGGAACAATAAACCTGTCCCTCCCGTGATTGTCAGGTACAGGGAGCTTAAAAACCTCTCTGCACCCATCAGGCAATATCCTGTACTCCCGGTCTTCTCTTCCGCATATGAGGCTATCCACTTCAGGCCAAAGCTGATTCTGGGGCTCGGCATCTCGAAATCCTCCGTGGATGCTACGGGCGAGTTCGGACGCGCCTTGAGCAAATACTGGAGAGGCTGGAATATTTTTTACACAGATGCGTCTAAACTATCTCGAAACGGAAGTACAGGAGTGGCAGCGTACTTCCAAAATTCGAAGATCGCCCTCCTCTCTAAGTGTCCCCCGGAAGCATCTGTCTACACGGGAGAATGCGTTGGCATTTTAGAATCAGTAAAGTTTATTAGAGCACACAACCTAAAAAACTCTGTTATTTTTTCAGACTCCCGAAGTAGCCTACAGTCTCTCAACCAAGACCAGCTCCATTCCCGAACTCATAGCAGTTTGGTTGTAGAGATAAAGGCGCTTCTTTTCTCTTGTTACAAGGATGGCATAAACATCGAGATCGCTTGGATTCCTGGCCACTCTGGCATATGTGGTAACGAGTGTGCGGATTCATTGGCCAAATTTGCGGCCTCGAACGATGTCGATCGTCAGCACCACGTTGTGTACGGATATGATATGCGTGCAGACACAAAGCACAAGCTGTTTGACTCATGGAATGCAGTGTGGGTAGAAACGTCACAACACAAAGGAGCCTACTATGCAGCTGTCCAGCCCGGCATCCGACGGAAGCCTTGGTTTTCCAAGTACCCCAAGCTTCCCCGTCATACTGTTTCATCCTTGTGCAGGCTCAGACTCGGCCATTGCAGTAGTCCGGTCTTCCTCAGCAAGATCCGCGTCCGCGACAGCTCGCTGTGCGAATGCGGCCTTGATGAGGGTACTTTAGATCACATCTTTTTTTCGTGTCCCTTAAATTCCCAATCCTTTGACCTCTATAAAAAACTTCCCAGAATCCAAATCCCTCTCCCAATCAGTTTCCACCTGCTTTTAACCCACTTTTCCCACAAATTAATTAATTGTTTATGTAAATTTATAAATGAAAATGAAATTAAAATATGACGGTGTTCAATGTTGTAAATGATGTACATATATTTATATCTGTCTGTGTTGTGTATGTCCCTCAACTATTTTTTACACCACTATACAATAAAATAGTTGATAATGTCTATGTTTACTAACCCGATTGTTTTGTCATTTCAGCTACTAACCACTAAAAACTACCGCAAAGTTAAGTTCGACGGTTCATTAATTTTGCCGTCACCACTCGACACTGGCAGTATAGTCGACAACTCCGTTTTGGAGACTCAGTAGCCAAAGAAAAAAAAAAAAAAAAAAAAAAAGTTTTACATTTTATTTAGAATACTATTTGACAGCTGTGTGCCGCATCTACTCTAACATAACCGAATATATAAAAATTGGTTATGTTTTACATTGCAGATTCTTTTTAACTCAATGACATTTTTTATGAATGCTATCACCAAATTATGTATGATTAAAAAAAACATGATTACTTGTTTAACAAAATTGATATACATTTTACAGAGCATTCTGGGGAGACAAGTCAGAGCTGCGTCGTTTCCAGGACGGGTCCATTACAGAGACATGTGTGTGGGAGGGAGAGACTATGGCTGAGAGACGCACTGTCACCACGCAGATTATTAATTATCTCATGAAGGTCAAGTTTGGTATGTATTCTTTAACTTTTGGATTTTTTACAGTTGTTGCAAGTAAAATAATTATATTCTCAGCCCCATAAAACTTTTGAATCTTTAGGTAATTGAATAATTATCATAATTATAATGTGTTATAGGTATGTTTATAATTTGTTAGTGGATATTGTTAAATACTTATTTATTTATTTAATATGCTTCATGCACAAAGACTTAATGCCGCAGACATTTTCTTTCAGTCTGACCATAATATTAGTTAAAAAGTTAGCGCAATTAATCACTTGCGCTAACTTTTGCGCATTGTTTGCGCAAGTAAGTTTTTTATATTTTTTCTTCAAAAACATCATTATTGGCCCTAGTTGCAAGGCAAAAATATGGAGAAACTAAACTTTATTAACATTTATATATTTTTTTTTATTTTTTTTTTATTTATTACACCCTGGAAGACTTACAGCTAAAACTACATAAAAGTAGAAGTCAACATAAACTACTGAAAGCCAATTACAAGTCCTCATGTATAGTGACAGACTTAAATTTGATAGGTGAGCATATCAAAATTTTCGCAGTGGTTACAGCTTATTAAAATTTTACAGTTTATTATATCAGTTAATTGCAGGGATCAACTAGAAACTAGTATTAACTAGAAACCTTTAGTTACAAGAATAAGTGAAAGATAAAAATAATATAAACATTTCCGAAAACTAGGGATACAATTGAGATGCTACTTAAAAAACCTGAGGCTTATGCGCCTTCTGGCCGACGCCACGCTAGTCGCAAAGGGATCAAAGTCATACTGCTTACATTTATATTATTGAACTGTCTACCCGCTCGTATAATAAAACTATTCTGTCTGTAATTTGTTGATGCTAGAGGCACACGTAAGGGTGGGTTATTGCGGAATATTTTTTGTGGTACATTAAAGTGAAATTTAGATAGAAGTTCGGGGCTGTCAATATTGTTATTTAAAATTTTTAATACGTACAAAAAGTCGGCAATCTCACGTCGAACTTTGAGAGGTAATAAATGATATTTCTTACAGAGTCGAAGATAATCGAATGATATTATGTACCCATGTTTGCAAATGAATTAAATGAATTTGATTTTAAATGAAACGAAAGTGATCAGGGTGCTTCAATCCAATCTGATCGATCGACATTGGTATTGTGAAATTTCGTACTCTTGAATTGCGACACAAGCGCCCATTGCATCAGTATTGCGTGGATATTTAATAAACTAAATTGTATTGAGTTTGGCTTTATATTCCGTACTCTGAATGCTATTGTAACAGCTACGATAAGGGTTGTAGATAGTTTTAACATTGAATAATTATATTATTGAGATTTTATTGAATTGAAATTGCATTGACATTGAGATTGGTTTCAAGAGTAAAGTACTAAATAATCAGGCACCACATCCCATTTAAATAAAATTATATCTTCTCTTTCAGAAATAAAACCCACGGAGTTGTACCACGTATGTGACCAGCTGTCCAGCGTCATAGCTCGCAAGCAGTGGAGTCGTGGAAGCAGTCTGTTGCAGGTGGAGGAAACTTCCCTCACTGTGTTACAGGCCTTCGACTCCTTGCGGCGCGACCTGCGACAGCTGGTGCAACTGCCGCTTGATATCAGTGCCGTGTATGGTGAGTAACAATTTTACCACAGAAGTATTGGAAGAAATTATAATATCTTAATATTTCAAATCTTATTACTGTTATACTATAAATGATGACTGCCTCGCTGGCCGAGTGGTCGCAAGTGCGACTGCCGGGCAAGACGTCTCGGGTCGGGCAAAGTACTACTAGGTTTTAAAAAAAAATCTCAGTAGTAGCACGGAGTCTGAAATTGTGCCCGGTATATGACAATACTAGTCCGATTTGAATAATAATTTTTTTGTTGGATAGTGCATTTATCGAGGAAAGGTATAGGCTATTAAACATCACGCTACGACCAATAAGAACCAAGCAGAGCGGGTGAAACCGCGTGGTAATACCTAGTTCTCAATAATAATCCTTTTCTAAATTGAATAAATAAAAATCCTTTTTAAAATTAAGCTTAACATTCAAAGCCACTTAAAAAGCTATAGTTTCGAAATTAATTGTATTATTATATTTGCAGGAGTATCCCCAATATTTAGTTACACAGACCCGGTGGGCCCGGTGCCCTGCGGGCCCCCAGTCCGGCCCTGGCAGCGCGCCAGTACGTGCCTGGTCAAAGACGTGCAGAGAGACGGACTACACACGTTGCCTGACTACGTCCCTGTATGCAAAGTTGTTATTGAACTTGGTAAGTGTGTTTCTATTCTTAAAGAGATTAGCTTCGTTAAAATCTATAAAATAGTGGTTTTGAGACTGCCTGGTTAGCCGATTGGTCGTAAGTGCGACTGCCGGGCAAGGGTCTCGGGTTCGATTCCCGAGTCGGGCAAAGTATTACTGGGTTTTTTAAATATTCTCAGTAGTAGCACGGAGTCTGGAATTGTGCCCGGTATATGACAATAGGCTCACCCCCTATTACATGTGACACATAGTGAAAAGTGGGTGTTACATTAAATAGTAGTATTATGTGTACTACCCCTTGTATCCCCAAAGGGGTAGGCCCCCTTTGGGGATAAAAGGCGTGATGTTATGTTATGTAATAGTGGTTTTGTTAAAATAAATGGTTTACATCGGTATCTAAAGATGTCTTTGCGTTCGGTTGTGTTCTAACTGATTTGATTTAAAACTATAAATGATGAGATTCTATGCATTAAACCTTTGAAACCATTGTACCATTCTTTTTAAATACGAGTGTCGACTAAACGACTAAAGGATAACGAATAAACGCTCAACAAAAAAAAAAAATCTACAAAACTTTACACAAAATTTTTCCAACAGGTCACAGCGGCAAATGGCCGGGCGAAATTCACGCATTCAGATGTCTAAAGGCCGCCTTCCACCTGCAACTTGCAGAACGATTGAACAAACAATATGGCAACGCCTGCCAAGCTTACAACACACATGTAGATGTACTACGGGAAGGGATCACGTTCCGACTGGAGATCTCCCACCCGAAGGAGATCACTCTGCTGAGAAAGGAGATTGAGAATGGAGTTGTGAAGTTTAGAGATACGGAGGAGAGTCTGCGGTTACAATGCGATACTGTGTTGTTGCCGCGACTTAGGGGAGCGCTGCATGGGTGAGTTGATGTTATTATGTTTTAATTTTAAGTTATTTTATGCAAAAACTTGTGACCCGCCCCGGCTCCGCACGGGTGCAATATGAAAGAAAGAAAAACCATTTATTTTGCTATGACACACAACAAGAATTTAGAAACACAAAAAAAAGCCTATGGTGCGTCGCAACGCAAAAGGCTGGAGCTCAGCTTAATAGATTGTATGCATGTATTATACATAGAAACCTTACTTAAGAATCACTATTAAAAAAACCGCATCAAAATCCGTTGCGTAGTTTCAAAGATCTAAGCATACATAGGGACGGACAGACGGCGGATAGCGACTTTGTTTTATACTATGTAGTGATGTAATTGTTTGTGACGGTTTTCAATGTTTTAATTATATATTGTTGAACCTATTTAGAATTTAAGAGGTTTGCTGCTGAGCAAATCCATTTCTAATTGAGTGATGCGTATAGGATTGCTCAATTTATCTTATATATAAGATGAATTAAAGAAATGAAGAAATGAAATGATGAACATATGAAATGATATTTGTTTCTGCAAATAGGTTACAAAGTAACACTTTTAGTCTTTAAATTACTAGATGATGGTCAGCAGTTCCTAACTAATTGCTCTGCCGAACGCCGAAACAAACTCAGAAGTCATTGTCTGTTCTCTTAAAGCTAGTTTGATTGTCAAGTGCAGTGTCGTTTCAAACTTTACTAACGTCACGTTCACTTATTAACTTTTATAGAGAACAAGAAGTTTCACTTTCAAATAGACTACAAAAAGAATTTACTTAATTAATCTTCTTTATTTTCAGTCTACATCAGAAGCACCCATCATTCGGTGCGACAGTTTGTCTATTCAAGCGTTGGTTATCCGCCCACCTATTATCTCCCCCCCACTTCCCCCCCGTGGTGGCGGAGCTGTTGGTGTCGGCGGTGTACGTGCAGGCCGCGCCGGTGGTGCCGCCCGCCGCGCCCGCGCTCGGCCTCTACAGGGTGCTGCTACTGATGCTGGACTTTGACTGGGCCAGGGATCTCTTGGTGCTGGACTACAACGAGGATATGTCGCGTGAGTATTTTGTTACATACTCCGCGTACTTGTAAATCATGAGGCGTCACTTTAATGATTATGTTGTAATTTATCTGAAGGAGAGCGTTTACAGTTACATCATTTAAATACTAAGACATTTCGTTCCTTCATTAATAATAATCTCAAGACTAATGTTATAATAGTTAACAATTAATCATATGTAATGTTAATTATTGTGTCATTCTAATAAGTGTTAAACGTTTACACCTACTATTGTGTCTCTCTGCATCACCCTAAGGTTGACTGTTAGAGAATGCCACTAGGCATTAAGTCCGCCTTGTATATATACAAAAAGTGTAAATAAATAAAAAAAAAAAATAAAAAAAATAGTAAAAACATTTTAAAAATGATAAAAAATGTTTAAAAATACATTACAGGTGAAGAAATAATGGAAATAGAAAAGAAACTCAATGAAGAAGATATATCGTCCCGGCCAGCGTTACGTATAGTGACGTCATACGACGGCCCGCTGAGCGGGGCCTGGACCCGCGCGGGGCCCGACGCGAGGGTACTCGCGCGGACCAAGGCACTCGCCAGGAGTGCGGTAGATTATATGGAGAAGAAGTTCTCGGAATGTGCTGATAATGTGCTGGTAAGGACCTTGATATAATTTATCAGTGTATAACGCCCGAATACGGGAAGGGAACTCAATTTTAGATTATACTGAAATATCGTGCTATCTCTGTCATTTTACAAATTATTTGTGGTGACTAACTATACTTAAATGCGACTTAAAATTTAAATAAAACTTTTTAATATTCGGGCGTAAGTGGGATATTATCTGGTTAAAAGATTTCAATGAGTCGTTAGTTGATGATCAAAAGGTCACCATTGCGTCTGTCGAGTGAGGTGACGATGCACAAAAGTGCGATATTTGACCCGTAACAAAATTCAGAATTTTTTTACTGTCATAACCTCTTTACAATAATAAACATAACAAAAAGAAAATAGTGAAATCTGTCCAGCAGTTCCTACGTGTTGGCGTGACTTAGGGATATAGGGATTCTATTTTATATACATACATATATGTACTTTACTTCCAGAACATGTTCGTCCCCTCGTACAAAGGCTACAACGTAGTCATCCACCTGCAGCCGGCGCTGGTCCCGGGCCACTGCGAGCGAGTGTCGAGTGCGCCGGTACTGCGGCCGCTACCTGATACCTTCGCGGAGGATGTCATACCAGCTGTGGAATTTAACCCTGTCGATAGGTTCTTGGAGGAGTTGAGGGTGAGTTAATGTAGAAATCCTTACTAATATTATAAATCGGAAAGTGAGTTTATTTGTTTGTTTGTTCCACTTTCAAGCCGTAACTACTAAACCAATTGCTTTGAATTTTTGCAGACGTGAAGTTAGAAGTCTAGATTAAATAATAGGGTACTTTTTATCCCGGAAAAATTTGATATTCTTGAGGTAAAACGAAATTATTGGTATAGATGGCGCTGTGTGTATTCGTATATGTAACATAGGCTACTTTTATCCTTTTGAGACGCGAACGAAGCCGCGGGTAAAGGCTAGTACCATATATTTTAGATACAGCTTCTTCCGCAAGAAGACGCTGATCGGCTCCTTTTGATCACAGCGTGTTTTAAAAACCCTATTTTTTATGGCATAAGCCGGTAAACGAGCAGACGGATCACCTGATGGTAAGCAATCGGCGTCGCCCATGGACACCTGGAACACCAGAGGAGTTACAAGTGTGTTACCGGCTTTTTGGGGATTAGGCGTTTGAGGATTGTTGGGGATTCAGGGATTGGGGAGATTGGGGAAGGGGAGGGTAATTATTATTGTTACACGGCTTTATTGACAGCTGGATTAGGTATACATAAAGAAATTTTCCACTTGAATTGATAGTTCTGGATATTCCAGCAACCTAATTTATAATGTTGAATCATTATTCACTAAGTTCTTAACCTTTTTTTCGAACATTGTAGCGAAACCCTGACTTGTAACTTTGATTATTCTCGCAGTGTAACTTTTAAACTACTTTTATAATAATTACAATATTTATCTTCACAGAGTGCATACGGGGAGTTCGCGTTGTTCTTCCACGACATGTACGGCGGTGATGTAATTGCAGTGCTGTGGAAACCTGATGTCTACGAGGATAAAGAGTTTCAGGTAACTAATTATATAAATTTTTGTAACACCTAATAATTGGTGGTCGTGGTGGCCCGGAGGTTTAAGACGCTGACTTCTCATGCATGAGAATGCGGGTTCGAAACCTATCCACGGCATGTACCAATGTGACTTTTTCCGAGTTATATGTACTTTCTAAAATTATTTAGACACCACTGACAAACGGTGAAGGAAAACATCGTGAGGAAACCTGGGCTTATAGTTTGTAATTGCCAACCCGTATTGAGCAAGCGTGGTGATTAATGCTCAAACCTTCTCCGTGTGAGAAGAGGCTTTGCTCAGCTGTGGGCATTTATAGGCTGTTGAACACCTAATAATTTGTACCTACATTCATTGCATATAAATAATCTATTCTATTCTATTCATAAACACACGAGTAGTTTTATTGATATAAAAATACATATTCTTTATTCAGTCTCATAGAACACCAGTCAAAAGATTAAATAAATATTATAATCCAAAGCATTAATAAAAAAAATACACTACCACATAAATCCTTAAACTGATTTTTAATGAATAAGTGCTGTATCGGCTTCACCGTCCATCCATTAATGTTTATTTTAACCTTTTAAAGGAACCGATATGGTTAGGCCATTTACTTTATTTACTCGAATATCTCTATATATATAATTCTCCTGTGTGTGTGTGTATGTCACTGAACTTCTCTCAAACGACTGGACCGATTTTGGTAAAATTTTTTGTGTGTGTTAAAGGGGATCTGGGATTGGTTTAGATTCAAGAATCCGCCCGGCAGATGGCGCTGCAGTTGATGTTTAGGTTATTTATCCTAAACAGCTGAACTAATTTGAATGAATTTTTGTTTATACAATCAAGTGGATATGCAGGACAACGTCTGTCGGGTCCGCTAGTTTTCTATAAGAAATAGTCTCTTAGAAATAAAGTCCCATAATTATTATTATTTCTTTACAGTTAACCAACGCGAATGCTCTGAAGCCAGTTACTTCGAAGGGAGAAACAAAATACAGAGTGAATATTGAAGCGATAGTTGAAGATTTTAGAATACTAGGCAACGGACTCGTTAGAGATATTACTGTTAATACATAGCTTGTAGATACTATATTGTATAAGAATAAATGTATATTTTAAGTTAAATTGTGTATTTATTTATTATCCATTGTCGTTATCCGCGACACTATTTCTGTTTCCTGAGTCGGAGTCGTGATTTTAATTGACACTATAAGCAAGTAATATTCACAAAAAAGTTTTATAAATCTTCATAATAACGTAAGTACTATAATGAAATGAATGCCGTGGTGGCCCGGAGGTTTAAGACGCCCACTTCTCATGCATGAGGGTGCGGGTTCGAAACCTACCAACGGCAAGTACCAATATGACTTTTTCCGAGTTATATGTACTTTCTAAGATTATTTAGACACCACTGACAAACGGTGAAGGAAAAACATCGTGAGGAAACCTGAACTTATAATTTCTAATTATAAGTTTGAAATCGCCAACCCGCATTGAACAAGCGTGGTGATTAATGCTCTAACCTTCTCCGTGTGAGAAGAGGCTTTGCTCAGCAGTGGGCATTTATATGCTGTTAATGATGATGATGAACGTACTACAAAACGCCTCCGCTTTCGATAATAATTCTCATTTCACTTCCTCTTGATAAAATTGACAATATGACCTCTTTTTTGTAGCAATTGTCAAAAGTTCTAATAATTTTAGGAAACTACACTACTCCTCATTATAAATACCCATGAAATGTGAAGATAGCTAAAATAATTAATAACCAGCGGGTAAAAGAAAACCTGTCCCCATATGGGGACGGCGGGCCCAAATGGGTTAACTAGTCTAGTTCTCGTGATATTCTTATAAATAAACTAGCTGTTACCCGCGACTTCGTTGGCATGGAATTGTGATTCACAGCTCCTCTCCCGAAGATGATAGTGTGATAATATGTAGCGTATATATATGTTGAGCCGACCTGTTAGTAATATTCATGCAATTTGAAGTAAATTCATGAAGTACTTTTAGAGATCATTCAGGACATACATACAGACAAACAGACAAAAATTTAAAAAACCATATTTTTGGTTTCGGTATCGATACTGAATCACGCCTCGAGTATTCTTTTTAAAAAATATTCAATGTACAGTTTTGACTTGTTTACGATTTCATTATATATGTATAGATGAGAATGGGAACAAAATAAAAATAAAAGCATGTCTCCAATAATAAATAGTTGTATTATAAAATGTGTCCACTAAGTCACTAACAATCTATTTACGTACAACAATACTACAAAAAGATATACTTATTGGTATTACTATAATTTCAAAAATCATACGAATATATTCCTAACCAAATTAATTACCAATTCAAAAGGTAAATTTGGCATGTTTTACTCGACTTCTATCCTATAAGGAGGATTTATATGACAATATTAGCTAAACATGTTGTCAAGTCCCATTTTATTAAGTACATTCTAAAATTATAATAGAATTAAACATCAATAGTCTGTTGCAAACACAGAATTTCCATAAAAACTTAAAGAAGTAATACATCCAATAATAATTTCATCTTAAACCTTAATAAAATACGGCAGAGTATCAAGTGGTGCCGGATAATGCCGGATCCAGTCTCCCCCCTGTACAGGGCGGGCGGGGTCCCCCTGCGCCAGCCAGGTCCCCGCCGGCAGGTACACGTCCCTCTCTCGAGCTGTGCGCTCTATTACTGGGGCCACTAGGATGTTCTCGCCGAGCAGGTATTCTGGAGAAGAAATAACAAGAATTAATTAATTAGAAAATTGGTAATAGGCTCACCCCCTATTACATGGGACTCATAACATAAATAGTGAAAAGTGGGTGTTACATTGTACAGTGGTATAATGAATACCTCTGCCTACCCCTTCGGGGATAAAAGGCGTGATGTTATGATGTTATGTAAATAACAAGAAATTTTAAGTGAGTGGACTTGAAATGTGGTAGCTAAAGTGGCATCGCTCGAAGTAGCTTCTTACATTGTCGCACCCCATGGACGTAGATAATATAAATTTTATAGGCACTTGCTACTAACATCTTATTATTTTATAGTCTGCTCTGAAGATATTTTCTTACATTTTCCTTGTAAAAATATAAAGACAATGGACAGCAATTATGTTTCTACACTATAATCCTTTTATAGAGTGTTAAAATTACACGCATGATGGGACTGGCGTACACGTCCGTGTAAAAGTCCCTAATAATAAATAAAGAGAAAAAAAAAAAAAAAAAAAATTACACGCAATTAGTAATTGCTTCCTTAGAAATTACGCGGCGGTTCATTGTACTGGCTATTACCTGCGTGTGTCATGAGAACTCTCCAAATTGGATCATTAAATTGTGGCGAATGCAAATAATAACTGTGGAATATTTTAAACCTACAATATTCTTTGATAGGGGTTAGTTTTCTGGATTGGGTAAAGAATTTTTCGAGGCTTTCCGTTTTTTTGTATTACATTACAGTATCGTTTAGAATCGTGCTTGGTACTTTTTTATGGCATTAACCGGTAAACGCGTAGACGGATCACCTGATGGTATGGGATTGCAGTGAATGTAGGCAAATGTCAGGCCCTCATCTTAGGTAGCTCCTATTACTTGAATAGCCTAAATGTCAATCAGCTTGATCCGATAACATTTAATCAAACCACCATACCATTGTCTCCTCATGTAAAGGATCTAGGCTTGTATCTGGACAGCGGGCTCAACTGGAATTATCAGGTTGCTCAGATTGGCCGGAAAGTAACTGCCACGCTACGATCTCTCTACAGGTTCAAGAACTTTCTGCCACCAAATATCAGAATTGCTTGTCGGTCCCTTGTGCTTCTGTTGTTGATTATGCTGATGTTTGTTACTCGATCTATCCCAAGACCTTCTTAACAAATTGGATCGAATGCTCATAACTGTATCCGTTTTATCTTCGGTCTTCGTAAATACGACCATATCTCTTCCTTTCGCGCTCAGCTTAAATGGCTTCCTGTCCGTGAGAGGAGATCCCTCAGACTCTGCTGATCTTCTCTATTCTTAATGATCCTTGTGCTCCAGATTACTTAAAATCTTGCTTCCAGCTATTAGGCAGTTGCCACAACCGTAACCTCCGCTCGACTGATAACTTGCTCCTTGAAATACCTTCCCACCGGACCTCTTTTATTTCTAATTCCTTTACAATAAGTGTCATTAAACTTTGGAACGCGCTCCCCCTCAATATCAAAAAAGCTCCTAATAAAATCTCCTTTAAACACCAAGTTCATGAATTTTACTTAAAAATCGCTGCAACGCTAGGTCTAGGTCTTCGTCGATATATTTATTTATGTATTTATACCTATATTTTATGCATATGACTATATATACTATTTACTATTATGTAATATATATGTATAGCTATATTATTGAATAATTACCTTTTTATTTTTTCCTCTCTCTCTCTTTGCTGTTAGTTTATTCTCCGTACCTTATTTTTCGCAGATTTTCTATTTAAACCCTAAGGTTGACTGGTAGAGAATGCCATATGGCATTAAGTCCGCCTTATGTGCCATATTAAAATTGTGTACATTAAAGATTAAATAAATAAATAAATAAATGGTAAGCAATCGGCGTCACCCATGGACACCTGGAACACCAGAGGCGTTACAGGTGCGTTACCGGTCTTTTGGGGATTTGGAGTTTGAGGATGGTTAGGGATTTGGGGATTGGGGAAGGGCGGGGAGGGGCTCCAGTAACCTCACTCACACGACGAAACACAAGCGTTGTTTCACGTCGGTATTTTGTGAGGCCGTGGTATCACTTCGGTCGAGCCGACCCATTCGTGCCGAAGCACGGCTCTCCCAAAAATCTACATAGCAATAAGCTCACATATACTCCTATTCATTGGGAGTCATTCTTAACAAGTATTACTTACATTGTACATAGGTGCCTCTGGTTACCTCTTCGCAAATAAAGAGATCATATTCAAACAGTTTTCTAGTAACGCTTAGCTTATGACTTACCATCAGAAATATCATGAGCCTCAGTGTCATTAGGTGCTATCCACCACACCGGCGGGTTGACTGGCTCGCCGTGCGTCACCGCTCGTCTGCACGCCGCAATGATAGCGGGGGCGTACTGCGCGTGAAGTTGCACGTACTTCTTGCTTATAGCTATTGTCTGTTGGTAGGATAATATAATTAACTTTTTGATCTTTATTACCTGCCTCTTAAAAACTAGATTCTGAGCTTTTCAGTAGAACGGCATCGTAATTGTGATTCCTCTGGAGTTGCAGGTGTCAATGGGTGCAACGCTTACCATCAGATGATCCGTTTGTTCGTTTGTCCACCAACTTACTTTAGAATTATTTTTTTATGGCATAAGCCGGTAAACTAGCAGACGGATCACCTGATGGTAAGCAATTGGCATCGCCCATGGACACCTGGAACACCAGAAGCGTTACAAGTGCGTTACCGGCCTTTTGGGAATTAGGAGTTTGAGGATCGTTGGGGATTCAGGAATTGGGGAGATTGAGGAAGGGGAGGGTAATTGGGCCTCCGGTAACCTCACTAACATGACAAAACACAACGCAAGCGTTGCTTCACGTCGGTTTTCTGTGGGGCCGTGGTATCACTCCGGTCGAGCAAGCCCTTTCGTAAAATAAAACTTTGTAGGTTAGTTAGATTATCTTATCCGATTTTGAGATTCAAATGAGTTTTATTTGTAGGTACATCTGATTCCTTATTCAGGTTACTTAAACCTTAAGTTTTTGAAACACAAACAGCCACTTTGGTAAAGACTACAAGTCTTTACCAAAGTGGCTGTTTGTGTTGAAACTACTTACCTCATTATCAAATTCCCAAGGCACATACGAGAACTGCATGCTAGGCATGAAGGTGTTGGCTTGGAGCCATCTGATGAACAGTTCCTTGGTGGGAGGCTCATTGTATCCATTCCCTCCGATCATGTCAGGGAGGACCAGAGGGTAGCCGTTCATATTCATCTGCAGCAGCGTAGTGATGAGGGTCGGGAGTCCATTCTCGTAGGTCCAGTAGGTGTCCTTGTCTATCATTCGGATGAATACTGGAAGGTCTTGGGTTCTGCGGAAGAGCGTACTAGATTAAGCTTTGTACTTTTCTTGCTGGGGATTTTTGTAAATACGTTGTATGCATTATCGGATTTGTCCTGGTGGCCCGGAACTTTAAGACGCCAGCTTCTCATGCGCGGGTTGGGAACCTACCAACGGCAAGTACCAATGTGACTTTTTCCGGGTTATATGTACTTTCTAAGATTATTCAAACACCACTGACAAATGGTGAAGGAAAACATCGCGAGGAAACCTGGGCTTATAATATCTAATTATAAGGTTGTAATCGCCAGCCCGCATTGAGCAAGCGTGGTGATTAATGTTCAAACCTTCTCCGTGTGAGAAGAGGCTTTGCTCAGCAGTGGGCATTTATAGGCTGTTGATGAATGATGATGAATGAATTATCGGAAAAAGAGAAAAAGTAGATGTTAATTTTTCTTGTACTGTCTTACCTGTACCCAACTCGTACTTCGACAAGGGGTCCGAACTGTACCACTGTCCTTACGTAGTCAGCCGATATCACGCCTGGCTGGTCTCTAATGTCACCTTGTAGCACAGGTATCTATGAACAACAAAAAATAAAAACATAAGTATTCAATGTGTATCATAATAAACATTTTGGAGTCTAATTTTAAACTTATTGTGTTCATTCTCCATAAAAATACTAGTTTCATAGTAAATACCTGTGGTGACCAGCTAGACTCCCCACCGTCAAACTTAAAGCTGTCAACTCCAGAGGTGTTCTTGAGGAGATGCAGTCGGTCCAGGTACCACTGTCTGGCGGCAGGTTTTGTGAAGTCGATGTACGCTGTCGTGGTCTCATTGTCGTTCCACCAGCTGGTCTCCACCGAGCCGTACTCAGAGGCTACCAGGTAGCTGGGGAAAAAGGTCAATAAATGATGAATTACTTTAAACACTTTGCCTATACGAAGAGTTAAGCAAAACTATTCTAGGTTTTACTTACCCTTTGCTCTTAGCTTCAGAATACCAGGGCTCACATCCCTTATTGATAAACGGATGTGTCCACATCGTCACTCTGTATCCTTTCGCCCTCAATATGGCCATTGTGTTCCTAATATTGGGGAACCTAGCGACATCTACCGTCTGAGACCCGTAACACGTTTCCCAAAGATCATCAATTTCCAACTGACTATTTGGAAATCCGTTCTTAGTGATTTCATCAGCAAACTGCAAGACTGTGTTATGATTGACGTCTCTCTTATACCTCGCCCACGTTGACCATATAGGGTATGTTATCATTCTCTCATCAGGAATCCCTTTAGGCTTCTCCAAATACTTTTCCACGGCATATTCGTGAGCTTTCCTAGCATCGTCGAAGATTCCTATCGCGTAGATCAGATCCGTTTTGGCCCTTTTGCTGGAGTAGGGAGATTTGATCTGCGCTATGAAACAGGCGGCGTTTTTCTCCAGATTGTTTTGGTCTACGAAGAGAGGGACCTTCTTATCGAAGTAGTAGAAAATGCCTTCCGAGTTAAGCCAATAAGGCTCGGCTACACCACAGTTGTCAGCTTCCTTGGTCACGTAGGAATAGTTCGGTAAAACCAGACGCTCTATTGGCCAGTATTGTCGTTTCTGCTGTGGTCCTCCATACCAGTGGCGGGTACCTATAAAGATTTTTTAAAGTTTAATCACTGTTTTTCTATTACATTAGTAAAAATAAATACAGTTTAATGTGGGTCTTGATTCTATAGGATCTTTTTTTGGGGGGAAAATCATCGAATTACTTCTCCCGCCTGGGTGAGGCGGGAGTGTCAGACTCTTACTGACTAAAAACCACCCCGTTCCTACTCCTTCACGTCAAGCTGGAGCCCCGGTAACCCGTTAGGTTCTCCGCGACTGATTCTATAGGATAAAATGATTTATACAAGGTTACGGGGTAAGTCGATTATCCATATATAAGGATTTAGGTCGATTTACCCTGTGACCCTGTATATTTAGAAATAGAACCAAAATATCACAGAATTTGTCTTACCAAGATTAACACAGTCCTCCAAACTGACTCCTTTAGGGGCCTCCCAGGTGAATGTAATGATATACCCATTCCTCTCTCCCACCACCTCCTCACTGCTGATCCTGACAGTGGTGTCGTTGCTGAACTGGATCACCACGTCTCCGTCTTCCACCACATCTTTGATGGCTCCGGTGCGGCGACCCACCACCGCTATTACTTCTGAAAGACCCCCTGAAAATATTTCAAAGCCAGGCATCAGTTTACTTTAGTTGTTGTTAATATTTGGTGTCGAATTGGTTAAATGGTTAATCCCGATAAAGATTAGACAAATACTAAACCGTCTAGCGAACCAAAAATACAAAATAATTGTCTTCTATTTGGAACGATAGTTCAAAACACCTTCCTTTTCGTTCGCAACGTCTCTATATTAACATTATAAGTAGGCATTATAATTGAAACTCACTTCTATCCAAGACAATGTTGTATCCTCCTAACGGATTGTTTTCAATCTCCGCTTTGACATTGGGAGAGTCCAAGATGCAAATATCGATGGCATGCGCACACGCAACTAGAGCAGCGAACACCACTGTTGAGAAAAGTACAATTGTTGCAGTTTTTGTCATACAAAATTTAGTTATATTGTCTTGCTAATGTAGCTTTATCGGTTCGATTTTACAATCGAACGGATCGCATTTTTGATATTTTCGATTACCTCGGGAGTTGAACCCAAGTATATGTTGCTACTTCATCTCCGTGCCATGCGTGTTAAAAATTCATAAGTTATAACTTAAACACCCCTTTGAATTATCTATTTCAGTTTTCACCCTTTATTTAAGACTAGCTTTTACCCGCGGCTTCGCTCGCGTCACAAAAGGATAAAAAGTAGCCTATGTGACCAATACATACAGCGCCATCTATACCAATACTTTTGTTTTTCCCACGGAAAAATCAATTTTTTCCGGGTTAAAAAGTACCCTATTATTCAATCCGGACTTCTAACTTTACGTCTGCAAGAATTCTAAGCAATCGGTTTATTAGTTACGGCGTGAAAGTGAAACAAACAAACAAACTCACTTTCAGATTTATAATATTATAGTAAGGATATATTTTTAACAAACTATGAATCACAGATGCTATTAAGAACAAAGTTTCCGATACAACTTAAGTAAAGTATAAACCAAGGTGCGTGTTGTCACATACAAAGACTATTTTTTGTCCCATTGTCATCAAGTAATTGCTGAGACAATACAATTATATTCTATTCATATAATGGAGCGGTTAGGCTTTATATGACATTAAAATAATACACGTTTACGTGAATTTTGTTTATATAAACACGGGGTAAATGCGTTGTTGGATGAGTAGATAGTACCTATGTTTTGCTGTACTTAATTATTATAATTGTTCTTTCAGTACCTATGTAGGTACATAGTTCCTATTAATTCTTAGATTCTCTAAGTATTAATTGGACTGCTGGTCGAGTGTTAAAAAGTGTGACTGACGACCAAGGTGTCGCATAACATAACATCATGTCTTTTATCCCCGAAGGGTGCAATCCACGGCACTATGCCACTGTACAATGTAACACCCACTTTCCACTATTTATGTTATGAGTCCCATGTAATAGGGGCTGAGGCTATTGCCATATAATAACACCAAGCAAGGTGGGTATGTTCTATTTTCGGCTCCTGGGTTTTCACCAGCATTTCTTAAAAATAAATTAGACGTATACATTACCTAATGTATGTATATAGGTATTTCATTTACACATATACAGCACTTTCGGGGAATGTAAGCATAAGCTTAGCTTAGTATAATTATCTAGAAGATAACTGCTAGATAATTGTACGAATATGGAAACCGTAGAATCATTAAATTATAAACAGAATTATTAAATTACGGTTTTTTAACTATTCGAGTGTTCGAAGTAAGAAAGCGTAAACAAGCATACGTTATTTTTTATAATAAACATAATTCTTTATTTGCCAAGATATATAAGTATTTTTTAAATTTTAGCCGTTAAAAAAACGGATCTTTGTTAAAAATAGCTCTGCATTTACCTAAGTTTTTGTTTTGTCGAGAGGGTGCGTTAAAAATCAAGTTCACTTATTATGAGTTAATCTACTATTCGGAACAGACACGCTAATCCTGAAAATCCGACCAGCCAAGACTTCACATTTTAATAATAGTGTAACTAAACCTGCTTTATTAGATCAAATAGTTCACGTGAAAAAACCGTTATTTAAATTATATTGAATATTCCCGTAAATCTAAAAGGTTAGACAAATACTCACAGTTTCCAAAGACGAGCATCTTGTCAGCAGGGCACAGGTGTACTGGTGCCCTAAGCAAAGCGTCCAGTTTAATAAGGACAGTAGACATCATCGTCGCATTGTCTCTAGCTAATGACAACAATAGTTTAATCAGTAATCTTGGCTCATTTCCATCACATTTGCATGTTTTTCTTAGTTTTCTCAAGATCTGATATGAGGAGATCCGTTTGAGATCTTTTAACAGTCATTTGGTGTATGCAGATCCTGGTTTTTGTAGGATCTGAAGGTTACGTACATACTCCATACATGGTGGTGTATAGATATTACTCAAAGCCTCTACATCTAGGTACTATGGATACCATCCTTTCTTCGCACTATGAATAGGATTTCTTTCTATTCACCACATTCATGCCTTTCTACTGCTTTGTGGGTTGAGTGCAATTGCTAAAATACTTTGGCCAACACGGGAATCGAATGCAAAAGAATGACAACGGCCGGCAACGCACCTGTGACTCCTCTGGTGTTGTGGGTGTCCATGGGCGGCGCTGATCGCTTACCATCAGGCGATCCGTCTGTGTATTGAGGTCTTTTATTGGTTATGTTTGGCTTTTCCAAAAATTTCTGAATTGTAGCACAGAGTCTGAAATAGTCTCACCACCTATATAATATAACTTGTAAAAAGTGAGTGTTACCATGTATTTGTGTCTATCGCTGCGGAGATTAAAAAGCGCGTCGCTAAATTATGCAAATACTAATCTAACAATGTGTTGGGATAAACGTAAATATCAGACCGATCTAGTACAATTATGTCCATCTATAAATGCGTTGTTAGCTATAAATTAACTGTTAAACGTTTGAAATTATCATAAAATACATAAACATGGGTCTCGACGGAAACTGTTTTTCTTCGGCAGTTTCTGACTGAAGGGTAATGAGCAAAAACTCAACATCTCTTTGGGAGATCTACGTCTGTGCTAATTGGATCATAATTCTATTGACCATTTAAGGCTTTTTTGATTACAGCTAGCCTTTTTTTGATGACAAAAATAATTTTTTTTTATGGCATAAGCCGGTAAACGAGCAGTCGGGTCACCTGATGGTAAGCAATCGGCGTCGCCCGTGGACACCTGGAACAACAGAGGCGTTACAAGTGCGTTCCCGGCCTTTTGGGATTAGGAGTTTGAGGATCGTTGGGGATTCAGGAATTAGGGAGATTGGGGAAGGGGAGGGTAATTGGGCCTCCGGTAACCTCACTCACACGACGAAACACAACGCAAGCGTTGCTTCACTTCGGCTTTCTGTGAGGCCGTGGTATCAGTCCGGTCGAGCCGGCTCATTCGTGCCGATACATGGCTCTCCCACACTTGAATATTCAAAAGGCCCTTAACTTTTTGAGGATAAAAGACAAGGGTGTGTAAGGTTTTTATCCTACTAAAACCACTCGGGTGGCCATCCTCAACATCTGTAAGGGGCACCGGGTCCTCTATCAGACCAGCCCCGGCGCCCCCACAGTAAAACAGGTGTAACGGCACATCCCTAGGGTGACGCGCGTCTTCCTTGAGCCTCACGACGTCACGTGACCAGTGCCACCTTCTTCTCTGGTTAGACTACCCTGGTTAGAAAACTATCTTCGCTAAAGCAATACCTCTATTGCGTGGAAATGCCAATGTTTCGGCACGAATGGAGCGGTCTCACAGAAAACTGGCCTGGAATATCGATTAAATTGTTGTCCATATGCGACGGTGATTGCTTATCCTTGACTTGCCATTTATTTTAAAGAATTAGAGTATGCAGTTTTCTATACAAATGGGAATTAAAAAGAATAGAAGATGGTAAATTGTAAAAATAATTTTATTCAAAAGAAAATATCACATAGTTCAACAACATACAATTCAAAATATATTTATTCACTTATTCATTTATTTATTAAACTTTACTTACTTATACAACAAATTAATTACTACTCCTAAAAGTACCAGGAGAGCAGAATACACAGGAGCTACTGTGTTACTCTTTATGAAGAATGGCAGGGTGTCTAACGGTGCGGAGTAGTTCTTCAATGTGATGGGTCCTGTGATCACCTTGTTCTTGTCCCCTTGTTCGTACCACTTGCCTGCTGGAAGGTAGATGTCCCTCGATCTCGCGTTATTGGTCACTACGGGCGCTACTAGGATCGTCTCTCCCAGGAGATATTCTGAAAAACGAAGAATTTTATGGTTTTAATTTATCCCCTTAATGTTTTTATATCCACGGAGTCGTTGATCAAGTGATTGCATCCATGGCTGCCGAAACATGGAGTCTTAGAAATGATTCCCACGTTGTACAAAGAACTATTGCGTTTTTCTTTCGATTTTCGAAATTCCTCACAAAATCAGAAACAGTGCCTGGCAATACGCTCTCCCCCTGTTACACGATACGGTTCGGATTACGTAACTAGCGAAAAGGGAATTTTACATTTAACATCTGCACCTCTACCTGACCAGCTAACCCTTACGGGAATAGAAGTTTTTATACATACCGTCCCAGATAGCATGTGCCTGTGTATCATTGGGTGCTATCCACCAGATGGGCATGTTGACCGGAGATCCATCACTAACCGCCTTCTTACAAGCCTCGATGATAGCAGGAGTATACTCCGCGTGAAGATTCACAAACTTCTTGCTAATGTTCACGATCTAAACAAAAGATTAAATTACACCAATCAAATGAAAATAATTTAATGGAAAAAGAATTGAAGAAAGAGGAACAACGTAAACTTTTAAAAAATGTAAATATTCAAAATTCATCATCATTACACCATTTTCATCCATTCAGGACATAAACTCTCTCCTCTAATGAGCTTTATCTTCGGTCCTTCGTATGCAATCATCGTCATTCACTTTTTACAATCATCACTTCACTAGCCCTTCTCAAAAGGAGATGTCCACTCCAGAAAACATCTATCATTCTTCATAGATCCTCTCACTAAAGTGACAAGAATAACATCGAAGGTACTGACCTCGTCATCATAATCCCAGGGCACATAAGAGAACTGCAAACTCGGCATGAAGGTGTTAGCTTGTAGCCATCTGACGAACAGTTCCCTAGAGGGAGCTTCATTGTACCCATTGCCACCGATCATATCAGGGAGTACCAGGGGGTAGCCATTGATGTTCATTTGGAATAATGTCGTGATTAGGGTCGCTAAACCGTTGCGGAAGTCCCAGTAGGTGTCCTTGTCGATCATTCTCACGAAGATTGGAAGGTCTTGAGTTCTGGTGACAAAATTATAGTATTTTGGATTGTAATTGTTTTTTACTGGAATTTGTGTTATGTATTTTATCATTTCTGCAATTTTTATACTTACCCAAATCCAACTCTTACTTCCACCAGGGACCCAAAAGCTGCAACTGTCCTGACATAGTCTGTAGTTATGAGATTCGGGTGCTCGTAAATATCACCTTCAAGGACAGCCACCTTTGGGAAATCATACATAATTTAAACATATTGCCTTCATTACATTATAGTGGTATGTTATTTAACGTTCTACTTACAGTAGGTGACCAGCTGGTCTCTCCACCATCAAACTTGTAAGCGTCCACACCAGTTTCATTCTGCAGTTTGATCAGCCGCTCCATGTACCATTTCCTTACAGCCTCTTTCGAGAAGTCGATGTAGGAACCAATTGTGCCATTGTCATTCCACCAGCTGGTGTCAACGTTACCAGTCTCTGAAGATACTATATAGCTGTTGGTAGAAATTGAGCAATTGCCGTTGTAGTAAAATCAATTGTACTGAACTCCTATTCACTTTCTATGAATTCCTCTCGGACTACTGTAGATCTAAACAAAGCATTGTAAAATGCCGTTAAACTTACTTACCCTAAATTCTTCGCATTGGTATACCAAGGTTCACACCCTTTGTTCAGGAAGGGGTGAGCCCACATGGTGGTCCTGTATCCCTTCTGTCTTAGTGTAGCTATAGTTTCCTTCATGCTTGGAAACCTTGTAGTATTCACCGTCAGAGACCCATAGCATATCTCCCACAAATCATCCAGCTCAAACTGACTGTTTGGGAAACCATGCTTCGTAATTTCATCAGCAAACTCTAGCACTACAACGTGATTGACGTCCCTCTTGTATCTGGCCCAAGTTGACCAAATTGGGTATTTGATCATCAGTTCGTCGGGATACCCTGTTGGTTTCTTCAGGTACTTTTCCACGGCATACTCATGAGCTTTCCTAACGTCTTCGAAGATCGCGATGTCGTAAATGAGATAGTTCCTTGTTCGTTTGCTTGAGTATGGCGGTTGGACTTTGGCGATGAAGCATGCTGAGTTATTTACAAGATTCTTTGAATCGACATATAGTGGAACCTTTTTATCGAAGTAGTAGAAGACGCCAGCGGAGTTGAGCCAGTATCTCTCGGCTACTCCACAGTTGTCTGCTTCCTTGGTGACGTAGGAGTATTCGCTAAAGTTCAGATTCTGAATGGGCCAGTACTGCTCTTTCTGCTGAGGTCCTCCATACCAGTGATGGGTTCCTACAAAAACCTTTAATTTAGTGATGTTTTGAAATTAATATATGGAATTATTTTATTAAAATGGCATTCCGTGTAACTATCGGTTCTATATACTTGGCACACTTTATGTTGACATAGCACATACCTACGTAGTGACTAACATGAAATCCGTAACAATCTTACCATATTCGACACAGTCTTCAAGAACGTACAGCTTCGGAGCGTCCCAAGCGACAGTGATGATCTGGCCTGTTCTGTTGCCAATGACGGTTGTGCTGGAGAAACTCAGCGTGGTATTGTACTCATCGTAACTGAGTACCAGTGGGTTGGTGGACACCACCGATGTGGGCATTGGCCAGTTACGACCTATCCAGGCGATCGTTTCTGGAGCATTGTCACCTATAAATAGGATAGGATTTTAGCTAGTAGCTTAAGGTCTGTTATTGGTTTCTGTCTGGTATTTTAAAGTGGATGCTTTGTAGCGTTTGACTGAAAAACGGTGTGTTCTTTATATGAAATTTTGTTCTACACATGTTATTGCGAATGTAGCTGTTATTAATATTATTATTTATAGTATCTAGAAAGACATCACATCATAGGAAATGCGTCATTATCATCATCCACATCATAGGCGATGAAATCAATTAATAATGTAGGTAAGTGAATATGAGTCTTACCTCTTTGTAATGTGATCTTGAATCCTCCAATACCGTCGGTGTCTACCACTGCTCTTAATCCAGGTACGTTGACAATGGTCTGGTTAATGGCTTGCACACACGCCACCAGAGCGGCTAACACCACTGTGTAATGAAAAGTTGGTTAAAAATGTCATCATGTTGTAATTTAAGTAAAAACGCGGGTTACTCACGTGAATATACTGAGAAAAGCTCTACTAGTTTGGTACTCTCGCGCGTGAGCTGCGCGACGTCGCCGCGACCGCGCACGCTGCTCATGAGGAAGAACCCCTCTGTGGTTCGAAACTAGTAGAGCTTTTCTCAGTATATTCACGTGAGTAACCCGCGTTTTTACTTAATTTAGTATGTCTCACGATAGTTATTATGTTGTAATTTAACTTATCTCAGAGTTTTAAACATGGTAGGTATATTTTTAATATAATCCGTCTCATATTGGTCTCATACAAAGAGATATTTCCTTCCACAGACCCTCTGATTGTGGAATTCACTCCATGCCGAGGTTTTCCCAGTAGGCTACTTACAATTCATGGGGTTCTTCAAGAAGGGAGTAAATAAGTTTTTTATTGGTCGATAAGGCGCATGTGTTGCAATGCCTCAGGTGTTGCAAGCGTTCATATGCCACGGTAAGTATTTGCTATCAGATGGGTCGCGTGCTTATTTGCCACTGGCATGGTATAAAAAATATATATAAAATATTCCCAGGCGTGGAGGACGAAAGACAATCATTCAGCTAACGAAGTAATTTATTTGAATCGTAATAAACTTATGTGTTATTTCCTACCAAGTACCTATAACCAAGAAAAAGCTGCTCTGTTGAGTAACGGATCTGTGTATGAAATTCCTGGAACCGGGTATTAAAATAAAATATTCGTTATAAAAAATTGTCTTGAAACAAGATGCGCTATCTAGTATATTTGCGTATAAGTGATAAACTTATGGCCTTTAACATAACATTAAAAAACTTACTGTTAAAATTAATATAATTAAATACCTATATGATTTTAATACTAAATAACATCATTAGTTAGTTTAGTTTATTTAAAAATTGAAATTAAACTTGCATAGAATTTTTAAATTAATTATCTGTACTTACCACAGTGCAAGCCCTTCATGGTGGCAGTTTGTTCCTCGACTATCCTCCAGTATCGAAGAAAACTCAATATGAATACACTCAGAATGTGATACACTCCCGGGTATCAAGCCGCCTCTCCAAACCACTCATAGATATCTCAGTACAGTCAACACTCATGAAAGTGCAGGTAAATATAGTAAGCATAACGTCACAACTTTTAATACCCGAGAAATAAGTAAGTGTTACAATTAACACTTACTTGACTAGTGACAGGGTAGTTCAATGGCTACCCTGTCACTATTCACCAGTTATGCTTAGGTTAGGTTAATGTGTAGCACAGAATGATTCGGGGCCCTTTTCCTATGTTTTTTTATGTAACCCCACATTAGGGTTGTCTCCTGTATCATGGATGCGTTTACAAACATACGAGTTCACAAACACATACACATGACATCTAACCTCGAAACCACAAATTGTAAATCACACAAAGATTTGTTCCGTGCGGGAATCGAACCCGCTACACGTTACACGGCAGCCGGTTGTGTGATACACAAATCGTTGTTTCGGGTCTGGGTGTCATGTGTATGTGAACTTGTATGTTTGTAAACGCACCCACGACACAGAAGATAATACTAGTGTGGGGCAACGTTTAAAAAAAAACCAAATCGCCCACAGTCCTCAAATTCTCCAATTTGAGGGACCAGAACCTTCTGGCAACTGAGGGACAACGAGAATGTGAGTGGCTGAAGTGTTAAGAAACTACCACCGCTTTCTACTCAGATCATCTGCTCCAGCCGAAGCCTCCTGCATCCCTGGCCCACTCGCGACTTACGAATAATTTCTTACCCTTCGAGCAGGAGCACTGCTCTCGCGACTCCACTCTGGACGGCCAATGAATTGAAAGCAAGCCAGAGTTGAGAGACCTGTTCCTTGTCATCGTTTACTCCAGCCAGCCAATTAAGACAAGCCGGAGAATAAGGAACGGTGACTTCTCCCCCATTATTATTATTATTGTCTTTATTTAAGCTGATGTATGGCTCAATTATTTATTTATTTTATTTATTTATTAACACTTCTGTATAACAAACATACGATGGCGGACTTAATGCCGGGTGGCATTCTCTAACAGTCAACCATGGGGTGATGCAGAGATGTGCCACAGTAGGTGTAATTATGTGGCAGTTGTTTTTCTTGTTTAAAGGATTTTACTTCAGCTAATGAACCAATTTATGTATTAAGATAGCTTGACATCGGTAGCCTGTATCACGTGTAGAAACAGTAACTTGATAAAATCACTTGAAAATACTTAATTATACACAAACAATGTCAAGCGTCGTGTAGTTGAGTGTATTGTTGAATCATCATCAAGGACATCTGTGTTTTACATAATTCTAACATTTGTGATTACTACTGCCTATATCTTAGCCTCTGCCTTTTTACATAACATAACAGCACGCCTTTTATCCTCGAAGGGTTAGGCAGAGGTGCACATTATGCCAATGTACCTACAATGTAACACCCACTTTTCACTATGTATGTTATGAGTCCCATGTAATTGGGGGTGAGCCTATTGTCATAAATCGCGCACAATTCCAGACTCCGTGCTACAACTGAGAATTAAAAAAAAACCCTGTAATACTTTACCCGACCCGGGAATCGAAGCAGAGTCGGCAGTCGCACTTGCGACCACTAGGCCAATGAGGCAGCCTATTTCCATTAAGCCTTATTGGGTATTGTTAACCTTTTCAGCAATGGCAATTTCTACCTATTTACCACTCGGTATTTCATAGTCTAAACTAGATCTTTAGAAAGGTCAGAGAAAAAATCAATGATAATTAAAAATAAATCTTTATTTGTTAAAATAATATCATAGAGTTAAATAATTATTATGTAAGTAAGACAGATGCCATTCTTTTCACTCCAATTGATGTCTTTTAATGTTCAATCAAGATTGAAACGTATTCATATAAGACAACTGACTAACAATTAATTCCTTATAGCAATAATATTAGTTATTAAGCCTAAAACTACTAGGATAGCAGAAGTGTAGAGAGATACACTGGAATCGTGGGATACAGATTTGTCGCGGACGAAGTATGGGAGTACGTCTAAGGGTGCTGGGTAGTTACGGATCCATGTGGGGCCTTCGATAGGTTTCTCCAAGTCGCCTTCCTCATACCAAACACCAGCTGGTAGGTAGATGTCACGAGATCTAGCTCCTTCAGTCAGTACTGGAGCCACTAAAACTGTTTCTGCCAGGAGATATTCTGTAATAAAGAAATATTGTTGTAGTTGCGTTTGACCCAATATTGTTCCTTGAGGTACTCCTATTTAAAAAATCGGATTCTGCATTCGTATTTTTAGTAAATTCTAATCTATAGACAATTTTGTAGTGTATTTTACTATAGAGAAGACACTAAATTATGGTACACATATGAGATTCTCCCTCTTTGAAGGTACAAAATGAACTTGAAAAATATAGAAAAAATAATTCTAAAGCCATTGACAGGTTCAAGAACAGTTTATAATAAACACAACATTTAATTTAAAGCGTTTTTTTGTCATTAAGGAGCGAGTGAATCTTACCATCCCAGATCACGAGAGCCTCTTCATCATTGGGAGCGATCCACCAGAGAGGAGTGTTGACGGGAGTTCCATCAGCCACTGCTGCCTCCATGGCGTCGAAGATCACGTCTGCATATTCAGCGTGAAGGTCTGTGTATTTCTTGCTTATTTGTACTGTCTGTAAATGTTTGTAATCTTTTAATTGAAAAGGTTTGTATTGTTCTGAATTAGGCTCTTTGTAAATTTTTTTATGGCATAAGCCGTTAAACGAGCAGACGGATCACCTGATGGTAAGCAATCGGCGTCGCCCATGGACACCGGGAACTCCAGAGGCGTTAAAAGTGCGTTACCGGCCTTTTGGGGATTAGGAGTTTGAGGATCGTTGGGGATTCAGGAATTGGGGAGATTGGGGAAGGGGAGGGTAATTGGGCCTCCGGTAATATTTTTAGTTTTGCACCACTTGTTGCAATTTCAGTCATAAGCGTTCCACTTAAATTTACAATAGTAAAGCATTGTAAACAGTACCTATATGAATCACAGGCTGACAATTATTGTGCAATTTGATGCTTCGATAGCTGCGTGTTGATAATGTATGATGATTGACTAGGACATGATGTACCTAACTGTTATATCACAATTGTTATTGACGTTGTTATAATTCTACTGTCAATTAAATTCATTAAACCATTAACGAAAAACTAGATTAGCATATTGATAGACTTCTAGAGATCTTCACAACTGTTCATCTACTGCTAATATATTATGTTTATTTTTTAACTACTTACTAGTCATCCTTTTGTTTATTTTAATTCTACTTCCCTATACAAACTACTATCAGGAGTGGGCTTCTTTTCAAGCACGGTAGCATATTAAACAGCTACGATATTTTTATTAACGTAGGTACACGTTATTATTTGAGTTAATTTTTGAAGCCTTAGATAAATGTGTTAAAATAAATATTTTCCTTATAAAAGCATACCTCATTATCGAAATTCCAAGGTGCGAATGAATACTGCATCACAGGCAAGAATGTGTTGGCTTGCACCCATCTGATGAACAGTTCCTTAGTTGGCAAATCCGCCTGTTCGTGGTCTAGGTTGTAGCCGTTGCCTCCGATCATGTCTGGCAGCACGAAGGGGTATCCGTTCAGGTTCATCTGGAAGGTGGTTGTGATGACAGTGGCCAGTCCGTTGTTCAGCCCCCAGATGGAGTCACGGTCCACCATGCGCACGTATATCGGAAGGTCTTGGGTCCTGAAAGTGTATAATGTAATTTTGAGTTGTCACTGTTAAATAGGTCTTCAATTTTAGATCCTCTTCAATCTAAAACTATTTGTCGTGTTTTTAAGGGCATACCTAATTGTAACATTTGAAAATAGTAATTTACCTAAATCCAGCTCGGACTTCTACCATGTTTCCGAATGTAGCGCACACTTTTGCGTACTGTTGCACCAAGTGATGGGGCTGGAATTCAATGTCACCTGTCTGGATGGCAACCTGAAACACATATTGAATTAATTAACAATTTATACTCTACTAGCTTTTACCCGCGGCTTCTCTCGCGTCACAAAAGAATAAAAAGTAGCCTATGTGACATATACCAATACACACAGCGCCATCTAATGCAATACTTTTGTTTTTCCTCGGGAATATCAATTTTATCTGGGTTAAAAAGTACCCTATTATTTAATCCGGACTTCTAACTTTACGTCTGCAAAAATTCAAAGCAATCGGTTTAGTAGTTACGGCGTGAAGGTGGAACAAACAAACAAACAAACAAACTCACTTTCAGATTTATAATATTATTAGTAAGAATAATATTAGTAAGAACCAGTAAGGATAAGCACACAATAACAATATAACATTGCTACTTTTTTACGCTCCCTGTTATCACATGCATCAATGTATTAATTTTTATCACTTGCACTGTTTTTATCACTCGTCTAGATCTAGATCTTTCTTGCGGTTTAGTTCTCTTATATCACTAATATCTATCACAAAAAATATTTAACGAATACAAATGAAAAATTAAACAAAACGAACCTCAGGTGCAAAGCTAGCCTCTCCCGCATCAAACTTGACGCTGTCTATTCCATAAGTGTCGAGTACGTCCTTAAGTCTGTCATAGTACCAGTCAGCAGCCTTTGGGTTGGTGAAGTCAATGTACCCAGCATTGGTACCATTGTTGTTCCACCATGACGTGTTGGTGCTTAAACTCTCATCCAACACGAAGAAGCTGAAGACGTTATGAAGTTAGTAGGTTAGGTCATAAGCTGAGCTATCGATATGAACTGTGAGGATTTAACCACCGTTGGCGCATTATTCACACATTCAAACAAAAGTATAAAAGTTAAATACTCACCCCCTATCCACAGCTTCCGAAAACCAAGGATCACAGTTTCTATTAATGAAAGGATGTGCCCAAATCGTGACACGGTATCCCAAAGCCTTGAGGTCCTGCACAGTTTGCCTCAAGTCAGGGAACTTCTCCTCATTCACCACAAGAGAGCCATAGCACGTCTCCCACTGGTCATCAATCTCAAACTGAGAGTTGTTGAAACCATTGTCCCTAATTTGTTGAGCAAAGTCCAGGAGCTTTGTCTCGTTGATCTCTCTGGAGTATTGGGCCCAAGTAGACCAGATTGGATGCTGAACCATTTGGAAGTCTGGAGTTCCTGAAGGCTTGCCAAGATAGTTGGCAATGGCGTGTTTGTGAGCTGCTTTGACATCTGACAAAAACCATATATCGTAAGCTAATATAGTACGTGGTCTGTTTGTGGAGTAGGGACCTGCTAGTTGGGCTCCGAAGCATATGTGGTTGTTCAAAATGTTCTTGTAGTCCACGAAGAGTGGGATCTTGTCGTGAACAATGACGTACTCTCCTGCGGAGTTGAGCCAATACCTCTCCATGATAGCACCATTGTCGGTTTCTTGAATGTAGCTTGGCCTGTAGACTTGTGTCGCAGTTTCGATTGGGTAGACCTGGTCCACTTGCATAGGTCCCGCATACCAATGTTTTGTCCCTGGAATAAAAGAAAATATTTACATAATTTTTTAGATTTCGATGTTAACAAATAAAGATAATGGGTTTTTTGTGTCAATTTTCCGAAAGTGTTAAGTAAGTATGATAACTTTATATTCAAATCTTTAGGGGAAAAATCAATCAATCTGTCAATATAAACATCTCCTCTTAAGAAGTACAAGTATCGGAAGATAAGATTATTGTGCTTACCGAAATCGATGCAGTCCTCTAGTCTGGTATACTGATCAGCTTCCCAGCTGAACTTGATGCCCCTAGCCTGGGTGGCTGCCTCGTACAGGGTGTTGATAGTGAGGTTCACATTGCCAATCCTGACCAATAGACCACCTTCTACGTCAGTTACTGTGAATGGAGCTGCTAACGTGCGCCCGACCTGACCGAACACCTCACGTTGGTTGTCTAGAGCAGAATTATAAAAGAGATTTTGCAGAAATGGACCTTTATAAAGACGATGGAAAGTTAGCAATAGATGGAATGTGTTGAGATACTGATTATTCTGCAAAGCTGCTTCTGGTAGGTTTGATACTTTAGTGTTCAGGTATCTTAAGCGTAGAAAAGCTTTTAGCTCTCGAAGTCTCGCCTTCAAGGGATTACAAGTCCTTGATTACCATCATGATAATCAAAGACAATGTGCCATTACTTGACATCATTAACGTCCGGACAAAGCAATAAATTGTATTTAGCGCCGCGTCTTATCAATCTTGTAATTTGCTTAAATTAGAATATATTTTCCATCCACCATAATCCGACCTTGGAAGGTCTCTGTATCTGTTTGTTTAGATGTTATGATACTGGATTGATTTATTTTGTTGTTCCTATTGCTGATGAAGTTTTCTGAATTCGATTTTCAAAATATACTTTTTCTTTAGAAGATTTATTTGTTAAGTGGTATGACAGTCGATCACAGATTCTTAAAATCAAGCTTCAGATTTTCGGATACGGAGATTTCAGGTACCAATAAATTTCATATCAAAGTGGGTATAAGGCAATTAAACTCAGTATGAACTCACCCTCAGTCAGAACGAGGTGGAATCCTCCAGTGAGGATCGGCTCCAAAGTGAGTGTGACGTCATCAGCGCGTACAGAGGGCGCCTCTGTTATTGCAGCTGTGTGCGCGCGCGCGCCTAGCGTTAGAAAGACTGGAAAACAGAAATAAGTGTTTAAAGTTTGTTTTCTTTTTAAATTGCTTCTCCATAAAAGATGGAAAAGATGGTATATTGTATTTGTATTACATAATATCCCATTATGGCTATCTCAGATTTCCTACTTTTTTGAAGGTCACCTCAACGTAACTATCAAGTTTTTGTACTGTAGCATTTTCAACCAATTTTAGCCTTATCTATTCAGAATTCTTTGCCTAGTTCTGTCAGTTTCTCGATCACAGATGAACTGCAGTCTTAAAGTCCTAAACATGACAATAACACTTCTGAAAGATGAAAGATCGAAAGGAGGATTTTAAGATTTGAGACTTACATAAAAATGCCCTAAGAGCCGCCATCACGTCTCACCAATGAGTATCGACTGCGGTTTTTCTTGACATTATCTTTATCTCAATCGATATCTTGACATCTCTATCATCTTACGACACTATCGCTTGCTCTTGAGCTTAAATCATTTTTTTAGATAATTCTCGAATTTAACTTCTGTGACTCATGGCAACAGGACGAAGTTGTTTTTGTTGTTGTGGGGAATTAAGTACACCCTGATAGTAATTTAACCTAATGGCCTACTTAATGAAAGTATTGACGAGGCAAACAACAGGAGATTCTATAAGATCACTTGATGCTTAGCAATTGAAAATAGTTCTTTCTTTTAAAGTGATCTTATAGACTGTGTTGTTATTAGTTGGCAAGCCCGAAGGAACTATTTTCAATTGATATTAGTTTGTGAAAATGTGGATATTTTGTATAGATTTTGGTTACTGTCTTATTAACCGACTGCAAGCAATCTCGGGTTCGAATCCCGGGTCGGGAAAAGTATTACTGGGTTTTAAAATAGTCTCAGTAGTAGCACAGAGTCTTGAATTGTGCCCAATAGGCTCACCTCCTGAGACATGGGACTCATAACATATCTAAATACAGAAAATTAAGTGTTACATTATAGGTACAGTGGCTGAACAGTATCGGCCGAAAGTCCTTTGGAGCCTATTACTTGAAATAATACGAAGTACCTCAGAGCAAGACAATTTATTTACGTCAAAGCAGACAACCTAATGTTTTGCCGGTAACGAAACCATAGCTTGAATTTAAATCGGCCAACGCCATCTATCGAGCTATGGGACAACACAATAAATAGTAGTATGGCGTTGGCCGAGTGCATCTTTTAAACAGATTATTTCTACACTGAACATTCCGCCCACCAAAAGGAATATATTCCTTTTCGTACCGCCCACCATGCATAAACTTAACAACTAGGAGAACAGTGGACTGTATGACAATTATATTACTATATTACGAATAATACATCGAGATAGATCTAGTGGACGGCTTCTTTTAGCAGACATTGGCGCGGACAGATATGGTTCCAATCAAAATGAATAGATATAAGTACAAAAACATTAATCTGGGTGACGAAATTCTTGATACCGGCAAAAATATCAGGTTGACAAAATTCTGACAAAAACAATATAACTACTAACTAAACATTGTAATCAATACATGACAGTGCACAAGAGTAAGAGACATTGTTATTTCAACAGTGCAGTATAAGAAAATAACATAATAAAACCTTATCTAAAAACATACGCAACTTAAACAATTAAATCTACAAGATTTTGTGCCTTATTCAGTAACAGGAAGAAAACACAATTTTGAAATTGGACGTTTAATCATAGAGCCCTTACAACGAACAGTGACAACTCGCGTCAAGTTATCTCTACCCGGATGCAGCTCAACAATTCTGCCATACAACCATTTAGCTGGAGGTAAGATATCTTCTTTTATTAAAACTACATCACCTATTTTACAGTCAGGTTTACGAACATTCCACTTATGCCTTTGAAAAAAGTTTGTTAAATACTCCTGTTTCCATCTACGCCAAAAGTGCTGCACCATACGCTGTACTAATTGCCATCTGCGTAAAGTGCTAACTGTGACACTTTCATAGTTGTAGTCAGGAACCATTACCAATGGATGACCCACCAAGAAATGACCCGGAGTCAGAGGTACAGGATCCTCTGGATCACTACTACCCTGAGACAGGGGCCTAGAGTTTAGGCATGCCTCGATTTGGGAAAGTACTGTGGACAGTTCTTCGAACGTCAAAGTGGAGTCACCTATCACACGCTTCAAGTGGTGTTTTACACTTTTCACCCCTGCTTCCCACAACCCACCAAAATTAGGAGCGTGAGGAGGGATAAAATGCCATTCTGTTTGAGAGTTTGCAAGAGCAGCTGCAATGTCTTTGTACATCGAACTCTGTTGGTTGAAAAGCATCTGCAACTCTTTAGCAGCACCCACAAAATTTGTACCATTGTCGCTCCAGATATGACGACAGTGACCGCGCCTAGAAACGAACCGTTTGAACGCTGCCAGGAAACCCTCAGTCGTCAAATCTGAAACAACCTCTATGTGTACTGCGCGCGTAGCCATACATACGAACAAACAGATGTACCCCTTATACGACCGCTGTCCACGACCTTTGGAGACTCTAATGTGAATAGGGCCTGCATAATCGACACCGGAGTTCAGAAACGGCTTACTGGGAGTCACTCTGCAAACCGGAAGTTCTCCCATAAGCTGTTGATTCGTGGTCGCCGAGTATCGAATACAGCGAACACAACGACGTATATAAGCTCGTACAATATTTTTAACCCGACTGATCCAGTACTTGATGCGTATAAAATTAAGTACCAGTTGCTGTCCTCCATGAAAGGTCCTTTCATGAGCGTCGGCTACAATTAACTTAGCCAAACTTGAATCATGAGGAATAACAACTGGGTGCTTTGTATCATCAAGTAATGGTGAATACCGTAGCCTTCCTCCAACTCGCAATATCCCACATTGGTCGATAAATACATTCAACTTATATAAAGAACTCGACCTTTCCAATGGACTCTTATTTTTCAGGGCTGTCAATTCAGCCTGAAACCATTGCTGTTGGCTTTGTTTGATACATACATTCAACGCTTTGTGAATTTCGGAAGCTGACAGGTATTTTGCAACCTTAATATTCGCTTTACGAAGTTTTAATGATTGCAAAAATCTTTTACAATACGCAACAACTCTCACCAAACGTGAAAGTGATGAATACTTAGATCCCCAAATGACTTCAAAATCAGGCACTACGCTGGCAGTGTGAACATTAACTTGCTTTAACTCCTCATTAGTATGAATGGCACTAGGCCGGGTGAAGTCTATCTGAGCATTCCTTAACCAACCAGGTCCATGTTTCCAAAGATCATCACCAAGGAGAAATGCTGAAGACACTCCCCGGGAAGCTATATCTGCTGGATTTTCTTTAGATTTAACATAAGCCCACTGTGAATTGTCTAGCAAACCAAGAATCTCAGAAGTACGATTAGCCACGTAAGTTTTCCATCGACTTGGATGATCATTTAACCAGGCCAAAACAACTGATGAATCCGTCCAAGCATGTATATTTGCCTTAGGAATGTTCATTACTTGAGCTACATCAATCAATAATTTTGCTACTAAAACAGAACCGCACAACTCCAGCCGTGGAATGGATATTTGCTTGATGGGAGCTACCTTTGTCTTTGCGGTTATGAGGTGCGAGTGTATTTGCCCATTAGCATCGACAATGCGACAATACACCACAGCCGCATAAGCTATATTTGACGCATCGCTAAAGCCATGTAACTCCATTGTAATATCTTTTTCGCTTTTATGTATCCATCTAGGAATGTGAAAGTTTACCAGTTTCTTTAACTCTGCTCTATAATATGACCATTCTTGTAAGAGATTTGGTGGCAGTTCATCATCCCAGCCGATTCCACTAATCCATAGCTTTTGTATGAAAACCTTCGAGGTTATAATGCACGGTGCTATCCAACCCAACGGATCATAAAGCTTTGATATCTCTGATATAACCGTCCTTTTTGTTTCAGGTGCAGCAGGAGGTGACATCTTCACAGAATAATCAAATTCATCAGTGTTCCGGTTCCAGGTAAGTCCTAAAATCTTAGTTATACTATCCATTTTTATTTCAAGGTCTCTACCAGAAGTTTCCTTCAACGTTTCCAAAATGGATGGTCTATTGCTTGTCCACTTTTGCAATTGGAACCCCGCTTTCTCTAATAGACAATTCATTTCATCATAAATTAGTTTTACTTCTGTTTCAGATTGACACCCAGTCATCAGATCGTCCATATAGAAGTCTGACTTCACCCTTTCAGCAGCCATTGGATACCTCTCGCCTTCATCGCACGCAACTTGCTGCAACGACTTTACAGCTAAGTAAGGAGCGCATGACGTACCAAAGGTGACAGTCAGAAGTCGGTAATCCTCGATCTCTTTGTTTGGATTCTCTCTCCAAACAATTCTTTGATAATCTGTATCAGGTCGAGCGACCTTGATTTGGCGATACATTTTGACGATATCGGCAGCCAGACAGATCGGATGTTGACGCCATCTCATGACAATATGTCGCAAATCTGCCTGAAGAGTGGGTCCTACCATTAAGGTGTCATTTAAGGAAACCCCGTTCGTTCCCTTACATGACGCGTCATAAACCACTCTTACCTTAGTGGTTAATTTATCCTGTCTAACCACTGCGTGATGAGGCAAATAAACAGCATCGTTTTTATTTATTTCAGCCTTATCAACGATTTTCTCCATATGACCAGCAATAAATATTCTTTTATTACATCAGCATACTGTTGTTTTAATTCATCATCCCTACCCAGCTTCCTTTCTAAACCTAGCAATCTTTTTACAGCTATATTTTTAGAATTACCGTATTTACAAAGTGGATCTTCGGAACGAAAAGGTAATTTTACGACATATCTCCCATTGACATCTCTAACTGTCGATTGTGCGTAAAACTCTTCGCAGGCCTGTTCTTCAGGCGTGAGAAGCTTTTTCGTTATAGCAGGTTCGGAATCCAATTCCCATAAACGTTTTAACATATCATTCTCTTCTATTTGAGTGTACATCGTGATTATAGTATTATGAGAATTTAGAGAGCTATCTGCCTTACTGACATAGCCTGACACAATCCAACCTAAATGCGTGTCTTGTGCGACCGGAGAGCCTGTAGGACTCTTGATCAGACCTTCCTTTAAAATACGGCAGTATACTTCCCCCCCTAATAAAATATCAATTTTATTAGAACGACTGAAATTTGGGTCGGCTAGACGTATGCTGTGAATTTCTGGCCAATTGTCAAGGTTGACATTCTTATCTGGCATAACCGATGTCAGTGAACGTAGTACATGCGCAGTTACGTTTATGGTATAAGAGGAATCATGCAACGATTGAATATCAATATTCACTACATGTTTAGAAACGATCTTGCTATGCTCACCTCCTATACCTGCAATAGTAGTCTTTGAGACTACTCTCCTTAAACGAAGTAATTGCGCAGCTGACTCAGTTATAAAGGATGCTTGTGATCCTTGATCCAACAAAGCTCTCAAAACCTGAGAGGACCCATTTTGTGATTCGGCTTTAACCAAAGCCGTGGCTAACAAGACCTGACCCTGCGTTTGTTCATTCACAAAATGAGATGCTATACTTACCTTGACATCATGGACTGGCTCTGAAGTACATCCAAGTTCAGGAAGAATAGGTTCCCCTGACGCAGTAACCCCAATGGCTCCACTATGGTTCTTCGGATGTAGCAGCGTATGGTGTTTACGCTGACAAATACGGCATTTCGAAAAAACACGGCAGTATTTGGAAGTATGATTACTTCCCAAACAATTAAAACAGGCACCCAAAGATTGTGTTACGGCACGACGTCCGTCCACATCTAGTTGGCAAAACTTCTTACAATTTAAGAGTTTGTGACTCTCCGAACAGTGTGGACATAACATATTAGTCGTACCGTGCATGACCTTAGTGTGAGATGTAGGATGATGATCGACTTTTAATTTATTTTTAGGCTCAACGCATTCGAGAGCACGAAAACGTGTTTCCAAAAACTCGCAAAACTGTTTAAAGGAAGGTAGATCGTCGGATGATTTAGTGACATGCAGTTCCCACTGCTTCCTCGATTCTACGTCCAACTTTAAGCTTGCAACGTAAATAATAATTACATCCCAAGAACTTACATCGATCCCAATATTAGTAAGTTCGTGCAAACAGTCACTGGTCACATCTAGTAAATCTTTTAGTGCTTTTGATGATTCATTTCCAATATTACGTTGGCCAAATAATCTATTTAAAATATATGTGGATACAAATCTCTTGTTATTATACCTATGTTCTAACATTTCCCAGCATTTTTTATAGTTTAAATCAGTTATAGGTACATGTTTTATAAGCTGCTCCGCTTCACCTGACAGTTGAGTTTTTAAATAATGGAGACGTTGGACATCATCAAGTTTTTTATTGTTGTGTACTAATGACACGAACAAATCACGGAATGACGACCACTCTGTATATTTTCCGCTAAAAGTAGGTAAAACTATTTTTGGCAATCTTACCACACTGCTGTCAGATGAACCATCGCAACCTTCCTTCCTGGAGCTGTGAACTTTTAATTGGGACAAAACATTTTTTAATTCTACCTTGTACATTAAATAACACTCATAAACCGTCTCATAGATATCTTCCTGGAAAAAGTCCTGTAATTCTTCACTTTCGCAATCACCTACGATGACTTCATATTTCGCAGAAAAATTCTTGAATTGGGTCTCTAACATCTCTAAACGTGCATCGACATAATTGTAGTTTATCCGATCTCTCGGGGACTTCTTGTAATTTATCCAGCCCTTTTCAATTTGTAATTTGATATCTTTCAGCTTTCTTAGTTCTTTCTCCATGTTGTTTGTATTCATGAAAATATTCTAAGTCCAGTGAAAGATAGATGAAAATTCTCTAAGTGTCGCTGACAGTTGACAATTGACAAATTTTCCAAGTCCAAACTATAGAGAATTTTTCTAAGTGTTTAATACTTGTAGATCGCTTCGAAATCGGGCATAGATTCGACGTCTGGTCGTTTTTCTGAAACTATTCTAAGTCCCGATCGAATGCACGCGAATTTTTCTAAGTCCCTAGTTTTAATGATTTGAATGTACTCACAGTTCTTTGTCCACAATTATGCACTTCACTTCACTACTACGAAGTTCACCGATGATTCCCGATGTATGTCCTCGGCAGCTGAGCACGTAGTCTTCCACATGTAGTATTGTTAACCGACAACTATCACCATCTCGTATCAATTAGCACAACTATATTTAATTGTATGTGTTCTTCCATAAACACCCTTCGGCTCGACTGGACCATGAACAGTATCGGCCGAAAGTCCTTTGGAGCCTATTACTTGAAATAATACGAAGTACCTCAGAGCAAGACAATTTATTTACGTCAAAGCAGACAACCTAATGTTTTGCCGGTAACGAAACCATAGCTTGAATTTAAATCGGCCAACGCCATCTATCGAGCTATGGGACAACACAATAAATAGTAGTATGGCGTTGGCCGAGTGCATCTTTTAAACAGATTATTTCTACACTGAACAGTGGCATTAAGAGCCGTAACGTGCACATTTGTCTACCCCTTCAGAGATAAAAGGCGTGGACATATACAAAGATCCGATTAAATAATTACGTATGTCGTTACGAGTATAAAAATTTTAATGAATTTAACCACGATTGAATTTAACCACGGTTGGTAGCGGCAGATGACAGTCGCATTGCAAAACTGATATTCAGACTAAACTAAACTAGATAAGATATTGATGGAGACCCCCTATTACATGGGACTCATGACATCAATAGTGAAAAGTGGATGTTACATTGTACAGTGGCATTAAGTGCGTACGGCTAAGGAGTGGAATTCTTTGTCAGAGTTTATATTCCCTGAAGGTTATAACCTGGATTTCTTCAAGGCTCGAGTGAATAGGTTGCTTATGGGTCGACGTGCTCCATCGTAGACCGCATCATCGCTTACCACCAGGCGAGATAGTGGTCAAACGTCGGCCCATCAAAAATAAAAATGCCGTAATTAATGTGCACCTCTGCTTACCCCTTCGGAGATAAAAGGTGTAATGTTATGTTCATGAGGAACTGATTGCTGGTGGCTTACTATACCATACACTATACTCAGTGGGTGCTATAGATGTTTACGATTAGCCTTTGATTCTTATTGACATATTTGTTTGGTCAAAGATATTCTCTTCGGCCGGTCGTTATCGACGCTATCTTTCCTTCAAGTAGTCTGTCATATGTCTCGACTTATCAAGAGTAACGTCAACTGTCTACCTACTGTATTATGATTAAGGGTTTTTCTCCATTTTGTTCTGAGTACGTAGGTACCTAGTAGGTACAGACGACAGCAGGTCAGCATATACCGACGACGTGAAGCAACGCTTGCTTTGTGTTTCGTCGTGTGAGTGAGGTTACTGGAGGCCCAATTACCCTCCCCTTCCTCAATCTCCCAAATCCCTGAATCCTCAACGATCCTCAAACTCCTAATCCCCAAAAAGGCCGGTAACGCACTTGTAACGCCTCTGGTGTTCCAGGTGTCCATGGGGACGCCGATTGCTTACTATCAGGTGATCCGTAGGCCCGTTTACCGGGTTATGCCATAAAAAAAATATACTCGTTTCAATGCTTTACTAAATTATAACTTTATTGTTTTGATATACAGTCGAAAATCCAATGAATATTTAAAGTTTGGAGTAGGCTGATGTGCTTGACTTTGCATGAATATCTAGTGATTTTAATCGGAGATTGTTGTAATCATATTTGATCCTTGATTATGTAAGTGTAGGTACTTCAGTTTGTTTGTTTCTGGAATGAATTTAAATGTACGAATCTATATTTTGGTTTGAACACCTAGCTTTAGGTAGGTAGGTACTGAAAAAGAGACTGACGGACAATTTTATTTTAACTTTTCAATAACGCTTGTACGTGGTTCTAATTCAAACAAATGCTTTGACTTTGAATTGTAAGTAATAATTAATGCAAACTAAAATATCAAAATTGAATTTTGATCATTGACTTATTTTCTGGTCGTTGTGGATAAAAAAAAATTAGAAGATGTTGTCGTATTGTCTCTCCACAACAATCAAAGTTACTCACAGTACCTACAATTGAAAGAGTATCTATCATCTGGAAAAGTCCTCAGTTTTAAGTTCTTAAAATCGATTGACATGGAATAGTTTTATTAGTAAAACCAAATTGGGGACCACAACAGGCGTAAAGTTGTCACATAGCACTCATTTCTTAGTGTCTGCAAACTCCTCTGATGTTGCATGGGCGGCGCAGATTGCTTGCCATCAGTGGATGGTAGTAGATGACCCCCTTACCTGATCCCATAAAAATCCAGCTGGGTATTTATGTTATCTATTATTGAACGATAATTTATAATACTTTCCCTTGTTTGGGGATTAAATCTGAACGTCAACTTGAATACATTCTATGAACAAATCAAATCAATTTTGTATGTCTGTACAGACACAATGTGGCGCACTACCATAATATTATCTACCATCTATTGTAACATACCTACATTGACGAAATAAACAATATTTGTATTTGTATATTTGTATTTAATCGTTCCGATCATTTCTATGGTCGTTCTTTGATTTTAAGAATAAATCCAATAAAACAACAAATACATACTCATTAAAATAAATATTATTAAATTTAAATATACAATAATTATTTAATAATAACAAAACATTCGAGTTTGTTTTTCTATTACTCGAGTAAAGTGAAGTATGGGAGGACGTCCAATGGAGCTGGGTAGTTCCTCAGCCAGATTGGGCCGTGGATGACATGGCCACTGTTCCCATCTCTCCAGGCGCCTCGAGGCAGGTAGATGTCACGGGACACTGCTCCTGGCTTCACCACTGGAGCTGCTAAGATCTTCTCACCCAAAAGGAATTCTGGAACATCAAGAATAGGGTCGTGTCCAGGTTAACAAAATAAAAATTTATTAGTCCGTCAGTTAGATAATGAAAAAATATTAGACACGTATTTTTTTTATTTTCTCGTATTAAGTTGCAATACTTAGATAAAATGGCGCTAAGTTTAAGAGTGAGAGGTAGTTACGTCATAACGGGCTACAAAATATGACACGTATATCGTCGAAAGTATTTAGTTTTTTTGAGAAAAGAAAAAATACGTGTCTAAAGTTTTAAACGAATGTACCAGACGGATATTAAAATAAAATTTAGGAAACTACCCTATTCTATTTCATCTATAGATGCACTTATGAACTTATGTCAATAAATTTTATTACCGTCAGCAACAGCGAAAGCTTCTTCATCATGAGGGTCGAGCCACCAGATGGGAGGGTTGACGGGAGTACCGTCACTGACTGACTTCTCCATTGCAGCTAATATCTCGTCAGCATACTCCGCGTGGAGGTGGGTGTAGCGACGGCAAATTTCTACAGCCTGAAAGCAAAGTATTTTTAAGATATTTCATAGGCCTTTGCCCTGCAGTGAGACGACAATATCTAAAAATAAATAAATAAGATATTTCTTCAATTGTTTTCTTAAATAAATAGCGTAAAGTTAAAAGTAAAAAAGTCTAAATCATTTATTTCAATTAGACGAGAAAGGCACTTTAGAACGTCAACAAAAAATGTAAAAGTGAAGCTATTTTCTCATTCCGGCAAGTTTTATATCCCAACGGAGTAGGCTAAGTTGAAGTGTAATTAATACCCATTTATCATTAGTTTATGCTATGAGTTCCATGTGTATTTAGTTAGTTGGCACTTTGTAACCACGAGGTAAATGTGGTAATGGTTAGAAAATAGTTACATTTAAAGTATCCTTTCGATTAGTAGAGAAGTTAACTTTTCTGCCTGGTTGGCCGAGTGGGGTGCGATTCCCGGGTCGGGCTGCGGCACAGTACTATTGGTTTTTTTTTAAATAATCTCATTAGTAGCTCGCAGTTCGCACAATTCCAGAATTGTGCCCGGTATATGGCAATACTCTCAACCCTCATTACATGAGACTCATGATTAACATACGTAGTAAAAAGTGGGTGTAACATTGTACAGTGGCATTAAGTGCCGTAATGTGCACCTCTGTCTACCCTTCGGGTCTAAAAGGCGTGATGATGTTATGTTAAGTATTACTTTTAGCAAAATTTATACTTGTCCATTCAAGCTTACCTCCTGATCATGGTCCCAGGGTACGAAGGAATACTGAAGAGTAGGCATGAACACGTTAGCCTGTAGCCACCTGACGAACAGTTCCTTGCTGGGCTTCTCATTGTAACCGTTGCCTCCGATCATGTCAGGCAACACCAGTGTAGCCGTTCAGTTCATAGACAGGAGAGTGGTGATCAAAGACTCCAGACCGTTGTTGAAGTCCCACAGTGTGTCCTTGTCGACCATACGGATGAAGACTGGCAGGTCTTGGGTCCTGGAAGAATGGGATCGTGTCTAAATGATTGATTGAAAGGGATCATAAAGAGTTATAGTTTTTGCAATTACGTCAGCCGTTTGAAATTGTTGTATCAGTACCTGCTTGCTGATAATCAGAATAGATCTGTTATCATTACTAGAAAGGGATTTTTTAACATGGTACAGCATATTAATTACTTACCAAAGTTATTATAGTTAGAGAAGTTTAAATTGCAACCATGAATCTCACCTCATTCCAGATCTGACTTCAATGGCGGGTCCGAATTTGGCGACAGTGCGCACGTAGGCTTGCACGATGTGGCCAGGGTGCAGGTTGATGTCCAGACCGTTCTGTACTGGGATCTGTGAAAGATAAGGTCAGCAAACTTTAGTTTTGCACTTAAGTAGCAATAGCTCTAGGGATTACCCCTTATTAATCTTCAATTATATTTAAGGACTCTTCATTAAATGAGGCCTCCATATGACAGCTTCGATACCCATCACATTGGTACTAAATTGTTTTTACCCTGACAGCTTCGATAGCTAAGATGGTTCATCGATTTCGTATCATAAGCAGTATCAACGAAATAAAGTCATAACTTCATCATCATTGCGGTAGGTATTTGTGTACCCACCTGAGGAGACCAGCTAGATTCTCCAGCGTCAAACTTGACTGTGTCGATGTCGTAGGTTTCAATCACGTTGCGGACTCTGTCAGAGAACCATTCGGCAGCCTCAGGGTTGTGAAGTCGATGTAGCCAGGGATGGAGCCGTTGTTGTTCCACCAGGTCGTGTCAGGGCTGCCTTCCTCGTTCAGGACCAGGTAACTGGTGAAATTATAATGGTTCTTATTGAAGGTTAGAACTTCATTGAATCAATGCAAATAGTGATAAGGGTTTCTTCATAATACTTTTATGGCTAACAGAAGACTGCAATAAAACTGAATCATGGAAATCTAATGATAGGAAAACGAAGAAAATTTTCACTACCCCTTGCCTAAAGCCTCAGAGTACCAAGGTTCACAATCCTTGTTGATGAAGGGATGCACCCAAATAGCGACCCTGAAGCCAAGACCCTTGATGTCCTGTACCAACTGCTTGAGGTCAGGAAGCTTCCTTACGTCTACAAACAGGGAACCGTAGCAGACTTCCCAAAGATCGTCGATTTCAAACTGAGCGTTAGGGAAACCACTGTCCTTAATCTCGTTGGCGAAAGCCCAGAGATTGTCCTGATCGATTTCCCTGGAGTAACGTGCCCAAGTAGACCAGATAGGGTACTGGATCATCCTATAGTCGGGAACACCAGATGGCTTGCCGAGGTAGTTGTCTACAGCGTGTTGGTGGGCAATTTTAGGGTTCTCAAAGAACCAGAGGTCGTATTTGAGGACATTTTCGGTTCTCCTTGTGGAGTAGGGGTCAGCGACTTCGGCGATCAGACAGAGATGGTTCTCAAGCTCGTTGTGGTAGTCGATGAAGAGTGGCACTTCGGGGGCGACGTAGATGTACATGCCGTCGGAGTTGAGCCAGTAACGTTCGCCCACGGCGGCATTGTCTTCCTCTTTGGACACGGCAGAGTATTTCTTGAGGAACGACTTCTGGATGGGCCAGTATTGCTGCTTCTGTTCGGGACCAGCGAACCATTGGCTGTTGCCTGCAGGAGGATGGTTAGTCATGAATTATATTTTAGGCATGATGTCTACATGTAGGTCAATTTTTAACCGATTCACTGCCCTATAAAGGCACAGCGACTTTAACAGTTGTAAAACCAAAATCCTATATAATTAAACTTTTGAACTATCGTTCGATTGTCAGTCTAGTTCTAGTAAGTAGTTAGTAACCTATCCATTTTCAAGAGTGTTATAAAATCACATTGTTATTCCATGAAAAACTATCGAGTCATGTTGCAAAAATCTATCTATTCGATAACATGTAGAGTGACAGGTGCTTGGCTCTCAAGCGGTTTTATCAACAAAATTGATAAACATCTACAAAGTAACCACTACACTGTTTTAGATAGGTATTTACATGCCTATTCAGGTATACGTTGTGTGCTTTATGCTCTAAGTACAGCGTGAAGATAACATTATGAATCGACAGGATTGGCGCCTTACTCAAGGTTAAGACTAAGAAATGAAGAGAAAACTTAATGAAATACATAGAGATATGTAACAAAATAATAATTTACTGGCTAATAATAATAGATTCTAAGATTGCTTGATTAACAAAATTCGCAAATATTCGGACTTGTGTCCAGATTACCCTCTATAAAAGTAACACCGTAAATCCAAATTGATTGTCTGGCAGATATACCTAATGCTACCAAATTCTGTACTTACCAAAATCGATGCAGTCCTGGAACACGACGTCGGCGGGACCAGTCCAGGTCACACTGATCTTGAGGCCGCCTCTCCACGTCTCTCCAGAGGCTTGCACGTCAAACGTCACACCATTGTCATTGCCCTGTACAGCACCACGACCGATGTGGCCCACATAGTGGGGTCCAGAAGCTGTGTCAAGGTAACCATTATATATATTTCTGAATATAATCAGTATTATCAATACCTAATATGAAACCAAGAGACTGTTATCAAGAAGATGTTTAATGGATGAGTTGAATTATTCATGTATAAAATTATCGTGAACCAAATACTGATTAACTCAGTATCCTGTCTTCCAGAAAGGAAAAGCTCTTCGGAGCTCTAACGTCTTTTTACGCTCAATTAACCAAAAATCATCCCTATCGGTTTTTCTATCTTCTCTAGGGCGAAGATAGGAAAACCATTTAGTAGCTGGTTTGACTTACGTCCATCGTTGGTCAAGAAGTAGCTGCCATCATCGTTCATGTGAACATGTGGCCGGCGCTGGTCCACGGGTGGGACGGCACATAGTGCTACTGCCACTCCTGCAGACAAATTAAAGAAACAGTTGAGTAGGTTCTCGAAATATTCAATTTGTTATAGTTTCTGGGAAGATGTTACGCATATCTGAAATATTTAAGAGCTTTTGTTATACAGGTACTAAGCTGATTTAGGAGGAGATGGAGATTATTGTTCTTATTATCAACAGCTAAGTGTGAAGTTTTAAAGTATGAATGTTCAGACTTTCCTCGGTTTTTTAAATGACCTCAGAGGTTCAGAAGGTTTCGTTTTAACTCTTCCATTTAGTCTCCAATGAAGCTTTGATGTAAAGCTTTTTTGGTAATTAAGATTAAATTTAGTGTATTTGCAAACACACAAAGGTTGTCAACAGAAAGACTTTTTCAAGGGGGGAAAATTATCGAATGACTGCTCCCACCTGGGTGAGGCGGGAGGGCGCGTCAGATTCTTACTGACTAAAAACCACCCGTTCCTTCTCCTGCGCTTCAAGCCGGAGCCCCGGTAACCCGTTAGGTTCTCCGCGACAACAGAAATACTAGATTAATACGAGAAGCAGTATGACCTTGTAACTTCAGAGCTTAGCACCAAATATCCTACCTGCCAATAGGAGAATCACCTTCATCGTGTGTCGTGGTACTGACGGTAATCCCATCAGTACAATATATTTATTTGTACAATCGCTATTTTCGTATCACATCTCTTGGTATCGTTGTAATCATATCTTAACGGACGGATACAAAGTATTTTATGTCAGATAGCAAGTGTGGTCAAATCCCCTGTAGTTTTTGGCGTGCCGGTTACTTATTAAAGGGTGTTTGAAATTTGAAATCTATAAAGAATGTCTCTATCTCTGAACCTTTATTTTACTACCAACAAAGAAACAATTTCGGTGGGTTTCCTGTTCTGCCAACACGCATTTTTCTGTATAGGTATAGGTTTGAAATACATCAGTCCTATTGGGCTTCATCTATGAACGATGAACTAGGAGGTCTCAAATTGAACTTGGACATCAGTACTCTTCTACTTTTTTTTCCGAAATGATAATTATACCTATACATAACATAACATCACGCCTTTTATCCCCGAAGGGGTTGGCAGATGTGCACATTATGCCACTGTAATTGTGTGTTACATTGGTAACACCCACTTTTCACTATTTATGTAATGAGTCCCATGTAATAGGGGATAAGCCTATTACCGGACACAATTCCAGACTCCGAGCTACTACTGAGATTTTTTTTAAAACCCAGTAATACATTGCCGGACCTGGGAATCGAATCCGAGACCCCTTGCCTAGCAGTCGCACTTGCGATCACTCGGCCAACGAGGCAGTCAGCCAGCTATTAATATTCCTTTATTTTATATTTTAGGTGACAACCTGTATGTAACCAGACTGATACGAAGATTTCATGGTCTTTGGAACGTGTGAGTCGTGTAACCAGGGACGCAAGTCATAGTCTCTCCACGAAAGATCTCGGCTCGATATGATAAGATACAGCTAGGTACAATGTTATCTCTCAAGTAGCTTGTTTGCAGTATTTATGTAATGCTGAGTACTATTTTTATTTGTGTTTCAAATTTGAATTATTTTTGAAATAAGTTGCTTACCCTTTAGGGTAGGATTATTAAAAAGTTTAAAAAATTAAGTAAGCTTTCCAGTTCTATTGTGTGGATATGTTGATGAAATAGTCGTGAGATGAAATACCTATTAATATATGTACTGTTTTAAATAGAGTTTCGTTAAGACCAAGGTCTATAATATAGGTTAATTTCTTAATTCTATGCGTTTCTTCTTCTTATAAGTGCTTCTTCAAAAACATTTTTTCTTAACTCGTTACTTCATTACATGACAGTAATTTGAAATTCACGGATTAGGTACGTCATACAAAGCTTTCCTCCTCTAAGGTTTTGCATTAAGCAGATAGTTGAATATTCTGTCTGTATTTTTACGTAATCCAAACAATTCATATGTGGGTAGTTTGAAATACATTTTAATCCTTGAAATTGTAACTAACCAATTACTGGAACGCAACTTCAAACCATAGATAAAAGGGTGTGATTGTCTATGCAGCTGTCAAGTCATCATTTTGAGTTTGACAGTTAAGTAAAAAAAAACAATAGCGAACTTTGGTAACAATGGCAGATCCTAGAATTCGTCAAATAAAAATAAAGACCGGCGTTGTGAAACGCATAGCTAAAGAGAAAGTTGTGTATGAGAAGGAGGCGGAACAGCAGAAGAATAGAATACAGAAGTTAAAAGACGAGGGTCAGGACGAGCACAACATTCGGAAGCAAGAAGAAGTGCTTCAGGAGTCGCTGATGATGGTACCAGATTGTCAAAGACGGTGAGCGAGTTACTAAACAAGTATTGAAGACTTAAAAATCTTCAGAATTCCATATTTCATACTGAATATTTGCGTAGTTTCATAGTAATCCTTATATAAAATCACAGATGTTCTTGGAGGTTAGGTGCGGCGCGACAGTTGTTCTTTGTTGCAGCTGTTAGTCATTGGGGCATGACGATTCGTTTATAGATATGATCGCACATGTCGATTCCTTGAATATTTATTAAGTTTTTTTTGAATATTGGGGGTATTAGTTTATGCTTGATTAGACACGTTTAGTTTTGTAGGTAGATTCCAATAAGAAAAAATACCTTTATGCAGTTATGCAGTCCTTCAGAAATTGCTTTTCAGTTGTAATAGAAGATGAATAGGAAATTGCAAACAACAGAATGCTTATGTTATCTATTATAACTAGAATTTATCGATATGGAAAAATAATTACTTTTACCCTCTTATTTAATTGGTACAATTTATTTTGAAGCCCACATTTGTAATACAGCTAAATTCAGTATTGGATAAAACTACAGAAAAATTTTCATATATTTTTCCATGATGTTTTTAACACATTTGTATTTTTAACTTACCTACCTTTTGATCACGCCATGTAGTCGACAGGAGTTTCTAATACAGAAGTTTGTGACTCAGTACTCATGTCAATGCACAGTGCTCTATATTTCTTATTATTTTACAGACTGGTGAAAGCATTTTCTGACCTCAAGAACACATTAGAAACAGAGCAGGATCTCAAAGAACACGAGGATTACATAGCTGCGCAACAAATACTCAAGGACGCTGAGAGCCAACTCCCAGAGTCAGGCGCTTTATAATACCAATACATTATTTTTCTACTAATTTTATAATTACACAATCATGTCTTTTAATCCTAATTTTTATAATAATTTTTGCGGAAACAATATTACATTCCAAAGTTTTCCACCTAATTATGTGCCACCTCCACCGCAACCACCTGCATACTTCATACCTGCTTCCACTCCTGCTGCTAAACGAGAGAAACAAGATCAAGAGTTTCTTAACACCTTCGAGAAGAGAATACCTGTCCGAGAACTCACTCTGATTAATGTAAAACCGCTGTCTATATCCGAAGTTCGGGAAGAGATACGTAAAATGGTTGTCGCTATAAACGACTTAAAGGCCAAAGAGAAAATACTCTTGGAGAACATAAGTACATTATCTGAAGATGAGTGGAGATCTAATATGCTGGAAGTGGAGGAAAACAAAGCTTTGATTAATAAAACTCTGACTATACTCAACGGTCCTTATTTAGACTTATTACGGAAGCTTATAGCAAAGAGGGCAGCGAAGAGATTGCGTCTAAGAAAAGCTAACATGGAGAGGAAGAGAGAAAAAGAAGAAAGAATGAAAGAATTGAAAGAGCGGTCACGGAAGATTGATGAGAATTTGCAGAAAATTAAAGATGATATCAATAAAGCCAAGCAGGTAACTTAACATTTATTTACCTGAAATATGCTTTTGTGAATTTACGAATGTCCTACAGCCTAGAACCATTCATTTCTGCCTTGCCAAGCCATGGGCTTTATCTAGACTTATCTTTATTTTTATAGATAAAGTTGACTAGTTTTGACTTTTTATTTATACTTAACTAGCGACCTGCCCCGGCTTCGCACAGGTGCAATATGTATGTATTATACATATAAACCTTCCTTAAACTGTCAAACACCAAGCGGTCAATAGTGACTGCAACCTATTCTTCTTTAATTGTGTTTATAATGACGGTACTCAAAGAGTTAAGAATCACTCTATCTATTAAAAAACTGACGGACTGACTGACAGACTATTATTCATTTTATATTTGTTGACGTTTCAAAAGTACCAAACTATATTTTGAAATAAATGCTTTGACTTTGACTTTGAAAAAAAAACCGCATCAAAATCCGTTGAGTAGTATTAAAGATCTAAGCAAACATAGCATACATAGTGACAGACAGACAGCGGATAATGACTTTGTTTTACACTATGTAGTGATGTTCTCTCCCCAGTGAATCAGTAGTTATTCAATGAATGCAGCAATTTTCTAGATCTTCATGAATATTTATTTGCTGTAACTAGTATTTTGACAACCATTTTACTTTTATTCCAGGAAGCCGAACAGAAACTGCAAGCTGATATGGTTTTAAAAGAAGTTCTCCGCAAGAAGAGTGATGCCAAGAAATGTCTGACTAAACTGGATGCTCTTGTGAAACTGCGCAAGGCTAGACAGAACACTGCTGCGGGGAGGGGTGAGAGTGTGTTGGAGAGTGAAGAAGCTGCCTTTCTTTCACATATGGTAAGTAAAGCAAGAACTTTAATGACTGATTCAGATCTACTTGCTATTTTGAAGAGCAAGAATGCATTATGCATAATTAAGAAACCTTTATAATATACAAAAATATTCCACTTCTCATCTAAGAGATTAGTGTTTTAAATACTAGATCTTTTTCTATTCAAATACTTTAATACCGAAATTCACAAGTATAATTACTTTCAAAATGTAGTTTCTTAGTTTATTGTCCCTAAGGATCCTGAAGTTATTTGCGCTCATCACTATAATCATATTTACAGATAAATTAAAATCACTTTGGGAACGCAAGTTGGTGCTTTACGAGAAGGAAGAGGTGGAACTTCGGGCTCAGTTGGATGAGGACTCGGAGAAGCAGTACTCCATGTTAGCAGAGGCTGAACAACATGTTGCCACCAACCTGAACCTCTGGAGGACTACACTCTTTGGAGGGAAGCTGCCACAGGTTGACTTCCGAGGCGACGTCGCTAAGTTTATTGCAGTCAGGTAATTACTATATACTGACTAAACTGTAATTGTTACCAAATTGCTTTTAACTTAGTCTTTTATTATTGCTGGATAAAATTAATCTTAGGTTTTCGTTGAACACGAAAACTTAGCTAAGAGAAATGTGTTAATTTTTTTTATGACATAATTAGGTAAACGATCAGCTGACGGATCCCCTGATGGTAAGCCATCGCGACGCCTATGGACACCTGGAACACCAGAGGCGTTACAAGTGCGTTACCGGCCTTTTGGGAATAAGGAGTTTGAGGATTTTTGGGGATTCAGGGATTAGGGAGATTGATATTATTACATTGAGATATTATTACACAAAGCAAAGTAAGTTTAGTAAAAATCCAGTTTCTTCATAGACTGGAGTTGGCTTATTGTAGCTATTTTATGGTTCTAAATTCATTTTTATATTTCCCCGTGCCCTTTCTTCGTGTTTAAAATATGACACGAATTTATTTGGGTCCAATAATAAATCTTGTTTTATTTCCAGATCACAGTGGGATCGCTACATTAGTAAGGAAGGAACACGCCTGCCCGTCGGCTGGGTCCCTCCATCCACGAGACCTGCGTGAATTTGTGCACATTTTTGTTCTAAAACTACAGTATTTGGATGTTGAAAGTAATCTATTATTTATTTGCATTTTATATATGTGGCCTTAATTGCAAAGCTTTTTTATTATAAATGAAATAAAGAATGCATTTACTATTAATATTTTGTCACTTTATTTGAATCATCCTTACCTTGAGTTTGTTTGTATGTGCTTATCATTACTGAGATAAAAATACAAAACAATACAGATAACAGAAAATATTAAGAAGTGTATTAAAAAAGTGGGTTGGAAATATTCTTGAATGACATTCTGTAATATATCTGACTGCACGGTTGGTACGGTGGCTGGGCAACCGGCTGCCGTGCAACGTGTCGCGAGTTCGATTCCCGCACGGAACAACACTCTGTGTGATCCACAAATTGTTGTTTCGGGTCTGGGTGTCATGTGTATGTGAACTTGTATGTTTGTAAACGCACTCACGACACAGGAGAAAATCCTAGTGTGGAGCAACGTTAAAAAAAAACAATCAATTGCTATAAAAATACGTCGTATTCATTCCGAAGTACCAAGAGATCATAACATAAGTATTATGTGTATTATACAGTGGGTAGGAAATATTCTTGACTTGTGATGATTCTGTAAGAGCAACCGCGTTGGTTTTAGCCAGTAGGGTCCGGCACGCCCCCGCTCCGTCGCCCTCACGGCACGATAGAAAAAAAATGGGAAATATTCTTGAATGACATGTGCTACTTTTTAATGAATAAAAAAACTGACTTCAAAAACCAAAAACAAACGAAAAATAAAAACTACAAACCAAAAATAACTATAGCTATTATTGGTCATACGTTCTTATAGCTTACACACCCACTGGTAGGTGAGAAGTTGGTGCCACAAACCCATAAATACTACTCAAACTCCTTTTTTGAAGTTGGTTTAAAAAGAAGGTACTTAGGTATATAATTATCTAATACACCACCGGGCCACTAACGCTAACCATTTCCATGTTTGATAAATGATTACCTCATTGTTTCCCACCAGTAGTGCTAGCCAATTGCAACCACTCCGTGCCCTACAACCTTAGTTTTTTTTACATTTTGCAGCGATATCTACAAGGTGCTGGCGACCGCTCCGAGTCGAGCGCTAAGAAACGCGTTTGCCCGTCAAATGTGGTTTTTGGCTAGCCTTTCCAAAGAAAATAATCTACTGACATAGCGACCTGTTTGTAGAATGCATTTGGGTACAAATTTCATGTCGAACGATACTCATTTTTAAATCACGCGTAGTTCTGCCTTCTGCCCAAACAAATTCAAACAGAGATGGCACGATATTTAAGTGCAACTTAAAATTCGTTGTAGCATTTCAATATTTGTACGTCAGAGTGTCAAACTCAAACTGTCTATTTTGCTCATGTCATCAGAGTTTTCTCCTCTCTTAATAGACTCGCTTCTAAAAGGCATTTGGCTCGCACAGCTGTATACACAAGGCTGTTAATTTAGTCATTTTCGAGAATATTGACTGAATTGTAGCGGCGGAGGTTTAAGACGCCCGCTTCTCATGAATGAGATTGCGGGTTTGAAACCTATCAACGACTAGTACCAATGTGACTTTTTCCGAGTTATATGTACCTACTTTCTAAGATTATCTAGACACCACTAACAAACGGTGAAGGGACACATGGTGAGGGAACCTAGGCTTATTATTTTCAATTATAAGTTTGATCTCGCCAACCTACATTGAGCAAGCGTTGTGATTAATGCTCAAACCTTCTATGTGCGAAAAGAGGCCTTTGGTCAGCAGTGGCCACCTTATAGTCTGTTGATGATAATGAATTGAAGGAAGCATCGCATCAAGCTTCTTTGTGCGTACTGCTAAGGAGTGGAATTCTTTGCCAGAGCCTGTTTCCTGAAGGGTATAACCTGGGCGTCTTCAAGGCCCGAGTGAATAGGTTGCTTATGGGTTGACGTACTCCACTGTAGACCGCATCATCGCTTAGCACGAGGCGAGATAGTGGTCAAACGTCGGCGCACAAGATCCATACAACTTACACACGTTGTTCGACGGTCGCTTTTATACCTATTTGATTAACCCCTCGAGCGTCCTTATGAGCACCCGGTGGATCATAAGAAAAAAATGCTTCACATGTCACGTGTGCACCCGTTGGATCATAAGGAACGCGGACGCTCGACGGGTTAACGAGTTCAGGTAATTGACACGGTAGACGTACGAATAAAAAATAAAACAAAATAATTCAGCATACTCAAGTCTTTTACTCGTCACAATTTCCACTTAAATGAATTAATAGGAAATTACATGTAAAAACACATGGACACGCGGCCCAAATAATTATACACTAATATTATGGATATCGTAATAAATCTATCGAATTAGTATTCTAATTATTTCCATAGTATTTATGTCTTATGTACCCCACATTAAGAGCGATATTAAAATTGAAAGTAACGGTGCACTCTGGTGAAATGATTGAGGAATACTCAATCAGTTTCAAGTCACAATGGGGCTATATGTAGTGTGCGCAGACGCGTTTGCAGATTTTACGTGGCTAAACTGTAATTTTCAATTAATTTAGTATATCTGTGAGAGCCATTCTTCAGTACGAATAGATAGGCTCTACTGGAGTTGTACCACGGTCGAGCAGAAAACCATAGTGAAATGTGATATTATAGTCGTCTGAGTGAGGTTACCCCCTCCCCAATTTCCCCAATCCTCAATAATCTTCAAATTCCTAATCCCCAAAAGGCCAGTAACGTACTTGTAACACGTCTGGTGTTCCGGGTGTCCATGGGCGGCGCCGATTGCTTACCACCAGGTGTTCCGTCTGCTCTATTACCGGCTTATTCCATTGAAAAAATGAAGTTATGAATGAAAGTTATTTTTATACCGAGAAAGATTGCATTTATTTTTCTATATTTTCAAATGTCATCTCATGTTTTTGTGGGGTTTAAAGAAATAACTACTATGAACACATTGCAACTATGTATCCGTAAAAACGGGACGGCTTATAGATTTAAAATAAACCCATATATGCACAATGCAACCTTAAATTACATAACGATTCAATTTGAACATTACTGTTCAAACCTTAAGAGCTAATTTAAAATCACAATGTCGAATGAAAATTATGAGAAACAATTAATAATAAACAAATGAATAGATTAGACGAGAGCCGATCAACCTACCCAATCAGCAAAGCAACAGATTTTCAACCACATCTCTTTACGATAAAGTCTAAAATCATTTCAATAAAAGGGTACTTTGATCTGCAATCGTCTATAAAATGTAGATTGATCTAAACTATAATATATTTAATATATACACAGGCAAGCGTCCCGTTTCGTCTACAAATTACTTGAGGTACACGCGGCATTGAATCATGAAGTGATAAGTGTCGGTATCAAGATATCAAGGCATTACCAAAACCGTTATCGACCCAAACGTGAGTGCCAAGCACGTATAACTATCGCATTCGTATCGTAACAGTATCGAGCGAGTTGAGCGTTATGATTGGTTGGTTCACTTGAGCCGGCCAATCAGAGCGCCAGACGCCCTCGATACTATTACGTTACGATTGCGATAGTTATTCGTGCTTGGTACTCAGAACTGCAAACCGATAATATTTCGTATATCGGTGACTATTTCGTAACTTAAAATTTACGCCAAATGAGAAATTGCAAACGTAACTTTTAATTTCTTTCCACAATTGACCGCGGCAAACGATATCAGTTAGACATTACATTTTCAAAGCATTTTTAGTTGACATCTATTATTTACACAATAAAGTTCTTAATGCTTTTAGCAAATGAAGAATAGTTGACGGATTTGCCGCGGATATAATCGAGATTATTTGTGTTATTATTTTACACACAGAGTAATTGTAAAGTTCATAATACAGGTGGTCTAACTTCTAACTTTACCAGATTCCCAACCTTGTTACTGTACCATAAAGTTGAAAATTAAATAAAAACACTTGACATACCTTAAGGTGATGGTGTAATTACAGTTATTAAGGTACAGTGGGCAGCTTAAATCACATAAACCTACTCTTTTCTATCAAATTTCCTTATTTGATTTTCAACTCTATAGTTTAGATATAAAGTCTTTGATCCAATGACAAAATTTTACACATCGGAGTAGGTTGATATACCACTACAATCCTTACTAATATTATAAATCGGAAAGTGAGTTTATTTGTTTGTTTGTTTGTTCCGCTTTCACGCCGTAACTACTAAACCGATTGCTTTGAATTTTTGCTGACGTAAAGTTAGAAGTTCGGATTAAATAATAGGGTACTTTTTATCCCGGAAAAAAAATATATTTCCGAGGAAAAACAAAAGTATTGGTATAGATGGCGCTGTGTGTATTGGTATATGTCACATAGGCTACTTTTTATCCTTTTGTAACGCGAGCGAAGCCGCAGGTAAAAGCTAGTTACAACATAAACCATTAGACCTTTACAAAGTACTCCGTGGTGTTCCTTTAACATTTGTATTGCACTCAAAACCACGTCGCTGGATACAATCTAAATAATTTTGCACTCTTATTTTCTTCATTATTGCTATATCAATACACAATTCCGTACACTTCTAATTAGAAACCATTTTTATTATAAATACTATGTTTTATATTTATTTTACTAGTATCTAGCCGACCGAAGTTAGACCCAGCACAAACGAAGATACTGAGGATAAATCAATCCTTACTAATATTATAAATCTGAAAGTGAGTTTGTTTGTTTATTCCACCTTTACGCTGTAACTACTCAACCGATTGCTTTGAATTTTTGCAGACGTAAAGTTAGAGGTCCGGATTAAATAATAGGGTACTTTTTAACCCGGAAAAAATTGATATTCTCCAGGAAAAACAAAAGTATTGGTATAGATGGCGCTGTATGTATTGGTATATGTCACATAGGCTACTTTTTATTCTTTTGTGACGCGAGCGAAGCCGCGGGTAAAAGCTAGTTTATAATAAAACTTAACTTATATGGCATACGGATGGAAACGACATGACAAAGAAGCTTGACGACGCGCCGCCCTCTTTTCTCTTTGGATGTTATTTTTACCCGTATGTCACAGTAGATAAGGTTCATTCTAAACTGAGTTATTCTCGCCGGTTTGCGCTGGGCCAAGTATGGGTTATAGGCTGCTTCTGTCTCTCTTACACTCGTTGGTTTTGAGGTATTGTTGTCTTACTCACACATTTGGTATAAACTTGCAAAAGGTTGAAAAACATCTTTAGCGTTTACGAAAGTAGAAACTGACTGAGCTTCGGAAGATAAGTTTATTACAAGATTTGATTAAAGGCGATTGTTATGATAATTGTAATAGATTCCCCATTCAAGATTCGAGTCTGTACGGAAATATCCAAATAGGATTGCAAGAAAATAATTCATAAAAATTAAAGAACACAACTAAATGATATAAACATGCTTTCAATATTTTCTACTTTCATAAATACTAAATATTGTATCCCTTTAAAAACGTGTTACTAGATAGCAAATTATCTGAATATTCTGGACCAACCATATGTTTGCGCTTTACAAATATTTTGAGAGACTTCTAAAGATATTTAATTAATAATTTACATCCTTGTTCACATTCACCGACCTACAAAAATCAATGAGAATGAACTAACATTTAATGTAAGTAATATAGACGATTTACATTAAATAAAATAATTATAAAAAATATTATAATCATCATATTTGAATAAAAGCGAATGTCATTATTCATTTAATTTTAAAAATGGGTCATAGTTCTCATAAGCATTTGTAAATACTTTAGTCCAGTGGAATAGAGACAACAGGGTTGAAGATAACATTGCCATTCCCAGAAAAATGTCCAGCAGTGAACTAAAGTTATGTCCACTATGGCCAATATTGGCAGTAGCAGTTATTGCCAGAGTCCTGCGTAGTTCCCAATGAGTGGCGCGGGCAATGGTCCCCCGGCAGTGAAGATCCTGGTCCCACTGTCGTCGTAGCAATGCGTGTATATTGCTGGGACATGCTTCACTTGACTGAAGCCGTCCGCTTCCTCGTCGGGGAACTGTGGACGATGGAATTATTTTTAGAACATACCATAACACACAGTTCACAAATTGGTTTGTTTAACAAGAAGGCTAACGCACAATGTCTTAAATCACACCTCTTTTGCTTCTTAGCAAATGTTTCACATTTCCATGAACATGAACTGCCTCGTTGGCAGAGTGGTCGTAAGTGCGACTGTTCTCAGGTTCAATTCCCGGGTCGGGAAAAGTATTACCGTGTTTTTAAATATTCTCAGTAGTAGCATGGAGTCTGGAATTGTGCCCGGTATATGGCGATAGGCTCCCCCCTATTACACGGGACACATAACATAAATGTGAAAATTGGGTGTTACATTGTATGTACAGTGGCATAATGTGCACCTCTGCCTACCCCTTCAGGGATAAAAGGCGTGATGTTATGTTATATTATTTCCATGAACATAATTTAGACATTTGTATGCATTGTCATTTTATTTCTTTTTTTTTAGAGGCAAGATGATTGACAAATATCTCTAAATGGCTGATAAATTCTTTAAAAATAACCTAAAATAACATCACACCTTTTATTCCTGAAGGGGTAGGCAGAGATGCACATTACGGCACTTAATACAATGTAACACCCACTTTTCATTATTTATGTTACGAGTCCCATGTAATAGGGGGCGAGCCTATTGCCATATACTGGCACAATTCCAGACTCCTACTGACATTTTAATTATGATGTTTTCGGCATACGTAACTGTTTGACGAGGCACTTGCGACCACTCGGTCAACGAGGTAGTCTTTAAAAATATAAGTTAAACTAAATTGTACAACTCACCACATATCCCCTGGAAGCCTTGAGCGTGACAGTTTTAGTAGAATGTATATTGCTCTCTAAGTATTTGCCCGCGCGCAGGTCGTAGAACATTAGTAAACCTGGAGATTGCAAATGTTATTAGAAAAAACACGTCACACTGTCATTGTTTTGAAGAACTCAAAGTCAAAGCATTTATTACAATTAATCCTTAATAAGGCACTTTTGAAAAGACTATTTCTAAAATTGTAGAAACGTAATTCTGGATTGGTTGATAACACTTCTACTGTTGTAAATTACTTCTTTAAATACAGCAGTAGGTGATGGCAAATTTTTTTTTGTTTGAATTTATTGAAAGGAAGAAAATAAAACCTATTAAAAAAAAATGATATATGTCGGAATACTGATAGTAAGTGCTAGCTACTAAGTATAGTTCTGTCTCTACAAATTCTTTGTAAAATGACAGAGATGGCACGATATTCGAGCACGACTTAAAATTGAGTAACGTTTCAGTATTCTGGCATAAATTTCTGAATCATTTGAGCCATAAACATTTTGAATATTGTATAGTGAGAGAACAGGGTTATTTTTAACATGGTTTAACAACAGTAATTTGAATAATCTAATTATAATGTTGGTTACCTAGCCCGGTCCCGATGGTGAGCATGTCCCCGCGGAAGGAGGCGGACCGTATCCCGCAGCCGTTGTACCGCGAGGTGATCTTCTTGACGGACTGCAGCGTGCGGCAGTCCAGCAGCAACGTGTACGACTTGCAACCGATCGCGTACACGCCGCTCTCCTGGACACCACAACAAAATAAGCCTTATTATTGGGTTTTATTAATGGGAAAAACCCGCCACAAGCTCCCAAAACCGCTGCAACCCCTGTAAGCCAGAATGTACAGTAGATACAACCATGAAAACACCGGAACACTGAAGTCCTGCGCGTCCCAGGGACATGAGTAACTGTCTTGGTTCCCGCAACGAAGTGAATCAGAAGAAAAAACTATGGTTTCCACTTCGTGTTCTTGTGTGTTCTTAAAAACTTACTTTGTTATTGAGGTTACACATTTACAATTTATTCACTGTTATTATACATCAGTACTTTTACCCCCAGCTTGTCCTTCGACATAGGCCTCCTCTTAATAATTTCCACGTTTCCCTATCCCTCGCAATTCTCATCCATTCTGGTCCAGCAGTTTTCCTTAGGTTATCATCCAACGCTTTGGTCTCATACATCCCTGGTGTACCATTCTAATATTGTTTTTGTCCATTTCATATTCCTCTCTCTTATCATGTCTATCGTCATTTTAGTGTTTTACATACTTGCAATGTTAGAGTCAGATGACGATATTACAGCTTTAATTTGGTAGAACTTTTAATGTCCAATAGAATAGTCCCAAGAAATAAATAGATATCATTCTTAAGGTACTTTTGGACTAAGATGACTTTAAAAAAAAGGTAAGTAGGTACTTATTACTTGATTTGAAGACTGACTAGACATAAATCGACAGTGGCGCCAACTGTTGAGCGCAGAACATATAACCAGGCATTATATTTTCCTGTATAACGTTTTACAGTCAAAATTGAAGAAGCACATTACTTTTGGTTTTAATTTCACATCAGCTGTCAGCTTGAATTTGGTGTAAACAAACTAAAAATTGGTTTTTAGCATAAAAAGATTCATTAGGTAAGTTAAACTATTACCAGTCAACATTTCAGATGTCTTACTATCATAGTTATTACAAGCAGACAAACAGACAAAAAAAAAGTTAATTACATTTTTGGGTTCGACATCGACATAACATTAACCCCTGCTATTTTTTTTTATTTTTATTTTCAATGTACAGACAGCACTTTTCTACAATTTTATTATATGTATAGATTACCTGTGTAGCCAGACACACGAGGTCCTGACAGGAGGGCAGTTTCCTGGACAGAGTCTGTCGGAATGTCTCCGCGTTGAAGACGTGGATGTACCCGTTCAGGGTCAACGCGGCTATCTCACGCCAGCGCTGGTTGAAAGTTAGCGCGCGGACTTTCTGACCTGCAGATGGCCAAAATTATCGGTTAATGACTAAATTTTATATTGGCTTTTTATTAGAGAGATGAGTTTAGTCAGAATGAGTCTGACACTCCCTCTCGCCTCAACCATGGCGAGGGGAGTCATTGGAGTGATACACCCCTTTTTTAAAGCAATAATTGTTTGAGTCGTTGTTTTTGAGTTGGTTGCGTGACGATCACTAGGTGTGTCTCGCAATGCTCTCATGAATATGATCCCATGGCGTGGCTTAAAAAATTATCACCACCTCGCTGACTACCATAGGAAAATAAAACTGAATTTTAGAAAAATATAGAATTCTATGGTAACTTTACCGGAGCGACACTCCTTGATGGCGAGTGGAGCGACGTAATGATGCGAGTGATTCCGCGGCGCTGCACTAGGCGCGCGCCATAGTGCCAGCTTGGAGTCTCTGGATCCTGTCACCAGGAACTCGTCGTCCAGCCAACACATGTCCAAGATCTGTACACAAATGTAATGTCCTGATATTACTAATGCCGCATCTACACAATCTTGAAAATCGCGAGGCGAATGGCCAGACCACTTCAGCAGCTGTAGCCAAATCCCATTTAGCGCTTGTCTATATGTAGAATACAAAACCAAATTATATGGAATTGACGTAAATTTTGGCACTTGTCAGTGTCATCCCCATACATTTAGTTTTCTACTCTCTCTGTAGACAAGCGCTAAATGGCATTTGGCTACAGCTGCAAGATGTAAACAAGACGCTCGCTATACGCCTCCTGCGTTCCTCACCAAGCGATTCGCTCGTTCCCGTCGCGACCAGTTTTTACTCACAAACGCTAAGTGCACGAATCACAATAAATAACTCTGTGAATGTGGGAAGTTCATAAAGGCACTATTATATGTAGGTACGAGTGTTTCGTCAGTCAAAATGTTCTTTAAAAGACGAAACGACTAGATTATATAACTTTTTTATGGGATAAGCCCGCCCCAACCTACCAAAACCGCTGCAACTCCTGTAAGCCAGGATCTAGAATAGACACAACCATTAAAACACCGGAATACTGAAGTCCGGCGCGTCCCAGGGACATGAAGAACTGTGTTGGTTCCCGTAACGATATAAATCATAAGATATTATAAGAGGAGAAAAAATTATATAATTGATATGCCTTACCCAGTCTTTATGCGCCTCCCCGACACAGACGGGGTCGAGTGTGGGCAGACTGTATATGGCCAGCTCGCACGAGTTGCGGGCGCCCGTCGCCAGTAACGTTCTGCGAGGAAATAACAATACAATTCAATATGGTAGCCGTTTAACTTTATTTAATTTCTTCAAAGTCAAAAGTCAAAGTCAAAATTATTTATTTCAATTAGACCAGGATGGCACTTTTGAACGTCAAACAACAAAAATTTATAAGTGAAGCTAGTTGCTCATTCCAAGGCGTAGATTCCTATGGAGAAGAACGAGCAAGAAACTCCATAGGTTACTCTTTTTCAATCAGGTTTACAATACAATTCTCTAGTTACATAGTTTTGTTGGTTCGATTATGTGAGAACAATGCAACACCTAAATCCAGTCAGAAAGACTGAAAAAGAAAATAACCTTGAGGATAATAAAATAAAATGATACAGTCTGGAGCTGACCAGTTCCAATCGACGGTGTCCGTTCACGAACATTTGGCGTACCCCAGCACCGCCCAACTCAACCATTCTGAATCTTGACTTTTGAATCATTTTTATAATGTACCTGGATGGATTGATCTGTAGTGCGTGTATCCCTGTCTGTTGGTCTGCGCCGGCCCAGGGCGCGCGAGGTCGTAACGTCGGGATGTTGTCCAGGGAACGACGACGGACGTCGTACACCATGAGCTGGGAAAAACATACATAATTTCATACAATTGCCTAGTTTTCTAGGTTTAAAATAAATTGTTTCAATTTTTCAATGCAATAAATAATTAAAAAAATTATCATATTCTCATCCATAGATTTGACAATTTACCTACTTTTGGATTTTTTCTCGCTAATTTTAAGGAAATAACTATGCTATTTGACGCAGAAATATTATGACGTCATAAGTTGCGATCCAATACAAAATTCATAGAAAAATATCGATTTTGACATTTCAATAAAAGTATTGAATTTGACTACCTGTCAACTAATTAAAGAACCCCAGAGTAATTGACTGCACGGTTGGTGCGGTGGCTGGCCAACCGGCTGCCGTGCAACGTGTCGCGGGTTCGATTCCCGCACGGGACAACACTTTGTGTGATCCACAAATTGTTGTTTCGGGTCTGGGTATCATTGTGTATGTGAACTTGTATGTTTGTAAACGCACCCACGACACAGGAGAAAATCCTAGTCAGGGACAACGTTTAAAAAAAAATGCGCAGAGGACACCGGTGACCGCAACCTATTGTTCTTTAATTGTGTCTATAATGACGGTACAGGGTTAATAGATGCAGTTGGTATGAGGTCACCTTCACGGCACAGTACCACAATAAGTTAAACTTAATGCCATACCAATGAGATAAGACTATTTTTAGATAAATATCTAAGTACCTACCGCAAGTAGGTAGGTAGCCTATGACATCGTTCAACTAATTGCTTTTTAATATCAATTAGATTTTTCTGAGATAATTTTCCTATTAAGTATATAATATGTTGTCAAACCAATTATTAACACAATAATTAGTTTCGATTTTTGTTCATTGATGAAGCTGGAATGAGCATTCTTAAGTCTTCAATATATATATATTTACTTGCTTTTACCCGCGGCTTCGCTCGCGTCACAAAAAATAAAAAGTAGCCTATGTGACATATACCAATACACACGGCGCCATCTATACCAATTCTTTTGTTTTTCCTCGGGAATATCAATTTTTTCCGGGTTAAAAAGTACCCTATCATTTAATCCGGACTTCTAACTTTACGTCTGCAAAAATTCAAAGCAATCGGTTGAGTAGTTACGGCGTGATGGTGGAACAAACAAACAAACTCACAAACTACTAGTAAGGATAAGGATAATAAAATTACTTCATTATAGTTTATTGATTATTTGGAACACATATGCAGACATGCCGAGGACCTTTTATATGATATCAAAATCTTCATAACTTATACCTGAACAAAACACGCCTTTTATTCCCGAAGAGGTAGGCAGAGATGCACATTATGGCACTTAATGCCACTCTACAAGTGTACAATGTAACACCCACTATTCACTATTTATGTTAAAAGTCCCATATAATAGGGATTGAGCCTACAATTTCCGTGCTATTACTGGATTTTTTTTTAAATCAGTAATACTTTGCCCGATCCGGGAATCGAACCCGAGAGCCCTTGCCCGGCAGTCGCACTAGCGACCACTGAGCCAAGAGGCAGTCTTACACCTGTAATAGTAGGCTAGCAACGATTTATCAACCAAAATACATTGTGAATGTTTCACATTGTATTTTATTTACCTTATTACACTTGGTGCCGAACACAACTTGTCTGTCAGAGAGCCACTGCGAGCAGAACACCTTGTTCATGTTCCCGAGGTTGATGGGGGTCTCCCGGAACATGTCGTGGGTGAGCATGTGTCGAGTCGCGTATGAGGGCTCCACTGAGCGGGGCTGGAAGGAAAGAGATCTTAATTTTTTTTATCATCATCAACGGCCTATAAATGCCCACTGCTGAGCACACCTTTTCTCACACGGAGAAGGTTTTAGCATTTATCACCACGCTTCCTCAATGCGGGTTGGCGATTACAAACTTATAATTAGAAATTATAAGCCCAGGTTTCCTCACAATGTTTTCCTTCACCGTTTGTCAGTGGTGTCTAGATAATCTTAGAAAGTACATATAACCCGGAATGAGTCACATTGGTACTTGCCATTGGTAGGTTTCGAAACCGACCCGAGCCACCACGACATTGCTTAAAAGAAAGTGTGTCATTAATTAAACCATTTTTTCTATGTATAATATAATGAAACCGTATTTATCTCTAACATCTAAAGTCTAATACAGGATGAACTTACATGAATTTTATCAATATTTATCCTGATCAAATACAATATTGTTATATTATTTAGATAACAGGATTTTAAATTAATTTGAATAAGCACATGTCGTGCCTGTTAGATAATAACAAATATGTGTACCTACATTATAATGAACATAGGTACTTAAATATGCTTAACTTGAAAACAATTATGTACCAGTAATACTCATAATTGGTAGTTTTGATAATTTTATTTGTGATCTCAAAATGTCTGTTTTCCTGTCCGTTATAACAGGTACAGACAGATATAACAGTTAGTTTACATTGTAAAATATTCATGTAATACAATTTTAAATAATACACAAATATTACAAACAAAATATTGTAGGGTGGCACTAGATGATAAATTCAATTTCACTTTTCACAATTAGGTACTATGTAAATTATGTATGAATTATTATTTTCTATTGATCATAAAACCCCAAAAATTTTTACAGCATAATCCAGTACAAGTACCTAAATGGTTCTTCATAATAATAACACATGGAGTCAAGGGCATCTGTGTGAAATGCAACGAGATAAGATTGTAGTAATAACGCTGCAAATATTTTAGTTCTGTATTTGTAAAGCTACGTAAATATACACTGAGGAAGGACTTTACTTTAAATTAATCTTATTTTCTTGCAAATAAAGAATATTCATATTTGTTCATCTTTTAGTTATTATAAAAGTGTAGCCTTGGATATTACTTCCTTATTGTATCATGAGTTTGTAGTAGTAGTTGCTAGCTTAAAATATTGTAGTCTTCGCACTGGGCATAATATTAACGTAACTTAATTACTAAAAATATTCTTTTGCGATATTACTAAACACTACAATTGAAAAATATCAAATAACAGATGTTTAAATAAATATCACACAAATGTTACAATGCAAACAAACAGTTGTTGAGTATTGATACGAATATGAAAACAATAACAAACCTCATTAGATTGAATCTCCCGAGATCGTACATAGTCCACAAAGTTATATGACGTTGACAAAATTTTGTGCTGTTGTGCCGGAGTCTCCTCCTCACTATCACTGTCCGAATAACACACAAAGTCCTCTGGCTTATCTGGTTTCCTTTGCTGTTCTAACCTGTAAACAATAATAAGTAGGTCAACACTTCTGAACAAAAAATATTTTATATGTCAACAAAACACTGACTAAATAATACACACCAAATATTAATGTCATTGTACCTCTATCTAATCAGTTTTTTACTATCATGCTCATATTATATTCGAGACTTAATCACACAACACTACATCAGTGAATGATCACGAACAATTGGGAAATAATTAACAGGTACATGCAAAACAAGGTTTCTTAACTACAATGTCAAGCTTAACAATTTAAAACTAAGATAAGTTACAAGTTCTCAGCTTAGTAAGCCAAAACAAATGAAAAATAACATGCACAAAAAAAGAACAAGGCACCTGCCGTGGCTGCGAGGTGCCAATGCCCTGTGAAACAATATTTATTTACCTCAATGCCCTGGCTTTTGCTCGTCTTTCTTTTATCCTACTTGGTATGTAACAGGACGGGTATCTACCCTCGATCGCTCGTCTGACCGTCTGCGCCATTTTTACTGCAGTCAAATGTTTCAGTAATCACCGTTTAACACACGGTCAACTAGTCACTTTCGTTTTGTTCGGCTGTACACATACCAATAGTACGACATCTTTCATTGTAGAATGGAGTCCGAACATTCACATTTATCTCTATTCACACGTTAACAGTTTGCACAGTAACTAAACATATTAAATATAGTTTGTTTATAAAAATACGCTATGTATAAACTTTCGAAATATAATAATAACTCTTTATTTTAGATATTTTGTAGAAAATACTACGCTGACGGAAAGCTGCCTGTCATTAGTGTTGCTATATTTAAAAAATATTTTTCACTCAGTTTATAAATTGGTAGAAAGGTAGTTATTGGTAGTTTGTAAAAATATTTAACAACTCATAATAAAAATAAACCAATTAATAATATTAGAAAAAATATTCTTTTTTATTTTAGTACTTTAACATTGAGAACTATTTTTGATATTCGTGAAAATGCTTATAGGTAGCTTTTGCACTTAGTATTATTTCGCAGCAATAATTAATATTCGTTGTGGATTGTGGTTTGTGGTACATGTGGTTATACTTCCAATGTAAATTCCTTTTTATTGCTAAAATATTAAACGTAGGCACTAGTAGCACAATAAATAAAACTTATGAAAATTTACGAGCATTTTATGATTTTAAAATCCGCAATATATTAACTTCTGTAGGTACATACATACGTATAATGGTGTTGAGTGGCTAAAGAAAACATCATATTTTCTGCAGTAATGTTATGATGGCTTCATCTCATCATCAATATACCGCGTGTAATTTCACGTTGTGTGATATTAGGTATTGAGAGATGGGCTCTCTAAAATCAAGGGACTCAAAAATACGTAATATCTATTTTGCTTTTGAAATAGAAACAGCAGTTAGAGTTCGAGTGGTCCTTAATTGTCGTATGATTGTGATCGAGTGATAAAGGAGGCAGTCAAAAGGTAGAGCACAAATTAAAGGTAGACCATAGGTACCTCTTTACCTCATACTTATGTTACCCCATAAAGGTCAAATGCACCGTGTACACACGGCTACGCATCGAGCTTTACATAACCAGTATAAATTAAACGTTAAATGTGCGGAAAGATGATGCGACGCGACACTAGGATAAACTGGTTTTGTATAGATTGATGTGTGGTCGTGTGTACATCGTTAGTGAAGGTTCCTTCAAGAATTTTTGGCAGTCAATATAATAACAAATTCTAATTGAAAGTCGAAAAACTATAAACAAATGGTAAATTCCTACTACAACTGAATCAATATAGAATGCCGCTAGCAATTCAGTTCCGTAATGCACCACTAGATTAGTATTCGTGACCAGAGACCACACGGCACCGCCAATAAAAATGAAATATCGCACCTATTTAGATACGGTACCATTTAATTCAATGCTGGCGAATGAAATACTGCTCGCTGTATAGTGACCTGACTTCATTTTGTCACTACATCTATTCAGTCCGCGGGTGTCGTGAGTACCGAACTGGTGACTTTAGAAACCTTAGTTCAAGTTTGTTTTTTAAAGTAATCGAAAAGAGACCGCGTTCGGCGCGCTGATTGGTCGGCTCTAATGAACCAACCTAACAGAGCGCCGAACGCGGTCTCCGGTGACGTTCTCCACTAACTCCATTATAAGACCTTATTTCAGATGATTAGATACTACTTTTGTACATACATAACATCACGCCTATTATCCCCGAAAGGGTAGGCAGAGGTGCATACAGAAAGTAAAGTAAAGAACCCGCTTTCCACTATTTATGTTATGAGTCCCATGTAATAGGGGGTGAGCCTATTGCCATATACCGGGCACAATTCCAGACTCCGTGCTACTACTGAGATTTTTTAAAAATTAGGGCAAGGGCCCGGCTGTCGCAGTTGCGACCACTCGGCCAACGAGCCAGGTTTACTTTTGTATAAACATATTTTGGGGACAGTACATCAAGGTACTTATATATAAAACAAACTCTAAGCTCATACTCGCCTTAGAGCAGGGTAAGGCTTTCTGATAAACCTGGTCCTTTTATACTGGTACCCTCAACACGCCAGGGCATCTTTAATAGAGAATATTTAAGGTTCAAAGTCGAGCAGTAGACTCTCCAGGGTTGTTGGTATTTGATGATGAACTAAAAAATTGAAACAAATAAATATTCAGAGTGCCAAGCACGAATAACTATCGCATTCGTAACGTAATAGTATCGAGCGCGTTCGGCGCTCTGATTGGCCGGCTCAAGTGAACCAACCAATCAGAACGCTTAACTCGCTCGATACTGTTACGATACGAATGCGATAGTTATTCGTGCTTGGCCCTCGGAACAGTAAGTGCTTACAAAATCACAATATCGTATATGATAATAGTACCTAGAATGCATTTTGTTCTGTGCATTACTTACCTAATGCATTTACATAATCTGACGTTCGAGGAATGAATGCAATCTTGGCGCAACTAGGAAGGCTTCTTAACATAGTTTGTACGATATTATATTATTTATCACTAGCTTTTACCCGCGGCTTCGCTCGCGTCACAAAAGAATAAAAAGTAGCCTATGTGACATATACCAATATACACAGTGCCATCTATACCAATACTTTTGTTTTTCCCCGGGAATATCAATTTTTTCCGGGTTAAAAAGTACCCTATTATTTAATCCGAACTTCTAACTTTACGTCTGCAAAAATTCAAAGCAATCGGTTGAGTAGTTACGGCGTGAAGGTGGAACAAACAAACAAACTCACTTTCAGATTTATAATATTAGTATTAAGGATAAGGATTAGTAATGATGTTTCAAATAAAATATTCAATACAATCTTACACTTTTTAGTTACTTGCTTTCAACTGCAGAATTCATCATCGGTCATAGAGAAAAAATAGACTAAGACACTGTCTATAACTTACTACTATCTATAGATATAATTTTTTTTTTGGGTTAATGATCGAATTGCTTCTCTCGCCTGGGTTAGGTGGAAGGGAGTGTCAGACTCTTACTGACTAAAAACCACCCCGTTCCTACTCCTGCACTTCGGAGCCGGAGTCCCGGTTACCCGTTAAGTTCTCCGTGTCGGCATTAGCCCTATTGGGCCCCATCCGTGGTGGTCTGATGGCTGTTTGAGTTACGCAAGGAACGCGATGCGCCGCACTCTCGGGTCTGGTTCTGGTTGGGCGGCGAGCAACCCATGCTCGCCGTCCGCAGGCCCGTGCTTACGGTGGCCGGAGATCGTCCCGCGATCCCCGACGCTCGGAGAGTCCTTCGCGACGGCTGGGTTGGGAAGACCTGCGTCAGGCGGTAGGTAAAGACGCCTTAGCGTCTTTCAAGCCACTCCTCAAAGAGAGGACCAATCTACAGATATAATAAAAAAACGCAACATACAGACGAATTGAGACCTTCCTCCTTTTTTGGGAAATCGGTTAAAAATCTTACCGATCATAAAATAGTAACACACAAACATATTTTCTCATTTATGTTATGACTAGCTTTTACCCGTGGCTTCGCTGGCGTCACAATAAGATAAAAAGTAGCCTATGTGACGTATACCAATACACACAGCGCCATCTATACCAACACTTTTGTTTTCAATCGGTAATATCAATTTTTTCCGGGATAAAAGTACCCTATGATTTAATCTGGACTTCTAATTTTATGTCTGCAAAATTTCAAAGCAATCGGTTTAGTAGTTACGGCGTGAAAGTGGAACAAACAAACAAACAAACCAACAAACAAACTCACTTTCAGATTTATAATATTATATAGTAAGGATATTCGTAAGGAATGAACGGAAGCATTAAGGATTAGTATCTACATAACTACGGTTTGATGTTACATCTCTCGAATTTGTAACTGGGATTTCTACGGCTCGGTGTATTTCGTTTGTTGATATAATCGTACACCTACCTAAGATTATGTAACTGAAATCTATCTGATGCCCTACTTATTTGTTAAAATAAATTCCGTGATACATTAGTGAAATAGAAAGCGAAGAGCCGTAGGTACCCTTTTATCGAACTGGGAATAAAACTTGAAACCTCTTGTTCCACTAGTTTAGCATTATGTAAAGTCAAAGTCAAAATCATTTATTTCAATTAGACCAGGAAGGCACTTTTGAACGTCAATAAGACGATGGAAGTGAAGCTATGTGCTCATTCTAAGACGTAGATTCCTATGGAGAAGAACAAGTAAGAAACTCCACAGGTTGTATTTTGTAGAGATAGGTACTTAACTGATTAATATTATTTTTGGCAATTAAAATAATACCAAAACACCGTTTAATACGTTTAGTTAATGATTCACTGAAACGAATGCGATCCTCAAAGGGAATTTTTAGAAGCAATAAAATTGTTCAGCAGTAAAAATGGTATGAAATCGTTCTCAGCTCCCAAAGCTCAGTAAGCCGTGTTACACTGCCTCGGCTCAGGTGCAAGAATCTTTTATACGGGATACGGGATACGGGATACGTTGCTTGAATACCGTTTGTGATTCGAATAAGAAAGATGGCGTCAGTAAAATGTAGGTTTGGATACCTTTGTAGTACCTATGTATGTGAACGGTTCATGTAGTCTATGGGCGATTAAAGTGGAATTTTATTACGAGTTTTATTTTTTCACTTCATTAACCGATTAAGACTGAGCTACAGTTGAAAATAATACCTACATTAGACAATACCTATTATTGTATTTTTGTCGCAGAGAACCTAACGGGTTACAGGGGCTTCGGCTCGACGTGCAAGAGAAGGAACGGGGTGGTTTTTAGTCAGTAAGAGTCTGACTCTCCCTCCCGCCTCACCCAGGCGGGAGTAGAAAGTCGATGATTTTCCCCCTAAAAAAAAATTGTATTTTTGACAAAATAATGACCAATAAAAAAATTAAACAACAGACAGTTAATAATAAATGTACTAGGTATAGATAGTGAGGTTCGGTAATTGGTGGGTATTACCTATTTGCCGGTAATGCAGTGGAACAATAAATTTTATTACAGCTGCATGCTGC